GGTCCTGGGACGTTTCTCCCCGGGCAAAGGTGTTAAGAAGCCGCGCGTTACGGCGACTGAGCTAACGCGCCTCCAGATCTTGGTCGTGGACCAGCACTGCTATCGCAGCCTCGAGAACTCGATAAACGCTCTCACAAATAGCAAAAAGTAGCGGCTCCTAGTCCTATCGTGGCATTCGATAACTAGGACCTAGGTCTTTTAGCTCTAGCCCTTCGAGATAGATATAGATACCAGCCCGCTTCATAAACGGAGTGACCTCGGATATATGGCGGGGTACGGCGATTGAATTTCGCGATGGCTAAGAGAGACTCTGTTAGTATCGACGCATAATCTGGTTCTATACATCGCCGACGATAGGAGACGACCATAGCTACTCAGAAGCGGGTAGTGGGGCATTATTCGGGGCATTCGCATAGCGATATATACAAGTAGGGTTAGACGACGGAATCTAGTCGGCAAGAACCACCGCAAAGTACTGTCGACTTTATTTCTAGTGGAACAGCGTCTACAGAAAGGCCTCATACCATGGAATCGCCCCCTACTACGCGACTTGCCACCGATGATCCTTATTGTAATATTGGCGGGTCCGATCCTTGCTAGTAGAGCGAAAGTCGCAATTAGGGAAGTGGCAGATAAACCCGAGTACAGCCGGCAGCCCGCGAATCTCACGAATCCTATCTTATAGATGCACCACACCGGCATTTGAGGTAGCGACCGGGTCTAATTCACTAGATAATACAATTCGTCTTCGCTCACTGCCCTATAAGCGATGCTTCTCTAATAGATGGCGAGAGAGATTCTATCGTGTATAGTAATCGTCAACACGGAGATCTAATAAGACTAGGAGGTTTGCTTTTCAATATAAATATATATAGGCCATAGGCTATCAACACGACTTCACACTAAAGACAAGCATCATCTATAGGTGTCACAATAAAATATCTCACTAATTGAAGTTGAGTGAAGAATATCTAAAAATACGCCTAGTGCTAGGGCATACGTCCTTGATAAGAGACATACCATTGATGCTTCTGATTATAGTGCTAACGCATTTTATCTATGCTGGTTGTGCGAAGGTTACAGGTATCGAAGTGACAAAGGAAACCTAAATAGGTCGACAATCCGTGGATTTCTGTGATTCTATCAGGTGGTTACAGGACATCACCTAGCGTTCGAGCCATTATCTAGAACTATTCATCCTCTATGAACAGGCGCTCATTCCTCCTCATCTTATGCTTTTCCAGTAGGTGCCTTGAAATATTCTAGCGAGTATAACAGCCACGGTAGATAGTGCATAATATCACGCGCTATTCTAGTAAGAGTTACAAAAAATGTGGCAATCGAGAGAGGGACGGGTCTCTCGGAGAAACGCAATAATTTTCAGTTTTTCTACTTGTTTCAAAGCTACTATAGCTAATGTGATAGTGTCGTTTCCTTTTCAGGCAAGGCGTAGAAGTCGTAGTAGGCAATATTTCAACTAGTAGGCGATAAGACGGCCCCGAAGCCGAGGTAGTTTCGAGTACCGAATGAAACTGCGTGGAAGCTCGTGTTCTATCGAGACCTAAAAAGCGGTGCTATTAAGAGGACACTTATGAATAGATCCGAAGCAATACAGGCTATAGTTTAGTAGGAAATACACCGTTAAGCCTATAAGTCTAGGCCCGTTACAGAGGCCGGTAGCCGCTCTGCTAGGTAAATCCGACGTCTAGATCCGCCTAAGGACTCGTATCGTCAAGCCGATTAATAAAGGTCGCGGCACCTTGAACGTGTTTCTACGCAACCGTAATAGAAATTTGCCTATACCAGCGAGGATAAACTGCGTTACGCTATACCTTTTCCGTTGCTCCTATAAGTAGCCGCCGAAACCGGTCAGTCGACTACCTCTCGCTACGTAGGAGAGTTCGAAACAGAAAGTGTCAACTTATGTGGGGTTTTCCCGCAGATGACTAAGCCGCCACCATCTTTTCCCCGGAAGATCACCTTCATGACCACTACATTGATTTATATTGATCCTCAACGATCTCGCATTGAACTGCCTATATTGGCCGGAGACTACTCAACACTCCAAGATAACCTCGGATATTCTTGATTTCTTCATGTGATATTTACTATGTACCTCGTGTTATAAATTCTGTTTGCTTTCCTAGCTAAATTGAACAAGTTTGACATCTCTTTTAACTCATGAGTAGATTTCTTTGGCACACCTGATCATACTCTTCTTTTGGTCTAATAAGCCGACCTCTATTTCTCTCATGATAGTCTTTCTTCACCTGTTTCTGACACACATATCCTTTTGTGTGCAATCGGATTTTATGATCACTGTTTAAAATCCATCAGAAAGTTATACGCTAGGTTAGGCCAAGTATAGAAGGAACCCTATTCTCGACATAGAAGCTCCGCGAATAGCAGGATATAGACTAAATAGGAAAAGAGAACCCTCGCTACGCGGTACGGCAAAAATCGGGCTACGATAAATTCACGGCTAGTAGAGCGTTTGCTCTTACTATAGCGAGTAATAAACATGACCCTTCCTTAGTATATATATATAGCGCGCTCCGTAGAAGGGCTATTAGTGTACTCTACCCCTATAAGTTCTTTAAGACGGGGGGTCTGCCCACTAGCTATCATCAAGATCCCCGCGATATCCTCTAGAAGTTGCTCGTGTTGGAGAATATACTGGTGTATAGAGTCTAGCTCCCACTTCCCCCCTTACATCTGTTATGGTGTTGACCTCTATGAGGCTATTCACACATTTCGGCCTGAGGCCACCTGAGAGGTTGGCGATGACGCACCAGTTCGGTGATCTCTCACCCCCCTTCCACCGCTGTTTCGTCGGAGAGTTGCCCGCTGACCGACATATTTCTTATGCGGGCTGATACGTGTACCTGGTTACCCCTCCTTCTGTTAATGGGGGATGTATATAAGATCAGCCTAGGGAGAAGAAGATAGAGCTCCCTAAGAAACAGTCTCTGTTCCAATCCGACTTAGTGCTCATCCTCTCCTACCTAGTTGACAGGCCTACTACCCTGCAAGTAGTTAATATCATAACACCACCCGAATCAACCTTCCACTGCTTGATTCTTCTGTCTGATCAGTCGATTGTGATCTATCCTGATTCGTCTCTCTTCTATAATCGTGGCACTAAGATTAGTACGCACGAACGATTTCTACTAAGGTTTTATACACCAGACGTAATTCCAATAGTATAATATTAAAGTTCTAGAGGTACCTAAATGCTATGATTTGCTATATAGATTATAAATCTAGCTTGATATACTACCTGACGGCTTAGGCATCTTGCCCTATATCTTATAGTTATATAGAGTCTAGAGACGGTCTTCCTAAAACTAAAAATAGTAAGCTTCTGTTGGAATTGCGTATGGTGCATAAAACCTTGGTAGAAATCGTTCGTGCGCACTAATCTTAGTGCCACGATTATGGAAGAGAGACGAATCAGGATAGATCACAATCGACTGATCAGACAGAAGAATCAAGCAGTGGAAGGTTGATTCAGATGGTCTACTATGTCCAGTGATTCTTCCTGAGATAAAAAGGATGTCAAACCTGTTCATTCTAACTAGAAAACAGAGTGCAATTTATAACATGAGGAACATAGCAAATATCACATGAGGAAATCAAGAACATTCGAGGTCATTTTGGAGTGTTGATCATTCCGTTGCCCAGTCGGGCAATGTTGACACGATCGTTGAAGATCAGAATCTAGGATCAGAATCTAGGGGTAAACAAGATTGGGTTTTCCTAGCGGTAAGCAAGATAGGAATGCTTAGTAAGCAGGCAGGATTCAAGATGCATATCTGGCCCATAGGCCATACATGCCGACAGCTTCTTTTATAATAATAAATAATTATTAGATTAACCTATATAGAGGAGAATCGTAGCGTTTAGAGTAGAATAGAAAGAGTAGATTCTATAAGGAGGATTCTTTAATAGACTCTTATAAAAATAAAATAGTAGAGTCGTATAGGGTCTAGAGATAGTCTTCCTAAAACTTAAAGTAATAAGCTTCTTTTATAATCTTAACTCGTACGAATAGACCGGGCGTATCCCTAAAGTACTCTATAAAAATTGTAGACTACTTTACTAGACTTACTCGTGTAAATATACCGGGCGTATCCCTAAAGTACTCTATAAAAATAGTAGACTACTTTACTAGACTAACTCGTACGAATAGTCCTCTGCATAGGGAAAACGTTACAACTCGAAATACAACCTGCCTGCAGATACCTAATCGGCCGCCCTTCTCCAAAAATTGCTATTATTGTCTATATCCTACTTATCCCTATTGTAAACATCATGAGATATTGCTCACATTGAAATCTTCCCAAGAAGTGGAGTCGTTCATTACAGTGACATGGGATTGGCCCAAAGTCCATCGCACCTTTTCTATTGTGTTTGTATGTATCGAAAACGGAGCGGTAACTTACCGCTGGGATCCTTATGTTTTTTTTGGTAACCTGTTCTTCCTGGTAACTTGGCGGTCGTAACCCCAAGTACCGTCAACATTCAGGGGTTATTTCAACCTTCCCCAGTGTCTCTTCTATTTTGACTTAATCAACATCTTATGCATCAGATGCTGGTTCCACTTGATCTCATTCGCCAATATGCATACTAGTCTATACTGTACCAGCTTGCTCTGATAGTATGTAATATGTGGGTACATCTGGGTTCCAGCATGATAACTCGAATACTTGGTTACACCGCCTAGGGACAACTCAACCTTCCCCTCTTCCTTATTCTTTTCTCAATCAATCAGTCGCATATTTCAGATGATTCTAGTAGCTCTCATTCGCCACTATGTTTACTAGTTCGTACGCTTTTAGCGGATTCTGATATAGTATATCATGTTTAGTGTTGTTTTGGTGTGGTCCGAACGGCTAGGAATTACGTTATCAAAGGGGAGGTGGTGGGAATTTGCCACGCGGCATTCCTGGCAATTCCAACTTTTCACAACCACGCCTAGAAATCTAACACTTGCAAAAATGGCCTCCAAATCCAATCGAAAAGAGCGCCGGCCCTTGTTACGTGTTCGCACTGGCTGCTTGGCTTGCAGAGCCCGGAAGAAGAAGTGCGACGAGGGGAAGCCTGTCTGCAAGGGATGTACCCGGAACGGTCTTCATTGCCAATGGCCAGGTGATATACTCGGAGAGCAGTCAAAGGATGATCGTTCGCCAAGAAAGTCTTCATCTCCGGCTCTTTCTGCGACAGACGGTTTTTCAAGTCTTAGTGAATCGCACCCGATCGAGGATCAAGCCACAACAGAGCGCGGTTATGGACGGGATCGCTCTTCCCCCCTGGCATTATGCTCCTACGACGATTTCTGCCCCCTCGATCCGGAGTATTTCAAGGAGGAAGGTTTTTCCGCTTTAGATTCGACTCGCGCCTTGATTGATTCTGGGGAGGGTGGGCTCGGTTTCGAAGAAGCAGCTTCAGTCGAGTCCCCCTTGTGGTTGGTCAGAACTTCGCTTACCAAATTGAATGAAATGATTCCTGCCCATCTGCAGTTCATACCTCAGCTGGACCATGATCGATTTGAGCTTTTCGGACACTACATTCAGACCACAGCAAATAGCATGTCCAATGGTTCAACCTCATCCAACCCTTTCTTGGTCCAGCTTCTGCCCCTTGCCGTTTCGAGTAACCTCGTCTTGGAATCGATTCTCGTACAAAGCTGCGCCCATCGTGCTGTACGCACTCCTGTTACAATAGGACCAGACGTGCTCATCCTTTACAACAAATCTTTACGATCTTTGAGGTCTGCAATTGACAACAATGCCGCACATGGAAAGGAAGATTTGCTGTCACTTATCGCTAGTATGTTAATTCTGTGCTTCACAGAGGTTAGTACTTAATGTTTCCTATGCTGCCAACACAAACACTAAAATATCACAGACCGCTCGTGGCGATGTGACTGGAAGTGTATTCTTCCATCTCCGGGCGGCCAGCTCCATTCTCCCAAATGCTCTCGTGAAGCTAAGCGATTCCTTGCCCGTAGAGCTGCGAAGCTTTTTGGTAGAGTATTACATATACACGGCCACGTTGAGTATGATCTCGATGGGTGTGGAATACATCCCGCAGGTTCTTCTTTCTCCTCAGCTATTGCAAGAAGGCCAGCAACTTGTCAAGAGTGGCTATATTGGAAACTTATGCGGATGCTGGCTTGGAATTCTGCTTTTCATCCCGAGAGTGTATGATTTGGGGCGTCACTGGTCGTCACAAGGGGCAGGTAAAACACAGGCCGACCTTGTCACAACATTTGCAATTCTCCATTCAGAGATTTCACGTTGGGAGCCTGAACCAAATGTATCTTCTGACGTAGCCTCCGTGGGGCGCATCTTCAAAAACGCCATGCTGCTATATCTACTTACTATCCTCAGGAGCCCTAATCGTGATGACCACAGTATCCATGCGACGGGGATACAGGAAGCAGTTCAGGATGCAATGTTCTACCTGGAGCAATTGTCACCCACAAAACAGGTCAATACGAGCTTATGTTGGCCTATCGCAGTAGTGGGTTCTTGTGCTATGTGTACACAGCAGCAGGCGTCCATCCGCAACCGATTGAAAATTATGGCTGAGTCGATTGGGCTGGGTAATATCACCAAGACTGGTGATATTCTCGAACATATGTGGCTACACGACGAAAGGGGCCCTTGGGGAATATCTAGGGCCATGGAAAGAGCTAAAATTTGGATTTCTTTCGCATGAGTCTCAACGTTGCCTAGTCGAGAGCCCGTGCTACGTTGTCTGCTATGCTTCCCATTAAATTTGGATTTGTCAATGGCCCAAGTTCTTAGGAGGCGCGATCGCAGGGCCATCAGGTGTAACATATGTCAAAAAATATAAGTATGGAACAGCTTCCGTGAACGAGAACCAAACTGGCTTCAGTCATCACGAAATCGGTCCCATTGACGAACCTGATCAGCACTGACAAAAACAACAATATTGGCAGTGTTGATGATGATCCTGGTCTTTTTCTTGTGCTTACACAGAATGCGGACTGCGAACTTGGAGCCGTACCGAACTCCTTTCATAATGATGTCCGTAGCAAAGTCCCAGATACTACTGTTGCACTCTTCAGAGTCTCCAGCCTTAAGGTGCTGGATACTGGCGTGCCTGGACATCACATCCACACCACCCAAGGTGCTCAGATTGAGTACTGCTGCTTTTATGTCAACCTCTCTGGAAAGGTCGACGGTTTCAGCCTCCAAGCGCCTATATAGTCCCGAGACACCTTCCGAGGCCTTCCATTAGGCCTTGTCGAGGGCAGCAGCCTTGACGTCGGTCATGAGAACCGAGCGCCGTGGCAACGGAAGAGAATGACGGATTGCAGGTGGATCACAATACATTGTAACTCGATTATTAACTCATTGAACCTGGACTTAGGTCTGCCAATGGAATTATTGTCACTTAGTCTTCCAGGCCTGACTGTGATTGCGTATCGGATGTTTTAGACAGGTCTAGGGATTATGGAGGCTGATCTTAAACGAAGAATTTTGAAAATCACATTCCCTTGTGCTAGCAAGGTATTTTATGTCCTGGAAATCGAACATGAAGTGCACATGAATTGTGAAGAAATAGCGCGGTAACTAGCCGCCAGGACAGGATGATTACAGATCGATCTATATTTCGCTATGTTTTGTATGGTGATTTGGATTTTCCGATATCTTGACTGTCCTAACCTGTAGAACCAGAGAGATTCAAGAGGTATATCAACCTCCGCCAGGGCAACTTCTATTTTGATTCAATCAATCAACTTATTCATCTGACGCTGGTTCCACTTTATCTTATTCTCCAACATGCATACTTTTCATACTATATCAGCTTGCTCTGACATGATTAAGCACCAAGAGACAGGAAGTTCTCAGCCATATCAGCTGTGGGAACGATGGGCCCCATATAGGATCGCGGTTGCTCAATAGACAGGCAGACTGATCTCGCCCCCAAATTATTTAATTGTTCTCTTACCAAATGTGGGTTTCCATCCACACTTGATTTACTGCCTTGATGCAGTGGCGAACCCAAAGAGCAGTATTCTGCACGGCCGAAGCTTCGACAAGTCACTAATTAGATTTACACATATAGCACCGGCGACATGTCATAGAACCTTGGTTTCATATCCCGCTAACAATGGCAAATCTAGACTGACATAGTCAAAATTGAATCCGCGATGAACCAGAGAGTGATGGTAACTCACAGTATGAAGGCAAATGTGGTAATTGAGATTAGGATTGATCTATCGACCTAAAGCTCGTAAAGAATTCATTTACAAAGTACCCCCGCAACCTCGGAAACGCCCCCGAGGTTCGGTAATACTACCGCAAGCCAACTCATGAAGGTAATGACACCGAGACGCACCGATGCGGGTCTACGTCAAATTATCGGAACATCAATATATACAGCCTGAGACGAGTTTCTGAGAGGTCGATCAAGGGAGTCGATTAACCGCGGCGGGTCGGAGACCGCTCCGACTTCAAACGTCCAGGGCAAGAAATGGGGAGCAGCAACGTACCATAATGAGTGATTATAGCTAGTGATTAAAACGGGGTTTCAGACTTCCACGCCAGCTAAGTTCTGGGAAGATAAGTTAAAAAGAAAAAGGATATTTCCAGAAGGAAAGGCGAGCAAAGTATAGAACAATAGATGGGGGATCGCGAGGGAAAGAGGGCAGATAAATATTTGCATTTAGTAACACCGCCTGAGCCTTTTGTCGGGCCGCAAAAGGACGAGAGCGAAATGAAGGCGGAAATTGGGGAAGATGCGGCAGATCGGTACAGTTACCAACGTGGGTATCGCCTTTTCGACCTGCTGCGGTGATACGTTTGTGGCGGCGCTTTGTCCGACAATGTCCTCCTTGGACGCGGCCATTTATCCGACTATGTACGACAATCAATCCCCGAGGGTTCCCGCGTCATGGAAGGATAAATTCAGAAGCAATCCTATACAACTTTTTGCCAGTCATTGTATCACTTGGCTTTGAAGATCTCGCGGCTACTCGTATTCACTTTTAACTGGCTATCCTTGATTACCACTGTGATCCTTTCCCACTCCCTAGCTAGATCAAGAGAGCAATCGACTTCCTTCTCTACTACTTGGGCAAGCTGCTTCAGCAAGAATAGCGCGTTCATCAAAAAGGGGATTTTAAGCCAATTAAAAGCAACTTTAAGCATTTTGGAGAACGGCCAAGCATAGGATCTGCAATGCGACAGGTGAGGGCTACGGATATGCCCAAGACCGTAGGAGAGACAAGCTTTTAAAGTAAATCAGATATCATTGCATTCTGGCCAGATATACATGCCAAAAGGCGGTTCATATGGCTTGCCTATAACCTGCATTTTATTCAAATCTAAGCAGACCCAATATAAGACTCTAGACCACGGGGGCTTCTCTGGGTTCGGAATGCCCTCCAAGGTGTTCCCTAAGGATCTGGATCACATACAGCTCTCACGAAGACCCAGACATGAATTAATTCTGTTTCCTTGTTTACTTCATCGGACAAAGCTCAAGTAACGGAGACAAGAAGGTATGGCGACGGAGTCAGATTGCTTGAAAGGAAATAGTTGGAGCGAGGGGAAGCAGACAACGGTCCCACACAACATGCAATATCCCCCAACATTCACGGGTTACTGCATGAGATAAAGGTCAAAAGCTAATTTTTAGCCCAACTGAAAGGTAAGATTATATTCTGGCAATAACCTTCGTCGTCAGACTACCCCATGTTGACGGTAGAATATATAAATATGCTGGGACGTACCATGTAGGATATTCTGCCTTCCGGTAGCATTTATGATATTCATTATCGATGGTCTCAAACGATTTGATTCGTGGTTCTCAAGGAAAGGGGGGATTGATATAGTACTATACTTTGTTTATTGGCAGTTTCCAGTTTGCAAATAGGCGGAAGGGATTTGGATAACTGCAGTAAGAACCTGCCAGGTGAATAGATGTAGAGTGCACGTACTGGGCTAGTTAGAGTGTCAGTGCATATATTAGAGGAAACGGTACCTCCTATACCCTGACATGAGTCCTCCTCTCCCGCCAAGGTCGTTATGGCAGTTGTTTCCCCATGTTATGACCAGCGCAGTCAACAGGGGAGGCACCTGGCTGTGAGTTTTGTCAGCCGCGCAATTTCCCGCTCTTCGGACCTAAGAGCGGCCTCAATTCCCCCAAACTTACTTCAATTTTCTTCAACCTTGGTTCAATTGACCGGCCTAACGACCACGGCTGCTTTTGAAGAAACTTCTGAAGCTGGCTCTGGTGCAGCTTGCATCCCCTGCCCGTCTTAATTGCCTGGACTGACCCGGAGTTAGACGCGGACAAGGCTGCCAACCTCTCCCACTTATGGAGCAAGGTCTTTGAGGCCGCATAGGCCGAATTACGCTGGACCGTCCTCCCAGAGTGATTCAACTCACCATATGGCATGCGATATTTCCCCGGATATCCCGAAACCCTCCATCCCTCCCCTCCAGCGAAGGACCAATCGCCCTCCTTTCATACCCGTAGCCGCGATCTCTGCCGAGGCAAATATATACCTGATCGGGGGAAGTATCCCAGAGCTAGAGCCGACTACTAAGGAATATTACAATATCTCGCTGGTGTTCCCACCCGACGGGGTCTTGATTGGCACCCATCTCAAAACACCCCTCTTCAGCATTGATATCCCAGGAAAACTCAAGTTCAAGGAAAGCAACGTGCTCTCATCAGATAATGAATTGACCGTGATTGATCGCCCAGAGTACAGGAAGATTGGCTTGGCCATTTGTTATGACATTCATTTCCCGGAATCAGCCAAGATCTCGGCCCGCAAATTCGCGTTCCTCTTGGTCTACCGGGGTGCTTTCAACATAACCACCGGACCACGTCATTGATCGCTTCTGGGTCGCGGTCGCCCGGTCGACAATCTGATATATATAGCTCTGTGCAGCCCTTCATGCGATCTGGAGGTCACGTAGCAAGCGTACGGCCACAGCCTGATCATTGACCCCATCGCGAGTATTCTGACGGGGGCAGAGGAGAAGGAGACTATTATTTACCCTTATTTGGATAATGAAGTGTCGAGACATGGAGCGGTAACTAGCACTCAGACAGGGGTTATCCTAATGACCCACTTTCCTTTGCGTTTCGTATAGAAATCTGGTATCTCTGGCATTACGGCTGTCGATGGACAACAGGTCGCGTGGCTGAAACACCAAGACACCAACTACGAGCGCCATAAGCGACGGTATATTCATTTTGGTATCAGTGGAATGAGAATCGTCGACTGATACAATCCTTCGTTTTTCCTTTAACCATCCTCGAAACTGGAGGCAGGGGAGCAGCCAATGGGAACTCGGACGATATTTGTGGCCTCTCAGGCGTGGCCATAACTCTTGTGTCGGAACACAGATGAGCGGGCCATGTAGGCTGCACCAATAGAAATCACAATAGGTCTGAATTGCTAACCATGCCCCTATCTGACAATTTGTATGGCCTCAAATACATACTAATCTTGGCGGATGTACAGTATCTCCTTTCTCCGTGTATCCACAAATCCTGCTGCTGCGACAACTTGACTGGGGTAGCAGTTCCCCCAAGAAATAAGGGGCAGTAACCTGCATGCTCTTGACCAAGGCGAATAGGCAGCCAGCCGATAAAAGTAGTACAAAGAAGGTCTCTAATTTCACTTGGCGTACCAAGTTTTAGGTCACGGTTATTTATCATTAGGCTGCTGCATCACGGCTCCCTGGGGCCTGGGTACTTTAGCGGGAGCTGGGGAGTCTAAACGCATTCGCCCAGGCACCACATGGCAAGCACTGCTACAGGTGCTCATCGAGGACAACCATGACCAGATCCTGGTATGTACAAGAGCCAAGGATTAGACCCTTGATCCTATACACCGATAGTCCCATCATGAAAATCCTGTAGTGATGTGAGGCTGATGCGGATCAGGAACCAAGCCGCATCGTCGGAAGCAATACCCGAAATATCTATAGGAAGCATGAAATTGACTTCCAATGAACTTGATCTCCTCGCTGTATATATATATATATATATAGCCTTATTTGTAACTTCCGAGATAATAACAATTCAGCTTCCTCTTGGTTTACAACAAATCCCAATATTAATAAATATATCGAAAGCCCTTTTTCTCATAATCAGTCAAGTCTCCCATCTGCTCGGCGACCTGAACAGAGACAACGGTGCCCTCGGCATTGTCTCGCTTCTTATTCTCGATCATGCATCCAGCAGCATAGGCAAGGAGGGCGCAGATAGCCGTCACCTCGAAGCCCAGAATTGCGTTGTACCCAGTCGCGTAGTGGGGAGCTTCAGCGGCGATAAAGACTTGGGGACCGACAATGTTGGCGATACAGTAGGCCAGGAAGATAGTGGCGTTGACTGTGAGCCTTTTGGTGTGGCCCGAAACATTACCCATAGGGAGCGTGAGGGCTGGAGATTCTGTTAACTCGAGGGATTCAGCACATGAGAGTCTGTGTAAACATACCAGTTGCATAGGGACCCCAGAAAAAGTAAAAGAAGTAGTAAGCCATGAGTCGGCCAACCTTGTTCTCGATGGGCAGTTCTGGGAGTTTGTTAGCATACCGTGGGTGGCCGCCACGGACCAGGCGACTTACCTCTGATTAGAATAGAGCACACTAGAGGAACCAAGCAACAGGCTGCCGCAGTGTAGCATCTCTTGTTGTGGAGCCATCGTTGCGGAATGGCAACCATAAAACCAGCCAAACTCTGCATCATTCCGGTGGGCATTCCAAGAAGAGTTGTCTCAAGTTTCCCGTAACCCAGGCCCGACACGATCTGAGCGGCAAACGTAACCAGACTACCAGTAGGGACGTTCATGGAAAGGAAGAAAATAAAGAGTAGGTAAGTTTTGTAGTCGGTGAAGGCCTCGCGGACTTGATACCATTTGAACTCCTGTTGACGACTCGTTAGCATACAAATAATTCTCAATCTTGCTTCCGGGATAGCTTACCTTGTTCTCGATTCCGGTCATATTCTCGCGGACGCGGTCAAGGGCAATGTATTTATCACGGCCTTTCATGAAGTTGTCCCTCAAGGGTGAGTCGGGAAGCCAGATGGTAAGGGCAACTCCCCAAATAAGAGTGAACCCTCCAATGACCAAGAAGAGCAGACGCCAAGAGGCGATGCTGGTCTTGGTGGTGCCGATACCGTATGAGATGACACCGGTGACCACCTAAGACTTGTTAGCGAGGTTTACCTAGCAAGTAGAGCGAGAGGCCACTTACACTAGAAAATGCGGTAAAAGTGATGGCCATGCGAACAGGCTGCTCAGACTTCTTATACCACATGGTATTTAGCATGGTGACCGCGGGAAAGAGAGGCGCTTCGAGGACACCCATGATAACGCGGATGACCATCAAACCAGCAGCATTTTTGGTAGCACCGAGACACATGACCATAGCTCCCCATCCGATGACCGCGACACCGACCGCCTTGCCAACAGGCATCTTCTGGAGTACCAGATTTGCAGGATATTCGGCGATGAGCCAACCAAAGTAGAAGATCGAAGCAACTGTTTACGACGATAGAGTTAGCTCTAGTTTTGACACAGTTCCCCAGTGAGAGTTATATACCCCAGCTATACTGCTGTCCCACGAGATGGGTATCCTTAGTCATGCCGTACAATGCGGCGTTAGAGATGATGATTTTCTGCCAATTCATCAGTGAAAGACGCGGTGTGCCACGGTTTCAAGGCTCACATCGACAGCAGCAATGGTAATTGTGCCAATAATCAAGGGCATCAACCGGACATCAATCCTACGTAGGACTTTTTTCGCATCCTGAGGCTCATAGTTGCCCCAGTGGTGCTCATGTTCCGTGAGAAACGCCGCGGCAGGCTCGTGGGGTAGCTCCGAGGACAACTTCATCGCTTTGATGGAACCAGCGCCAAGGTTCCGCTTCTCCAAGTCTTTGACCTTGAGGTCGTCCTCGATGGCGTCCAATTGGGACATAGTGGCTGGTGATCGGGGAAAGCAATGAGGTGTGAGACCTAAATCTTGAGAAGGAGAGACAACACGACCAAGATAGACTTGATGCCTTGCGAGTAATAAGTTATCTCTAGATCTGTATTAGCGTCAGCTGCAGATCTTAAAATCATTTTCCCCGCCATGCGTATCACGGGCTCCAGCGTTGGAGTTTACTTGTCCCCCCAAATGAGTAACCGCGTCCTGGACCCCATTGCAGAAATGCCCGCACGGCGGAGTCCAGCCCGCGCGGGTAGCCTGTCCGCTACGCTATATCACCAACACATCGGGGCGGCGACACGAGTCTAGACCTTGGAGTCAACCATCGTGCGGGACGGACTTTATGCGCCTCGAGCGGTATGTGGCGGCGATTGATGTCCGATGAAGAATGTTTATATATCCCGCCTGAAAGTAGCGATTAGACACGGTCCGATACAAGCTATACCACAGCCATTACCCTTATTATATCTGATATTTCAGTTTGCCTAAATTTGCGACTGGGCTGTGTTTATAAGCGTCCCATTTATACGAAATACGCTAAAATGGCTATCCTGAACTATACAGTTGACCCTGCCGTCCCAGCCGAGATCAAGAAAGGCATTGACGAACTCTACGATCTCGCCGACAAAAGGGACAAGTGCGCCGAGTGGGCGAGTTACTTTAGCAAGGACGCCAAACTGGTCAAGGGAGACCTTCAGCCCGCCGGCATACCTTGTGAGCAATCCCATAATTACAACCGTGACATTATCGCTGACCATCATCACTTGTTAAGCTCTGGTAGAGTACATGGAGGGCAGCTGGAAGAACACCGAGTCCCGTATCCACGACGTAAAGAAGGTCTCCGTCCTGAACAAGTCTCCTCTTACCCTCAAGATTGAAGGTGTCACCACCTACCAGCGCACCGGCAACAAGGAGCAGAAGGGCACATGGACTGCCGAACAAAGCTATACCCAAGAGAATGGTTTGTCTAAGATTGACGTATACAAAATTGTATTTGTAAGTCGAACCCAATAGACGACGTCGCAAGCGCCACTGATCGGAAGGAACAGAACATGCTGTACTGAATAGACATATTGGTGGTGTAGTTAAACCTAGATCAGATTTGTATGGAAATATGTGTGCATTCCGATTGAATAGACATATTGGGGCATAGTTGGTTTCTGCAAAGTCCGCGCGTCTAATCAGAAAGCTTTCAGTATCTCAATTAATCATCATTAAAGATTGGCCTGAGCTCTTGATATTCCAGATGATCGATCGATCGTGCATGGCTCTTAGACTTACCATCCTATTTGATTCTCCACATGGAGCCCATTCAACATCTAATGATCATCATGTAGGGACACAAAAGCTGAAGAAGTCAAGGCTACCCAGAGGGAGGTTGGGTGCAAACTCCATGGCCTCACTATTGAAGTTCTCAGCCGAGGCCCTGTCTGTCATGGTCTGGATGAGAGCCACCACCGCTTGGTGGATATGTTGGAGCTTGAGCTCTGTGATCATAGCCTCCATGGTATGAGCCCACTCCCTATTAGGTCCTGAAGTGGGGCATTGTGTTAACGCTGAAGGGCTTTCGAGCGCTGCTGAGTCTGCGACTGTCTCGACACATGAACCCTCGAATATCTTCTCCATCAAGAGCTGGAATGTGCGTAAATACACCAGTGATTTAGGCCATCTCGTCGAGAAATCCATCAGAGTCTGACGACAGCTTTCGATGCCGGCGAGGGTGGTCTCAAACGAGAATACTGGAGTTTGTAGCGTGTGAGGCGTGGTAAAGTAGCAATACACCAGCATTATCCCCAGGCGGAACTGATACGCAAGCTAGAAACATTCTTAGCTTCGTCAAAGAGTCCCCATCAAGATATCTCACACTTACTGCAGTCCAGGTCCAGTACATAAGTGGGTTTGTCTGTTGCGTCGTCCGAAAGGTGCGACATGCTTCACTACAACATTCGATCAACTGACTAACGTCTTCGACGCACATCACGGAGAGATTCTCCTGCATGAGAATTGACAAGCCGTAATCGTAGAGCTTAAATAATGATTGCGGCTCGTGATACACGACGTTGTCGGGTGGAGTCGAGCTTGTAAAGGCCTGGACACTAGCCTTCCAACCTTGCAGTTCGTGCTTGAGGCGAAGACGGCAACTGCTGCGGAAAGGGTCTGACAAATCTAGCCGCTGCAGCTTCTTGTCAGTGTGTCGAATCTTGGATTGGATGTATCGAAGCTGGAAGAGGCGCTCGTGGAAATCCGAGCCGTTTAGCTCGGGCTTCATGGTGGAGGTGTATTGGAAGATCTGTGGATGATCAGCATGAGTTCAGCAAGGGAAGGGGACGATGATGGCGCAAAGGGCCCACCTTGTTGTCGAGTGTCTCAAACAAGAAACTCTGCGGGTAAGACCATGCTGAAGACACCACTTCATTTACAATTTGGCAGCTCATAACACACTGCCTCCGGATTAAGCGGTTTGCCGAGGTACCTTCACCGGCCGCATCCTCGGCCATGATCTGGTCAATCAAACTCTCACAATTCAGTAGCACCAGCATGATTATGCTCGGCACAACATTGTGAGATGAATCATGCCAGGAGTAGATCAGCATCAGCAGTGATGCCTGTGTCCGCATCAAGGGGGACCGGTGCTGGGGTATTGAGCCGAGATATCTCTGGATGGCAGCCTCGTAAAATCGTGAGGCGTGAATCAGATGAGGACAGTCTTGCCGGTACGAGCTGCTGAGCACCGCACCAATGGCCAGAACAAGCTGGAGGATGAAAATTTGTGCCTCTTCGAGCCTGTTAGACCCCGTTGTCCAGGCCCTATAGGACATTCGCCAGGTTTTTTCGTCCAGGAACGACCACTGAGGCTGTGCGTGGCGGAAGTAGGTGTAAGCGTAGTGGTCCATCCAGTCGTCGCCAATAGAACTCAACTCGTGGGTTATTTGGGTGTCACTAATACTCGGGAGTAGTGGCCGGGAGCTCTGACGACGATGCTGCGAGGTCATTGTGCGTAGTTCGCACACTGGCTGGGTTGGTGAATACGTGATACTCGTGGATGCGTCAAGGTCAGCACCTACAGGCGGCGACCTGGTTGGGAGGTAGTTGGCTTGAGATAGAGCAGCGTTGCCCATCTCGTAATCCTCTCGGTGGAGATGAGTAGCCTCTCCATTATTAGCAGACGAGCGGGTGTCGTCTTCGCAGCTATTCTCAAAAGGCGACAGGTAACTACTCTCTTCGTGCTGAATTTGAGTATCATCAACGTCAACGCCAGGATCCCGGCTCCTTTGCTGCATGGCCGTGATCTGCGACTCTAGCTGTTGCAGATAGGCTGTTGGTACGGTGGTCATGGGCCCGTGGGTCTTAACGCCGACTTGGACGCATTCGGAGCCCGTCTTGCTGCACTCGCCGCACACAGGCACGGCGCGGTCACAGCGCTTCTTGCGCCGGCGGCAGCGCACGCAGGCAATCTGGCGCGGTGGGCGTGCGTCGGACTGGCTTGCCGATGTGGCTGCTGCCGGGGGGTCAGCTGGGTCCATTGCGAAGGACTAGCACAGCGAGGGACAAAGGGCAGTAGTCTTCTTTATCCGACAAAGCCGACACAGAGTTGCAGCGAGATAACTTCAAGATTGTACTCATGTGCTGACGTCGCGGTCAGCACTGTCACCGCGGTGCATTACAGCGAGCGACGTAGATAGTGTAGCGGGAGAAATAAGCTTTGGGGCAAAGGCTGGGGGGGGGGGGGGACGGAGGGGAACCGTCGAGAGCGTTTCATAGATAAACGGTACCCGCCACATCTCCTCCCCGCATACTCGAGGGGATTCGGGGATTCGCCACTAACGATTGGCCCGGCCCACACAGCGCTAGAGAGATGAAGCCGATGCAGGGCTGCTCTGTAATCGCCTAATCACTCCTAGCGCACGGATGATCTCGTGGTCCTAAGAGCAGCAAGGGGGAATTCGCTTCCCCAGCTCAGTAGTGTTCTCAGCATGTTCTCAAGTCTTGCAGTACGCCATGCCATTGTCATGAGAAAAACAACATCAATATGGCTGTTCTCAATATATTGATAAGAGCTGGGCGCATATTTCTACGGCAATCTTTCCGCAGCCCTCTTATCTCGTCTATCGTCATATTTCATCGTTCCATTTTGCCTCCTAATCTCTACCCATCGGGCGACGGAAGAAAATTGTCGGACTCTTGTCCGACATCTGCGGTCGGACTTAGCCCCCGCCGCTATGTACATGCAGTATGAAGAAAACCCGACAAATTGCGGGAGATGCATGCACGGGCTCTATGGGGCATATATACATTACTTAAATCGTGCTTGATTGCTCCATTGATAACCCTAGGCCATTGTCAAATCCAGGACGTCAATCATTACCACCATGGGATCTCTAGAAAAAATATATGATAAACACATTAACCTCCAACTTGGGTATGTTTAATGCACTCATGAGAGTCATCTGGAAGCCTTGAAAAGATCAAGTGAAACTATAATGACCCCATAGATGGCCCACACCATTGCTCTTCCCGTCAAAACTTCTGACAGAGGCAACTCAAGAGACTCTGCTAAACAACAAAGTCGCAGCCCAAACTCTGGTCTACGGTCCTGACCCAGGGCATGAGCTGGTACGCACAGGCACTGCGGAATGGTTGACCAGATTCTACCACCCAGAGGTGGGCGATGTACAGGCAGATCGGATCTTTATTACTCCTGGCGCCTCTAGCGCTCTGTCTATGCTGTTGACCAGATTCACCGACCCCAGCTTCACCCAGTACATCTGGATGATTGAGCCAACGTATTTTCTCGCCTGTCCAAGTTTCCAGGAAGCTGGGTTTCACGGACGCCTGCGGGGTGTTCCGGAGGATACAGGGGGCCTTGATATTGAGTTTCTTCGATCCGGCCTGGTTGAGGCTGAAGCCGAGCGGTGTCGGAAGAAGACCACGGATGGCCTAGCCTTTGCGCGTAGCTCCAAGGTCTACAGGCACATCATTTACATGGTTCCAACTTTTAGCAACCCTAGTGCCAAGGTCATGTCACTGCGACGCCGCAAAGAAGTCGTGCAGCTTGCTCGAGAGTTTGACGCTCTTATCATATCCGACGATGTCTACGACTGGCTCCGGTGGCCTCACCCGAACAGCCCAGACGGCGCGGAGATGCCTAAGCCTCTACCTCGGCTGGTGGACGTGGATTGTGCTATGCCTGGAAGCAGCATCTGGGGTAACGCCGTAAGCAATGGATCTTTCTCCAAAATTGTGGCGCCCGGGGTGAGGGTGGGCTGGATTGAAGGCTCCCCGTTTATTGCGAAGGAGCTGTGCAAGATTGGTCCTGTGCATTCTGGAGGCTGTCAGAGTCAGCTTTCATCTATGCTGATCGGGCAAATGCTGGTTTCGGGCAAGTTGGAAGAGCACATCCAATCGACGCTCATTCCTGTGTATCAGCGCCGCCACCGGGCAATGCTCAAGTCTATCCAAATGCACCTATTGCCCCTTGGATTCAAGATCCCCTCCATCAAAACTGTCGAGGGCAACGGCGATGAGGCAGGATTGGCAGGTGGTTTCTTCTTGTATTTAGAGTTCCCCACCGGTTCACCCCCAGCCGAGACCGTAGCAAAGGTTGCCTTGGAGGAGTTCAACCTACGGATAGCGCACGGAGGCATGATGTGTGTAGCTGGGGACGCAGGAAGCGTGCAGCGGGGGAAAAAGGGCTTCGGTCAGGGCGCGAGGCTGTGTTGGGCCTGGCATGAAGAGGCCGACATTGACGAGGGTATTCAAAGATTAGCTTTAGCATTCCGTAGCCTCCCGCAGTGTACAGGCGCGATCAAGCAGCTGCAAACTGATGAGACCTAAGAACTTGATTGTTCGGCAGCGGTAATGGAATAGTGACTGATGAGTCAATTTGAGGGCCCGTGATAACGAGGCGGCTAATGCTCTTTGGTGCGACGTAACCGGTGTCAGACCCTGTTCATCATGTGTTGCTTGATTGTCACACCACCTTGGCCAAAGTTGAATCCCTAAGTAAACTAATTCGTCCTGACCTGTGACGCGTAGGGCGGGATTTGCTCCGCTAGCTAACAGCGGACATTTGAGCGTCAGGCTTAGCTTTCTGACTAACCAGACTTAAGGTTTCCCCGCAATCCTCGTACTCCTCAGTCATCCAGAAGTGCGGACTCTAGCGCCGACAGTGTCTCTCGAGCGCACATGATTGCCTGTACGCTCTATTTAGAATTACCTGTCGACCAGTTCCACCTCCAAAACTATATAATCATTCGGGGTGGACTGGGAGGTCGAGAAGAAAACACACAAAGTTGCTTCCGTCATGACCGAGAAAACTACCAGACGCAGCAACGTCACAGTGGCCAGCGGCGATGTCCAGGACGTCAAACAGATCCCCAGAGATCGCGACATTGCCGCCGAGCTGACTGAGCAGTTCTCTAACGAGCCCGGATTTGACCGTGAAGAAGAACAAAAACTGCGATGGAAAATCGACATGCGCCTGATTCCCATCCTGTTTATGAACATTACGCTTCCAGCAATGGACAAGGTCACACCGTCTACTGGCGCGCTGTACGGTCTTCGTGAGGACCTCAATTTGAAAGGCGATCAGTACGCTTGGATAGGGTCTGCATTTTATGTAAGTTTCCAAATGGAACCGAGACGCGAACAGGCAAGCAAGAAAAACCCAGGTCGGGTAGAATCAGGCCATTGGGTGTGACGTGCTGACTCTGGTTCCAGTTCGGCTACCTTTTTTGGTGCTTCCCCTCATCCCAGATTCTCCAGCGTCTTCCGGTCGCAAAATCCATATCTGGTACGATGGTTGCCTGGGGCTTGGTCCTCATTGGTGCTGGCTTCAGCAAGAGTTTTGTTCCCATGGTTATCACGCGAATCCTGCTGGGCGCCCTCGAGGCCCCCGTTGCGCCGGGCAACTTCCTTATTATGACCATGTGGTATACGCGCAAGGAGCAGCCTGTTCGGACAGGCCTATTCTATACCGGTGAGTTGGACTACAAGCAATGAATGAAGAGAATGGTGAATTGAACGAGTGGCTCATGCGATTCTTGGACAGGCCTTGCTACTCTCATTACCGGATCTCTTGGCTGGGCTGTTGGTTTTATCCACTCAGACTTGGCCTGGCGCAGCTTCTTCTGGATCACTGGCGTGATTACGCTCATCTATGCCGTTATTGTCGGCATCTTTCTCCCCGACAACCCCGTCAAGGCCAAGTTCATCTCACAGCGAGAAAAGTACGTCGCAGTCGAACGCATGCGCGCCGACCAGCTGGGAATCGAGAACAAAACATTCATTAGATCCCAGATCTGGGAGCTGGTTAAGGACCCCAAGACCTGGCTTATGTTCTTCTTTCACGTCTGGGTCTCTATTCCTAACGGTGGCCTCACCAACTTTGCCCCCTTGATTATCAACGGCCTCGGATATTCGCCCCAGAGATCTACCCTTCTCATGATGCCAACTGGAGCCATTCAAACCTTGAGTAGCTATCTCTGCAACTTCGGGGTGTACTTTTGTATCAGACGCTTCCCCAATTTGCAGCTGCGCGGTGCTTTCGTCATCGGAGGCCTTGTGGTTGGCATGATTGCTACCGTTCTCCTCTATACCTTACCCACCGATGCCTATGCCCGGAGACTATTGGCTCTCTACTGGTCCTACTTTTACTTGGGTCCATATATTGGTGAGTGCACTCCGTATCCATCAAAGTTCTGGAAACTTTCACGAGGTCTCTGCCTGAAAGAGCCGAACTAACTACCATAGTCTCGCTAGGAATGAACAGCGCCAACACGGCCGGACACACCAAAAAAGTCACCATGAATGCCGTTGTCTTTGCCGGATACTGCATCAGCAATATCATCGCCCCACAGTTCTTCAAGGCTTCTCAGGCTCCTCTATATCCTCTAGGCATAGGCGTCATGCTAACCTCCTACGTTTTAAGCATCAGCACCATATCTCTGTACATGCTGTATTGCTGGAAAGAGAACCGCAGACGTAATAGGGCCGATAGTGGTGTTGATCAGCGAGTTCATACGGATACGGACTTTAACGACATGACGGATCAGGAAAATGTTCACTTCCGGTATGTGTGGTAGGTGTTGGCTGGTTGGTCTATGCCAGTGACATGAGATTCATTATATGTATCAAAAGACATCAATTAGAGAACAGTAGCTTTTACATACAGTTACTTACGGATAACAAGATACAGTTGTCGGTACTGCAATGTTTAAGTTGAAGTGAGCGTGTTGTGTGGATCACCAATACAGTTGATCCAAGTAAATTACAACTCGGTTCAGACGGGCCATATTTCGTTACTTCTGTTCCACGAACAAAACCTTATCGCACGCGCTTTGGCTCCAGCCACTGTTCACATCTCCCTATCTTGATCTGCCTGGTTCGTTCGGAACGGGATTTACTTGTCAAGGCCAGGTCTTGCTCGTTGTGGTAGTGGTATTATTTGCGGCGCCCGCTCGCAGGTAGTAGGTACGAGTGGCGTATCTTGGCTGCCCAGGGTCGTGATATTTGGTGGATCAAGCGGAAGTCTAGATGATCCAGGGCCCTAGGCTCAGGATCCGCACAATCAGCGCGGAAAACGTCATGGTTGGGCGAGACAGTCACGCGGTAGCTGTAGGTAGCTTCAGACCTCCAACGTCTTGGGCTAACTGGCTCCCTAAAAGCAGTTCTAGACTCGGAGCTTCGATAAGCCACAATAAAACAGCGCACAATAATGGTCGCTCGTGTCCTGCACTGCGCGGCCATTGATTTCTAGATGAGCTGGGGAATGAGCTGGTGACTTAAGGTACGGTGATGTACAGCGGGTATTCAGTTTCACTATCCGGTTGCTGGAAGACAGGGAAAGCGCTCACGGAACGAGGTTTTTAACGGCCTGGAAGGAGCTGTTTCGGACCCTCTTTGTATCTTAACATCTAAACCGTGGTTAGATCTTCCATCTTCGGCTCAATGGTAAAATTACTCAGCAACAACCGGGCCGTTCCAAAATTTTCAATGGCATCGTCTCTGATTGAGGGCGAAGTCACATCACACCTCACGCGTTCGTTCTTACATCGTGTACAAATCCCGTCACACGGTGGCGTCATAAAACTCACCACGTTCATTTAGTACATCCGAGTTGTCCGATACCTGAGATGAGATAAGCTCCTGGGAATGCGGTAACTAGCTCTGCGCCCACTTCATAATTTTCTCCCATACCAGCCCGCCATCATGAGAAGTTTCAATGCCCTTAACCGAACTGACTGTGTTCTCAACACTCACGCGGTAGGTTCCGTCATCAGTATCAATGAGCTCTTGAGCGATCTGTTGAGTCATCTCGGGATGACCCTGAAAAGTCAATATCTTCTTCGACTCGGAGATAAGAATTTCATTGTTTTCAGCGAGTGCCGTGAAGCCCGGCGCTAGGGACGTGATATAGCGTTTATGGAATTTAAGCAGCCCCTATACAGCAATGTCAGCGCTTTTCAGAATCGGAGAAGCAGACTCAGCATCTTCCTATCGGTACACCTCGAAGTGAGATGCTGGAGATTGCTGAAGTATTGGGGTAGGGAACATACAAGAGATTTGCGGCCAAAAATCTCCTGACCAGCGGGAGTAAGTTCGATAGTCTCGACGCCAACCTACACGTTGTTCATTAGTAACAATATCCAGTTTGCGGCCCAGAAAATCCCCGCTACTCACTCGCGATCCCTCTACTAGAGGAGACAAGGTGGCACCATGGGCAAACTGAACTACCTGGTGGCCCCAGCAGATACCCAGCACCTTGGTGTTATTCCGGTTAGCAGCAAGGTCTCGAATCTGGTTCAATACCTGCTGCACCCATGCTGGAAATTCGTCAAACGAAGTGCTCAGGAGGTTGAAGGTGCCTCCCGTAAGGATAATCAGATCATACTGGTCCACGCTAGGAAGTGCCTCTCCGCCGCAAGCTTCGCAAATATCGACTTGAGCCGAAGGAACCTGTGTGATGTGAAGCATGAAAGAGTCGACTATAAGCTGTCCCCAGGCATAGCCCGTGGTGTAGTCTTTCAGTAATAGAACCTTCATGATGACTATAGTCGAGTCCTAGACTAGTACTCGGTTCGTAAGAAATGCAAAACTAAGAGGCAGCTAGGTTGCTTTTCACGTACTTAATACATTAACGTAGCGAGCTAATAACGAGTCAGTTTCTACTTACTAACCGCCTCTACAGTTCGCTTTTAAGTAGACTAGATTAATTTTATAGTTTTTAAGCGTCGGATACGCTAGAGAGTAGTATCGCTCTCAGTTAGTTAGTAGACTAGTATACTATAAGGATCAGGGACTAGATAGGTATATATTGGTTAAAGCTTAAAGATTAAAAAGAGGTACCTATATATATATAGTATAACACTAGATTATACACTATAGTAATTTATAGCTTAATATTTGCCTGCTAGCACTTGTATATAGGCTAACGGGCACTAGCCCTTACCCTGGACGTTAGAAGTCGGAGCGGTCTCCGACCCGCCGCGGTTAATCGACTCCCTTGATCGACCTCGCAGACACTCGTCGAAAGCTGCACATTGAAGAGCAGGGTAATGCTCAAGGCAGTCCGTGAGGATAAGTCGAGACACGAGGGATAGAAGGTAGCTTCCAGTCTACACCAAGTGTAGCGGGTTGAGGTAAACAGCCGGAGGCATGAAGCCGTCGCACCAGATAATCAGAAAGGCAAGAGGGAATGAAAAGGAACAGAAACAGACGGCTAGCACAACGATCTCGTGCTTGATTCAGTCACAAGTGGATCAGAATTGAATTATGCGCGAGATGAAAAAAGGGTGCATAGAAAACCCGATTGAATTCGATAGCTAATGAACGTGTTTTTGTGTCCTGCTGATTCTTGTGAGGGATGTGTGTGTTGCTACCTCCTCTGATATCCCCGTATCCTCCTGCGATATCCGCCCCCCGAAAATCCTCGCGATAATATCTTCCAATTCAGATAATCCTTGTGGAGTCGCATCCATGCACCTAGGCGTCATTGCTTTTACCCCGCATGGATAGACTTGCTCAGGTGTTAACGATCCTAGGGTGAGAGCCAGAGCTTGTGGAGGTCCTGCGTAGATGAATTCTTCACCAGCCTTAGGCCTATATATCTATTCGCATCTCCATCCCTACTTTTGCATTCACATCTGCTGAAAATCGTCCTTAGTCGTCTCTGGTGCATTAACCCTATCTTCCAGAACTAATTATGACCAAAAAGTTGGAGATGGGGGCAGACAACGCCCGCAACCTCAGCCGGGGCGACCTTGATGCTGCGGCCAACGATGTCACTGTTGGGGGAGACTCAAGAAGTACACACTGACATTGGTCTGGAGTACTACCGCCAGTCTCAGCTGATGGATCCTGCGCGATGGGACGAGGTAGCCAAGCGAGTCCTGAGGAAGGTCGACTTTATTCTGCTTCCTGCCGTAAGTTACCATCTCTCTGTCATTGTGGAACGAATTCTGACCGTGTCAATTCAGATGACCTTGATATATCTCCTCTCATTTTTGGACAAACAGACTCTCAACTATGCCTCCGCATATGGTCTAAAGAAAGACTTGAATCTTGTTGGAGACCAGTACTCGTGGATCCCATCTATCACCAATATCGGTTACCTAGTCGGCTCCTACCCGTCTAGCATCTGTCTGCAGAAACTGCCAATTGGAAAGTTCATCTCCTGCATGCTCCTGTGCTGGAGCATATTACTAGTCTGTACTATCGGCACAAAAACTTTACAGGCTTGATAGTGCTGCGATTCTTATTAGGCGGACTCGAGGCTTGTATTGGTCCCGCCTGGATGCTCATCACAAGTATGTTCTGGAAGCGCGATAAGCAACTCCTGCGCATGTGTATCTGGCTGGGATGTAATGGTGTCTCGCTCATGTTGGATGCCGGTATGTCCTGGGGTCTCGGCCACACTGAGAACCCGCACTTGCAGCCCTGGCAGCTTGTATTCCTTGTAAGTCCGGCATGGGTTGATCTTTCTTAGCAATGTCCCTGATGTTCACGGTCTTGCAGGTAATTGGTATTCTCACTATTGCCGCGGGCTCTGTCGCCGCCTTCTTCTTTCCTTCCAGCCCTCGACTTTAAGTTTTTCACTTACGAAGAGAAAGTCGTCTCCGTATGGCGCGTAGCCAAGAACCAGACTGGCATAAGCATAATGCCGTCCATCGCTACCAGATTAAAGAGGCCCTTCTGGAGCCTCGTATCTGGTTCATCGCCTGCCAGCAGATTGCCATTGGCATCATCAACGCCAGCATCACCAATTTTATGAGCGCTCTTCTGGCTGGTCTTGGCTACAGGCCTGCACAGGTAATCTTATAGCAGCTCCCCAATGGTGCTTTTCAGTTGGTCATGACCATTGTTGCTGGTACCATCGCCTCAAACGTGCGAAACACGTCCATCATCTGTGCTATCGCGGTCCAGATTCCATCTCTCGCCGGAATTCTTGGTATTGCCTTGGTTCCTATAGAGCACCGCCTGGCACTCACAGCGTGCTGCTGGTTGCTAGGCATTATTGGCGCTGCTATCATTCTAAATTGGTCTATCGTCACGTCAAATATTTCAGGACATTCTAAGAGAATGACGGTCAACGGTCTCAACTTTGTCTGCTACGCAGCAGGAAACATTATTGGGCCCTTTTTATTTCAAGCCGCGGAAGCCCCTCGTTATCACTCTGCCATTTGGGCATTGTGCAGTGTGTACGCTGCTTGCATCATATTTACAGCTCTTATTGGACTGACTATGTGGGTTTCAAACATTCGCCGAGACAAAGCGAACAGGGGGTCTGTATCTTCGGCGGGGGAAAGTGAGGATGCGTTTAAGGATTTAACGGACAGGGAGAACCGCAACTTCCGTTATAAACTGTAGTTTATGGATCTAGCTAAATACTTTCTACATACCCTCAAACAATAGACCAGCTCTGTCTGTACGACTTGGACGACAGGTATCCCTAAGCACTAGGCCGCTTTTTGATGTTAATTTTGTTCTATCACGAATGAGCCTGACCAGTCATTTGTTCAGCATATTAAGCTGAGAGCCTTTATATGATAACTGGCAGAGAGTTACCGAAAATCATCCAAAAACTGTCTAGACCTCAATTTGGCCCTTTATGAGCTCCACTATGGGTGTAAAATGACGATACTTTCAAAGGCAGTGACTCAAATTCACGCGTAAATTATGATTTGCACTTACTGCGGTATATACGGTCGGCAACGACTGGGAACTCAGCTCACTTTGCGTCAGTAGTAGTGACAGAAGATAGCTACTCGTAGGTTCTTAGCTACACCGCGGTGTTGGCGAAAGCCTATCATCAGAACCAACACGGGCCCGTTCACCTGGCGAAGCCGAAAGGAAAAGTACGACGAGACACGGCCAGTCTGCTTGCAATATCTCTGCAAGAAGTTACCCTGCCTATCGCCTGCATCTCATTTTCACTCTCAGCACGGCGCAGAACACGGCAATGAGGCACTTGACTTGATCCTGTTGGGTTTAACCCCGGAGAATGATGGCCGATGACCCTCTGAGGCCTTGACTAAATCAACTGACTTCGATTTGGGCATGGATATCGTGGAAACGTGTTGGGGGAGTCGCTAACCGTCCACACCGATCATTTGTCGCTTTTATTGGGGCGGCAAAGTAGCAGCACTGAAGTTTGGCCGTACGGGCCTTCCATGTTGCCTCCACAGAGGCAGCGGCCGTATCTAATGGACTTAGCCAAGTGTTTAACTGCCTTCTGGATAGGATAGCGCAAGGGCCAGTCACCTCATTCTGACTACAGATAGCTAAAGGTGATACCAATGGTGTTATCTTTGACCACCTCTAAGAAGTCGGCCCCCTTGTAAAGGACGTAGTCTCGAGGTATCGGCATCTGCTTTCGGACCTCTTGCACGTATTTGTCACTGAGTACTACGACCACACGGCAATCACCAGGGTGGTTTCCATGGAGCTGTCCACAAGTATTAGGAGGCTCCTTGTACCAGAATTAAAGTATGAAGCATAGCATCTGGTCGAGAGTCCCTACGTGACACAACTCTGTGACTCGCGGCTCTTATTCCTGCGTCCCTCGTATCTTTGACTTCGGCCGTCGAAGGGTTAACGCGAGTGTTCAACCACCATTCCCGACAGCAGATGACTTCCTCAATTTTTGTTAGCTGCAAGCCAATTGTACTTCATTCACGGCATCACCATCAGCAAACTCCGAGGTCGCCATCTGCGGCTGCATGCTTCCAAAACGTACTACATTTGTACCTGCTGAGCACCCTCGGCGTCAGCGACGTAGGACAAGTGAATGAGCCAATAAGAGCGGAGAATGTATTACCGGGCGCTATTCTTAGCCTTGAGCATCTCCCAGCATCGGCGCGCATCAAGCACCAGTATTTGCTGCGCCTTGCCGGTTTCTGGATTGTGTCAGGCCGACGACGAGCGACGACATATACGTCGGCAATATTTGAACACCATGTTTCTTACGATTGATTGAGGCAACATCTTATCGACATTGGCAATACTAGAACACGTTTGGGCACGACCACGAGATGCGCAGAGTCTGTGGACCTTTTGCCGGATTACGTACGAGGATGAAATACGGATCTTATTGGCCTGAAAATGCGTAAGAACACGGGTTCTCCCACCCTGAGATCTTTAGCCCTTCCTCATTGTACTTTCTGTCTATCAACTTTTAGTGCCCTTGATTCTTTGGAGGCTTAGGGACAGGACCCTCAGGTGTCACGTATGCCTTTGTCAATCCACCATCTACAACAAAGTCATGTGCGTTAACAAAACTGCTCTCATCGCTAGCGAGGAAAAGGGCAGCTTGAGCCTGCTCAATGGCCTCGCCGAATCGACCGGTGGGGAAGTGAACTTCACGGCGGAATCGCTTGGGCTTGTCGTCACCGAGGAACTCCTGGAGCATCGGAGTGCTACAAAAGGGGCATGTCAGAACTTGTTGACCATCAGGGCTCTGTGAGACGGATGACATAACGACTTACTTGAGGGGTGCAGGGCAGAGAGAGTTGAAGCGGAAGCCTGCAAGGAAGGAAAGAGGGTCAGTTGGTGTTCTCTATACCCAGCTGTCAGGGCTGACGGATCAGCGTAGACCTACCTTCGCGCGCATGAACAACAGCCATCTCCCGGGTATATGCAAGGACAGCACCCTTGCTGGCAGTGTAGGCAACCTGCGGTGTTGCGGATCCGACAATAGCGACCATACTGGCCGTGTTGATGATACTGCCTTTGGACTTGCCGTGCTTCCTCAGTGATCGCACGGCATGTTTAGAGCCATACCAAACGCCCTTGACATTGATATTCATGGTCAGGTCCCAGATACTATCGGGGCACTCCTCCGAGTCTCCGTCCTTGGGGTGCATGATGCCGGCGTTGTTGAACATAACATCGACGCCGCCCCAGGAGTCAAGATGTGCAACCGCTGCCTCGATTTGATCTTCTTTGGACACGTCGACGACCTTTGTCTCTACTTTGCCGTCGTGGTTGGGGACGACGCTCTTGACCTTGGCAAGAGCTTTACCGAGCGCGGTGTCGTTGACATCGATCATCAGGACAGAAGCACTCTCCTGGAGGAAGAGAATAGTGGATTCAAGACCGACGCCGCTGAGAACAATATCTGGTTAGAATTCTCTAACCCCGTCTATAGTTCCACAATAGAATATTGATAGGGATGAATAAATACGTACCCAGCTGCGCCGGTGATAATGGCGTTCTTTCCAGTAAGTCGTCCGACCATTGTGAAGTGCAGCGACAGGTCTCAGGGCAAAGATGTGTTGGTAAAAAGGAAATACAACGCTGGGGATACGAAAGGGGGCGTCAGGCAAATATGGCTTCTTTATACTTTCTGTCGCCATATTTCAACAGGTAGATGCGGAGCTCATCGTTGTACTCTTTGGGTCCCGGCGACGCGCTGGTCTCGTATCGGACACAGACTGACGATTCCGGAGTTCCGTCGATCACTCGACGTCGTCCTGCCTACCCGTCCAGCCATCGGAAGCGCGGTCTTGATTGTGATTGGACGGATTCTTTGAATAAGACTGTTCGTACAAAGCCAATCCTGATCTACCCCAAAGGAAACCCTCGGCTGAGTGAGGATGCGTCCAAACTCCTCTCCACTTACGTAATAAGAGTCTGCCAGGTAAATTAAACGGAGGATGGGTTGATGGCGGATGAACGCTCTCGGGTAGTTTGACGGCGCGAGAGAGGTCGCGGCGGTAAAGTAGTGGCGCTTGGTGCCCTCAGTTAATGATTGCAATATAGTATTAGCTGGGCCCCAATCATATTCTATTCCGCCGCCTTAACTGGGCATGCTCCATTCAAACATGGAGAGTGACTCGCCACCTTGTACTCCCATCCACCTCTAAAAAAGAACATGATAAATTAGCCGTTAAGAGGAGGACGGCCTTCGATGGTTTCCTGAAAATATCGCTTCATCATCCCGTCTTCGTCCATCGCCCGAACTCCCTATTCCGACATCCCCATCAGCAACAATGGCGTCCACCATCAGAACCATATCCCCCTCAACAAACAAAGTCATCTGTGAACGACCAGAGACCTCCCTTGCCGAGGCGCGCAAGATTTCCCGGCGATCTGAGGCGGCTTTCCAGTTATTCCGGAAGCTCCCGCTCGCTAAACGTCGTGCCATAGTCGAGAGGGGCCTGGCTGGCATCCAAGAACGCAAGTTCGACCTTGGCCGTGAGCTCGCTGAGCACATGGGACGTCCTATTGCGGCGAGTCACAAAGAGATTGAGACGATGCAGAAGCGAGCTGATTATCTCCTTGATATGGCCGAAGAGGCGCTGGCAAGCTTGCCAGGACGACCTGAGACTGGCTTCCGGAGGGAAATTAAGAAGATCCCCGTTGGCCCTACGCTCATTGTCTTTGCCTGGAACGTGGGTTACTACCCTGGGAACATTTATTAGTCAATGTGAACTCTATCTGACATTTTGTACATGGTAGTTTCCTTATCTCATCATTGTCAACGCCCTAATTCCAGCGCTGCTGGCCGGAAACTCGGTGATCCTGAAACCCTCGCCTCAAACACCACTCATCGGTGAGCATCTTGTCGAGATATTCAACAAAGCTGGCCTACCCAAGGATGTTCTACAAGTCATCCAGTCTGGCGACCCGCAAGCTCTTAAGGAGTTCGTTAAGCTGCCCGAGCTGGGCCTCATCAGCTTCACCGGATCTACAGTCGGCGGCCTGGCCATTCGTGAGGCTGTGAGTGGTCGCACCATTCCCGTCAACCTGGAGCTTGGAGGCAATGACCCGGCCTACGTCCGACCGGATGCCGATTTGCATTACGTCGCAGCTCAATTGGTCGATGGTGCTGTCTTCAATTCGGGTCAGAGCTGTTGTGCTGTTGAGCGTATCTACGTGCATGCCGACGTGCATGACGCCTTTATTCACGAACTCAAGAAGGAGCTCAAGAAGTACGTTCTGAATTCAATACTGAAGTCTCGGCTGCGCATCAAAATTAATCAGAATGGTACTGATTTACTAACACTATTTTCGCAGGTATAGGCTCGGCGATCCCCTCGATAAGGACACCATGGTCGGTCCGGTCATTTCTCGCGCTGCCCAGGAGACTATCAATGCGCAGATCCAAGACGCACTGACCAAGGGTGCTGTGGACGCGACCCCTGAGAATGAGAGCTTCGCTAACGCATCTCCTTCGGGCAACTATGTCACTCCCATACTGTTGACCGACGTGACGCATGACATGGATGTCATGCGCGAGGAGACATTCGGTCCAGTCATCCCTGTCGCGAAAGTCAAAAATGATGAGGAAGCAGTGCGTTTGATGAACGATAGCGACTACGGTTTAACCGCTAGTATATGGACCAAGGACATCGCCTATGGAGAGGAGTTGATCGAGCAGCTCGAGGCCGGTACAGTTTTTATCAACCGATGTGATTACCCGAACCCCGTGAGTGACACTGTCTTCTCTTGGGCTTAACTAATGCCGCGAACGATCATTACTGATAAAAGAAATTTTAGGATCTGGCTTGGACGGGTTGGAAGAAATCAGGCTTAGGTTGCACCTTGGGACCTCGTGGTTTTGACGCATTTGTCAAGCTGAAGAGCTACCACGTAAAGGAGGCACAGGCTTAAGGATAATAAAAAGGTAGTTGGAGGACCCGATTTCACTCTAGTCATTTGATAATTGGTAGTATTTCATGAAAGACTTTGCTCATTTTCTGTGCTCCTGAAAGTCACGCCCGAGCTGTTGCTCCTCTGGGCTACAAAGTAATGGTTGAAATCACGTACATCATGCGCTTCCATTGTTTTTGTCGAGGTTTCCTCCTCATCACAAGAAAGATCTATAAATCGGCTTCATTCATCTACTGGTTTTCCTCTAGCAGGAACCTCCAGATGGCTTCTCCAACAAATTCACGGTCATGTATCTTGTGGGCTCTGCGGTTGGCGTCGTCGAGTAACTTGTCCTCGAAGACGCCCTGGCGATGCCTGACATCAAGAATATTTCCCATTATTGTGGCATTGAACTCCGGGTGAGCTTGGATGGAAAAGATCGTACCCGGAATATATAAACCTTGGATTTCGCAGGCCGGACTAGTTCCCAGATTTACGACACCTTGAGGTGATTGGAGAACGGCATCGCGATGCATCTGGTGTAGGGACTTCCAAGGTATTAGCTTCTGACTCTAGAAAAGCAGTGAGATGCTATTGGATCCGCTACGGCGAAATGGCTTACTAGATATTTCGCACCAAAGAGCTCGGCACCTTTTTCAGTCAGGTCGATATGCTCGACTGACACTTCCCAACCGCCAGGACTGCGTTAGACATGACCACCGAGGGCTCTCCCTATGATTTGGTGGCCAAAGCAAATGCCAGTAATGGGGATTCGGCCGGTCTCGTGGACCTTAGGGACGTGGTTGACGGTCCGAAGAATCCATTCATCATTATCGAACGAGCTGTGTTCTATTTACCAAAAGATTTGCTTAGTGCTAAGTTCCGTTTGCATTGACAATGCCACAAAACAATGGATGTGCTGACATACTGCTACCACTTAAAAGTAGACAGTCAACCGCATCGAGCGCTGGCAGGTTTTCCATTTCGACCATGTTGCTCTTAACCACCTTGAGTTCTGGTACCGGGGCAGCAGCGGTTGTTGCGTACTTGGCAAGGCTATTCTCCAGAAACGGTCCGAAAATTTCGCCATACGTGCCATATTTCTCGATGACGGACTCGATAGGGGTGTCGCACTCCAAATTGCAACTGTGAAGGATCGCATCGTGGCGGATAGTTTGTAATGGATAGTTTGTAACAAGTCCACCGGGATTCCAGCAACGTCAAGTCTCGCTGCTCGAGAATATTTCAACAAAGCCCTGCAAACGATAGCAGCTTTCGCGAGAGGCGGCTATTCGTCCACTGCAATACAACCAAGCGCGGATAAGCTCTCCTAGTTGATATTTCATTCTGGTAATGATAATATTGAGGTATCTTGGTACCGCGATGACTTGCTTCGTCAAAAGTTGGTTCAGAGCAATCAGCTGGTGTCCCGCATTTAGAGGCTACCCTGAACCCTTCTTACCCAACACGGCGGAAACGCTTTGGATTGGGCCTCGTTGAGCTGCTGCAACGATTGTGGGAGATCGGATCTGAATTACGAATTACAAATCGAAAGTTAAATTTCTCAAGACCGTCAGTCTGGTGTTGGTGAGTGCGACTCGATTAACCGCGACGGATGAGAGTGTGTTGGCCCTTTATCGACCTCAACAACGGGGTGGACAAGAGGTTACCCCAAAGGTCCACTAAAAAAAACCTTAAAAGCAACAAAACCAGACGCTGTCAAATTATGGCCGATTAGTGGTTCATTGAATTGGTGATCGATTGGGCATCTGAAACATTTGAAAACCAGTCTGTTGGTCTTTTCGCAACTAAGGACATAAGCAAGCTTACTTTTGTGTGGAGACTTCAGAGCAAGGTCTCTTACTCGATACAACCAATCATCGTCTTTTGCGCGCAGGTTCATTCCCGCAATCCGGGCAAACACCTAGCTCCTACCCGGTTAGTATAGCCAGCCTCCAGTTAGCGGGGATCCGCGCAGCATTGACTGTCTCGGTAGAGAAGATATCAAAGATTGATGGTGAGTCTCAAGTCTGAAAGGATTGCGTGGCGAACTGATTGGAATCTTGCCCGTATACAAGAACGATTATTGAACCCTCCAAATTATGTTGGAAATACACTGTTCCGGAACACCGTTCAAAGTAATTCCCCTCTGACCCAGAAAAGATACAAGATCCTTGTATGGTAGAAACAGCAGGCTGACTGGTCTGTAGATTGGCCGGAAGCACGGGCTAGAAGCCCGAGATAAGGTCCTCGGATCTCTGGCCTTCTACAAGAGACTCTTTTGGTCTACCTGTGCCCTGGACTGGTCAAGGGTGTGCGACGAAGCGTCCAAGTACATAAGTACGCTGGAAACCCTATGTCCAAAATATCTAGATGAGCTTCGCGGCGTCGCCGAAGGGGCCAACGTCGATTTGCTGGGTATCGTTGCTCTTAACGTCCGGGCTGAGATCACCTTCGGACTCTTCACGCTACCCGTCAAGATCGACGGTTGCACCAGCCTGGCTGTTAAATTAAAGCGAGCGGCTGTCACTTTTGGTCGTCCGACGAATGCCGGGGAACGTATAGAGGTTGCATTCTAGCCTACCTCGAGCTTGATTAAAAAGTTTCAATTGAGAACGCATCTCTTCTTGACCGAGGCCGTATGGTTGTGTATGCTTCCATGAATCCACCCCATGAGTTGAACACTGTTCGATTTGTATACCACTTTGAATTTGTAACGCTTATCTCAATCCCAAAGTCAGCATACCATATTGCAAAGATCATGATAGAGGATGTCTCTGATTGGGCCAGCTAATTATCAAGTCATAGATAGTGTATTGTGTCCACCCGATACACAAAGCTTGGCCAAGCACCTACGTCATGATCGATCATCAACATGCCAAACTAGAACTCTCCCAATGCACGAGCGCTTGACGATGAATTTTGCGGAGGCATATAACTGGCTTTGAACGTTCAGTGTGGCGGGAGACATATACGGACACAGTTTGGATCATTGTGCGAGTGGAGCAAGGCCAAATCTTTGGCTCGCCACTCAGCGGTGCCATCTTTGCACCAATATGCAGCAACAGAAAGCTCAGTTTCCCGGAAAGCTCCTAATAGATTCGGATGGTGGGTATTTGAAGACTCTATCATGGTGCCTAGTGACTGCAGCCTAACTAGGTCTTCATCACTGTCAGCATTATCATCGTCAGAACGAAGTATATCGTGTTCTCCACGTTGAGAACATTGTATCAGTGTCAGAGAACATCGATGCGATCTATAGATGCCCAAGTCGATGCAGAGTCTGGAAGCGAGGCTCACCAGCTGCGTGGGGTTACCTCGATCTGGTTCAAAGAGACTATGAAAAGCCAAAAGAGCAACGTTGCGTAGTGTTTGAATACTCTCTTCCCTTGTCGCCTCCTCAACACACTCCATAGCGCGATTTCGGAGGGTTCCTGCTAACAGAGACAGTAATGAGACTTGACGATGGTGAGGAATTGATAAGCAAGAGATGGAATCAATTATGTTGAGCTGGAATTTTTGCTCAGGCAACGTCGCGTCCGCGCTTTGCTCGTCAGTAGCGACAAGCGGTTAGTCAATAATGGGGTATAGAGGTTGAATATGTCATATGAAATCGCGGACGAGAGAGGTGTGTAAGCCAGGAGACAGCTGGAATGTCTTGTGGAGCTCCGACTCAAGCGTTGAAGCCTCAGGAATGTCCAACGCGGAGCGATGTTTCGTTGATACTGATAATGACGCGGGGATGGTAGAGCCGGGCCCAGGAAAGAGCCCAACCTGCTTCTCAGGAGCAGGAACATTGGCTCCGAGGTTGAAAGAGGCATGGTCTTAGGATTCAAGTTCTTGCAGCAGGGATGCTAGAGATACGACAACCCAATTCAGCACAAGCACGGCCCAGTTAGCTTCGTATGCCTCTGTTGATCAACATCAACGTGCGAGGCTGAATGGATATAGAATTGCTACCTTCTTGGAACTAGCTGCCCTAGAATAGGATCGTAAAACGTGCATTCTGCGAGGCCCGCGTTCCCACAATTGCGGCACTTGGGCAGTGTCACATTATAACATCGATGCTTTTCTCGACATCGCCTGCAAGCTGGCACTGTCCAGAGAAGACGCTCAACAGTAGAGGGCCTAGACGGAAGATTGGAAGCCTGCATCTCGCAACTGTTGGGAGGACTGGTGGAGAAATCAACACGACAATGCGATATGCGCTGTGGTGCTGGCGGCCCGGAAGTAGTCAGGCGAGAGGATTTGGCATTCCAGGGTCACCGGCCCCCTTGTGGTTAACCCAGTAAGTAGTTAGTAAGCCCCTGAATTGGCCAAGAAGCCTTGTTTGCATCGTAAAGTTGACTGCCGTAGCTGCTAATGATTGGCTTCGATAGCCGGTGTAAAGTGTCGATATCCGCTAGCCCACTGAAGACTTTTAGCTTGCGTTTTCATCGTCGTGATAAGGTCTTCAGGAGCATCGCCACACTTTCGCATATTCTCAGCATTCAATAGTCGGCGAATTGAATCCCTTTTTACCTTATAAGAAACCTCAGAAAGTAGGTCCTGATGGGTCACACGTGGTTGTTCGGCAATAACATACAAGATTCGCGCTTTATCGTCCTCAGTAATCTTCTTCCGGCGGCCAGAGCGAGGCTTCGAGATGCCTAGTTTCCTCTCAGCCTCTTTCTTAATAGTATATGCGATAGTTGAGAGTGAAATCCAGGGACATCGGCGATGAATGCGCCTATATCCCCAGCCAATATCATGTAGCTCACATATACGCTCTCGAAGCGCTGGTGTAAGCTTTTTTGATCGAGCCATTAGGCCAGAGATCAAAATCTACACCAATACCAGCTAGAAGATAGGGTAAGAAGATATAAAGGAATCTGTAGGATAGGGGATTCTAGTCTAATCTTACCTCGTCGCGCGTTGCATGCATTCTAGCGTGTTTTCTTACTACGCGTATTTAGTAGGCGGTAAGACTTACTATAGACGGTCAGTGAAGTGGGGGCCGAGGTTGTTCCAAAAACTTTTGCGTAGTCACTGTACCGTCCAAAATATTTCATGACCCAAGGAAAATACCTTGTATAATATATTAAACACTAAGATACCATAAGACTATATACTTATCCTTAAGCGTTGAAATATGAAGTCGTGAAATACTATGTTTTGTATGGTGTTCTGGGGTGTTCCGAATGGCTCTGTGTTCCGAATGGCTGTAGATTACGTTAATGGTAATGTTGTAAATCAATCATTTAAATTGCTTAAAACTTAGATATGTTGCTAAGAAGACCTCTACCCCAATATCCAAGCAATAATAACGTATGGATGTTGAGATATGAAGTGGCAATTTATCGCATTTACTATGTGTTTTGGAGTGGGTGTCAGAGCTCAGGCATGAAGACATCAAATCAACATTGTAGCATTCGACGAAGCAACTAAGCATGAGGGGAGAAGAAGACGGGGGGAAATTAGCTCAAAAGTGGAACAAGGTCAGGTTAGCAAGGTTAGTTGAGCTGGGTTCTGATCACAGTCGGCGGTTCAGAGGGGAATTACGTTGACTAAGCTGCCAAATATAACTAACTAGTTAGTTAGTTAACTAACTAAGTTAAGCCCGATCCCTCCACTCGGTGCCACGGTTAGATAGCGCGGTTCGGCATTTGATTGGTTTCCCCTTAACATTGCATTTGCCGCGATGGTCTAGAAAATCTAGTCGCTTACGGTCGTGCTTTTATAGTATGTTATTTTTGCCATTCAACCTCAGAATGATGGGTCAAAATAACCTGGTAAGATGAAAAATAAGAAGAAAATGTCCTAAGTCCCTATTTCTTGTCCCAGGGTCGAATCATACGCGCCTTACCATCCGGAGAAATCAAAAGACATTCAACAATGGATATCTCACTCCAAAACCACCGATCATATCTTCACAAGCATGTTTCTCACCTACCAACCCCGGCGTTGGTTCTGAGCAAACCAATTATGGAACAGAATATAAAACGCCTACTTGACGATGTTTCCGAGCTTAGAATCTCATTTAGGCCACATGTCAAGACTCTAAAGGTAGGCCAGCCCCCAATCAAAGATACTTATCCATGGCTAAGTCCACGAAATGGAAAAGAGTATTGAAGTTACACGTATGATGCTTGATTATGGAAAGCATCGCAAGATTGTGGCTTCTACTATTTGTGAGATCGAGGGTGCTCTACCACTAGTCCAGGAGGGTATTCTGGACGAAGTAAGTCTGTGTTAACCCCACAGCTGAACGATAGAGGGACAAAGGCTGAACCGCATCATTTTTGAAAGTGCTTATATGGCATTCCAATTACCGAGAATGCCCTTTCACGTCTTGTACCCATCGCTCAATCCTTGAAGATTTTGTTGCTTATCGATAGTGTGCAGCAAGTCGAATTTTTGGAGGAATATGTCACGCGGCACGATGAAATAAAAAAATGGGAAATATTCATCAAGATCGATGTTGGCTCATGTCGCGCTGGAGTTGCAGCAGGCTCACTAGACCTTTCACGCCTTATTCAGCGAGCAGAAGCCTCGCCCGCCGTATCTATCTACGGAATTTACTGTCATGCAGGACATTCATACAGCTGTCGGACACAGCAGTCTGTCGAATCAGTGCTGGAAGCCGAGATAAGTGGGGTGCTGCAAGCCTCTCAGCTCGTGTCACTGGGGAAACGGTCCTTGGTGCTGTCGATAGGATCAACCCCAGCGGCTCATTCAATCCGTTCAATCAGCAACAAACTCCCTCGAGGGATAGCTCTGGAACTACATGCTGGTAAGCTGTGATAAAGCTTTTTTACGGATAGGGAGTTGTGAAAATAATGTTTCATATTTGACAGGAAACTTTCCTACGAATGACCTACAACAAGTGTCCACCGCTGTTGTCGAAGAGAAACAACAAGCAGTTCGAGTCTTGGCGGATGTCTGCAGCGTGTACCCAGAGCGTAATGAAGCCCTCGTTAACGCTGGGGCTATTGCTTTATCTCGAGAGACCAGTGCAGTTCCTGGTTTTGGCCGGGTCGTCGACAAACCAGATTGGCATATCGTTCGACTATCTCAGGAGCATGGCATTCTGGGAATTCCTGTCGACCGAGAATACAAGGACAATAAAAATGTTCTACAAGATTTTCATGTCAATGACAAGGTTTTTCTCTACTGTCAGCACTCCTGTATCACGGCAGCGGCCTTTCATGTATATTACGTGGTAGACGAGAGCGATGTTGTCTGTGACACTTGGGTTCCATGGAAGGGTTGGTGACGCTGCATGGTGTTTAAAAACATGGAATACTAAATGGAAAAAAAGATTATTTCTAGCATGCATTTGTTCTCGTCATATTTTGGATCATCGCCAGTAGCATCAGAAAACTTGAGCAATATAGGATCTTAGTGCAAAACTAAAGATTAAAATGCCATAGATTTCTCAATGGGAATTAGGCCTATGGGCACGGAACTAATATTCGTTATTAAACCTCCTGAGAACAGCTAAAGTACTGTAATCATATGATCCTTGGAAATCTTGCCGGGAGCAAATATCATAAAATTTCAGTGATCATGAATGGCCAATGGTACGTTGACATGATATCAATGCAATGAGCACTATTCTTCCCACGGCAGATTGCATGAAAGATGCCAAGGCAAGCATTTTTCATTGCAATGGAAGAACAAATCTATCATGAACCGATTATACTGAGGCAATGCATTCAATTTCCACTGGGCAGCCTTTTGGAAGCTGCTGGACGGCAACGCAGCTCGCTCAGGTCGGTGCACGAAGTGCTTTTCATAAGCGTTACTTACCTTTTCAAATTTCTGCGTCTTAGTGAGGGAGACCGTTGTTTTAAGGACTTTCTCTTGGCCAGATTCAGCCGCCTCCAATACCGCTCGGGTATTTCAGATACAACGCTCAATTTGTTCCGCAATTGATTCGTCTGGGTATAACCTACCCAATGAAGCCACTCTTTCCCAGGTGGGGTCCTTTGTTTATCCTAGCACTAGCACTATTCTCCTCCTTTTCAGGATTACACACATGTATCTCAATTTTTCTTACAACAAAAACCAAGGTAATGCGCATTTCCACCAGACTCGGATTTGGAAAACGATATTCTGGGAGCCCTAGGGAATTTCCTAACATTCTACATGGTTCACATCGTCTAGCGTTACTATGTTTTCAATCCTTTTAAATTCATTCCTTTAAATCTCCTATTTTGAATGCCAATGGTTGCTATCGGGCTCTCTGTTGGTTTTATTATTCGGAATATTGTAGATACAGCATCGATGCTGTTTACGGTGGAAGAAATCCGTTCTAAAGCGTCTGTTTAACACTATGATCTGTGACAACTGAAGCTAAATGGTGCAAAGCTGAGAGCTGTTTTCGAATGCACTGTCGACGGTCCTTTTATGGATGACTTCAACGCCATGCTTGATCGCCTTGCCGTTTACGAAATGCGTAATCTCAGTCATGATATTGAGATATCTTCTACCCAGCAACCTGACTGTTCTCTGTCAATATCTTTGTGGTATGCAAGCGTATATAAATTAAATGGTGTAATCCTATCCGTTCTTCCTATCTGGATTGAGGCAACTTCGGAAATGAACCGGATATAGCGTAATAGATTCGGCGGCCAAACTTCTTGTACAGTCAACCTAATATTGTATGGAAGTCTAGATGTAATCAGTGATGGGTTGCGATGCCTGCAGAAAAACACACGCAATTCCCACGACACGCTGTTTTTATTTTGGTAGAACTAGGAATTTGATCTAACGAAATCTAGCTATATCCTGTAGTTCCCTTGACGGAATAGGCTTGCATATATACCTTCCTTGAATAGCTTATTCGAGCTATGTTGGTAAATACTTTATTCTTATCTTAAGCCGAACGTCCTTCAAATTTCAAGTAATATTCGATATCCCACGGGACGATACAACTACAGCGGAAAATGTTAGCTAAGTGCGTCCGGGTTTCTTGTTTTCATGATCGTGATTATTACTAATAATGTATATAATGAAGTGGGGAACCTGAAGGCAGCCTGGTCATCACAGGTAGGTCGAGGAACGAGAGAGAGAAACCTAGGGACAGAGTCGTAGGAGAGGCAGAACAAACCTCCAACAGGGAAGCTGCCGTAAGAGAGACAACACGAGGATGGAATCGCACAGTTGGTAAACGCCCTACCAACTGTATATCTAGCAGTCTCGATAGAAGAAATGGATAAAAGTCAAGTCCAGAAATAAGAGCTAGCAATTGAGAGGGAAAACTTCACACAAAGCTCGTCTATGCTCGGCCTTCCCGTCCTTCATCTGTGGTATGTCCTGTATGTTCTACATATCTTTCACTTACCCGCTCTAAATCATACGATTTCCGCAGAAATCCCGAAAAGTAACCAGACAAACAGATAGCAAATAGGAACAACTAAAGCTACATAATGTCAATGGATCCCCAACTACAATAGTAACTTAATGTAACAACAAGTTTACATGCTCTTATGGACCACGTATGGCGAAGAAAAATACAGCCCATTGAATTGAAGAAACCAATATGTGGCCGGAAAGCTGGTCTGTGACGTTTTGTATTTCAATGGCAACGACGGATAAAGTGACATGGTAAATACCATGTGGTTGAAGACAGGGTATTGTAAAATGGTCCTCTCCTTCCTGTACTCCATATCTATAAATTTGTCCTCGCATACAGCTTTATTGTCTAAATTCTAAGATCTGTTTGTTAATACAGGATGTAAGTTGAACGCACAAGGCCTTGCCTCTGGCATCTCATCAAGAAGAAATTCCCATATCTTCAGAGATAAAAGCCCCGACACTCTTTTCTTTTCGCCCGCGACATCCCTGCCTCATGGAGGTCATTTTCAAACACATGGTTTTCAAGACGTCTATGAAGGATGTTGCACATGATTGTTGCATCAAAATTTAGACTACCGGAAGATAGTATATTATCTGGGGCGAGTACATGCGTTGGACCCGACAAGATAAGAGCTCCCTAAAATTATGTACTTCCTCGGGTGCGGGTGCAGTTCCTGGGCTCCAGCTTTGTTTCAGCAAGCCATATATTCAAGCGAAGGCCAGTATCGCTCTTCATGTCTGTCCCTTATGTAGAAGAACGACATCTGTAATCGGGTACAGTACATTAACACTAATTGATCTGGGAAACCGTCTTCATAGTGATTCAGATCACTGATTTTGTTACTGTACGTATGTGAACTATTGGACAGCTACAGTAAAGAGAAAACAGAATCTCCAGTAACACAACTTGCTTGATAAGCCCTTTTCAGTTATTTCGCTTAGTTGTATTGTTCTCTGCGTCTCTATCTCTCTGGCTTCGCCTTCTCCTGCTCCTTCTCCTGCTCGTCTTCTTTCTTCCTCTGATTGCCTTGCTTGACGAAAGTGTTCAATCAAATTGGAGAGCAGGAAAATGCCTCACGGACATTTCTTGTTCCATAGTTTGTTTGCTTCGAATCAGTTAGCAGATTTTCAATCCAAATTAAAATCACTGTCAAGGATTGGCCGCTTACTATATCCATAATGGTGGAATAAAGACCACCCACCAGTACCATGAGACCAAACAGAAACACAAATATATTGAAGATTGAGAGCAGGATGTTCTCCTTTCCCCACCAATCCCCCTTGCGGATGAGCAGGAACCACATCACTGGTGGCCAGTAAAAGGAAAATCCAGACGTAAAGAGAGCCGAGGCAATACCTAATAGGTCCGAGAAAAACGGAATTGCCTCAGCGATCACCCAAGCCAGAATAGTGATGCCAGAGATCAGAACAATCCATGTGATCCAGCCTTTGGCCGTATTAACATATCGAGTCACACTGTTCTGGTACAATCGACCGTGGATCAATCGACCAGCCACAACGGTATTTATGGAGCCCGAGATAAATATCACCGGGAGTGCCATGCCAAATGCAATTTTTGATACAGTTTCTCCAGCAGATAAAAGAGCAGGGGATTGGACCTCTGAACCCACGAAAGCGTAAATGGTAGCCCCGGTGACGGTATAGATAAGTATCTCCAAAATACCCAGCGCCCAGATCGATTTAGTGAAATCTTCAGGGGTGTGCATCTCATCCATGAACGAGAATTGACAAGTCGCAAATGAGTAGGCGAATACAATATTCGAAATGGCAACGAATGCTTCGGAGAACGAGATATTCTCCTTGGGCAACGCGGACCAATTCACTGCTGCCAACCCACCTGGTTCATTGGTACTTCCGACACCCGTATCAATGATTGTGATTCCGATAGCGATGATGATAGAAGCGAAATCAATATATCCAAGGATAGCAATGTCGGCAAATGAGGATGGAAGAGCCAGCAGAAGAAGAATTATAGCCGAGACTCCGCCAAAAAGCAACGAGCATATGCCGCTCCCAGTAATATGCTGGAACGCTATGGTGCCAGTCAGGCAATGGGAACCAGTGACAAAGATGAGTTGAAGGAAGAACATGGCCGTGAACAATTCGTACCCGAAGCGACCCATCATCAAAGTACCGGCATCACCATAATGGGATATCGATGGAAATGCCAGCTTGACTTGGCCAATCACATATGAGGTATACATAGCGATTAATCCTATCCCAACACAACAGATGACACCAACAATCATGCCAAGTGTTGCAAATGCATTGGGAATTGAAAGGGAGCCTAGTGCAATCGCCTCGACAATTAACATGATTGTCAGACGTTTCCATCCCAGTCGATGGTATTTGGCTTCTCCAGCTTCGGTGAGTTGTCTTTCGACCTCGTTCAAATCATCTGTAGGTTTTTCTTCTGACAGTGAAACGATGTCGCGTGAGGGGTTGATTTCTTCATCTGGATCACCAGGGCCCTTGTTTGTTGAAGCATGCTGAGCGGTAATTTGTTGGCAGACGGATTGGAAGGTTCGATGGTGGAGGAAACTCTGAATATCCTCAACAAGTATATGATTTTAGGCAGGGTCTTTGACAGAGAAAGTCTGGTAAGGAGCGTAAGAGAAGAATTTATGACTCCACGATCACTTCTACCTTGCATTCATGGTCTTTGCACTTTTGGTAACTGGACAGGCACCCCAGACCCCCGCAGTTTTCCAGTACGATGAACCTTGATCCAAAATTATTGCCTCGGAGGGACTCGGGTCTCGGATCGGCGCCGTGGATGGATATATAATTTTGTGGCTCACTAAGCGCGGAAAACCATCTAATTTGCCAATCACATCAAACCTTAATATCTGGGCCCGCAACCGCGCAACCGCGCACCCACAACTTGCAATCCTCATACTTTCTCTTAATTTCGACGTATGTCACACCCACTACTAAAAGCATATTATTCAGGAGAATGAAGGGCATTCCATCTACTCTGAAATGCTATGGATATTATCGTGCTGTTACGCTCAGGCATGAGAGAGATATTGATCAATCAACATGGTAGCATTTGACCAAAACAACTAAGCATGAGAGAAGGAAAGAAGGAAAGAAGGCAGAACGGCGAGAGAGCTATCTAAATAGTAGATTGATGCCTCAGGAACCAGGCATCAATCCTGCTGACGATCGTCACATTGCCCCCCTCTCGTGCCTTTAGTTACGAGCCACTAAGTCCTCAGCTCCTCTGTCCGCTTGATTTCCTGAGGCTTCTGGGTCGGTTTTACAGTCGATGATGATGTTTTAATTTACCCTGATCCCTCGCGAGTTGGATTATAAACCACAGCCCACTAGGCTAGGTACGGAGTTGTATTTTAGCCTATTTGGGTAAACCAAGTTCACGAACGATATGCAGGATTCTACAACTATATATATCTCTATGTGTAAAGATGCCGTGTCCCATTTCCTAAGCGACCTTGATGCACTGTTGATCTTACCCTTTCCCTCTTCGCCAGGTCCCCCTAACAGGGTTGACATGCTGTAGAACGCCTCACGGACCTCCCCTCGGAGCTCTAGCCGTAGTACTCTTAGCTCCGGGCAATCCAGCAAAACATAGGTACACTCTCGCGTTTGCCACAGGCATATAGGTCATTATCGTGGAAGCGAAATGCCTTCCCGTATGTTGATAGCCAGCAGTGTTCAGTTCGCAACTGCGTTAGTAACTAAGCCCGGTTCTGGGTAAGGATCCGTAGAGACGTCGCGTGTACTTGGCTGGCAATGTGCTGTCAATCTGTCGTAGGTGACTCCCGGTCTTCGACTCTTTCTATTCCTTTTCTTGGATTCCTTGCCTGATGTGTGCCCTCTCGCGAGATATTAAAGGGCTGAACGGGTATACCTTACCCGGTATGGCTGCTTCTTTAGCTAGCTGGTTGGCAATGTCATTTCCGGGTACTTCGCAGTGACCGGGTATCTATTATAGTCGAATCGCTGTGCTGTAGGTCTTGGTGGTCTCGGCTGCTTGGAAAAAGGGGTGAATGATCTATTGTCCCGATTTGTTTCCGAGATTCTGACTGGCTTGCAATGCTAATATGCTGTCGCTAAAGATAGTGGCGAATATCTCCCGCGAGTGAGATGCTGTCCAGCGTCGGACCGCGACTTGATTGATGATTTTGATGGCGTACGGGATCCCAATCAGTTCTGCGGCATGAACCGACCACCGGTCCATACTGCCAACCTGGATTTGTACCCTGTCAGTTGTCTGCTGCATCTCGTCGATCGCGGCGGCTGCAGCTTCCAGATCACCTTGTCGTCCCAAGGCATCCGAGTATATCACCACGTCCGAAATAGAACGTCTCACCTCCGCCTTCTCCATTGCGACTTCCCTGTCTGGTTCTATTTCGATTTTCGAGAACACCTCCGGTCTCCGTGGAGGAAGTGGGGTCGGGTCAAGCGATGATTTATAAAAGGAAAAGCAATAGATACTAGGGTAACCCAAGCGCAAAAGTCACATTATTGGGGCTGCTTCAGTACCATATCATCCCATCAAAATCAATGCCCTGCTCTCATAGTCGACCGTCCATAGGTTACATCTTTCCACGCTCAGAGCGGTGGTTGACGTGACGGTTCTGAGCACCCTCAAAATTCCTAGTCCTATAGCCAGAGACTTAGAGTAGTACATTGAGTGGCTGATGTTGACTTTTGATAAAGACACCCTCAAAGCTCCACTCCGACAAACGTGTTAGGTAATGCTCGACAACAGCCTTCTCTTCGAGCAAGTATACAAGGACCAAGAACCAAATTTCTTTATCGAGAGAGGAATAAAAATAGGCATCACCCGACAACCCGTAGTGAATATTGGGAAATAAGTCAAGAACGTGAACAAAGCGATGGCTATTTTTAAAATAATCGACTAGGCGAGGCTGCCATTAAGGCGCTATGGCGTTTTCTCGGACTGCTTTGAAATGTTAGTCGTATTAGCCGGTTTGAGTCCAGATTGTGGGCAAAGAACGTAGGGCGCATCTAGTTTTGTATCTAAATAGTGTTATTATACAGTATATGGAATACTCTCATGGGAATTTGCACAAGGAGGAATGGATTGAGTGAACGGCAGGGCAGATCACCATAGGACGTTGAGTCATGCAATTGGCCTGATTGCGTACAGTAGACGGGCGCAACAGAAAAGATGTGAGACTGACATTCGAGCAAAAGGTCAAGGGCGCTCTGACATCTGCGTGCTTACGCTTCTGGGCCGATGTGAGAAAGATGAGCCCAAGCCCCGCTATGTGCCACACTTCTCTTCGAGAAAGAAATAGGAATTTTCACGTCTTAACATGCCAGTCTATGATATCACAATATTATCCGCCTAGGAAACTCCAACTGTTCGGCTTCAGCGGAGATATATTGTTATACCACACTGTATAATTAATCTTAATCATACTTCTCGAAAATGTTGTATCACGCACCACTGCCAGCGTAAAACCATGGCTGCAATTTATTCATCTCCTCCGCGAAAATGGCAGTCGTACATGCATCTTGATGTAGCTATATTACGTGGTAAGCGATCGTCTCCATCGACAGCCTCTGATGAAAGACGAACCTCTATACTCTCCCACCCTAGGAAGTACAGGGCCAAGCGCCTATCATCCGACTCGAGGACGTTTCTGTCTGAGAGAGCGACGCCGTTAGGATGATTGGCGTTGAGGACCTACGCCCACTGCCCGCCGAGGAATCCCTGCATTTTATAGCAGTCTGTGTACGTCTTGTGCATTGAAGTGCACAAGGCTAGGTCGGACAATGGGGCCTTAGGCGATAAGCGGATGAAGGCCTACATATGTGTTAGCCCCAGTCTCGCCGTGACGTGACGAAGGCTGTCAAACAAATTCACAAACTGGAGCCTCAATACCTCTTGTCAGCTGTTCAAGCTGGCCGTCATCGAAATCATACAGCATGGTCGTAGGTTCTTCCTGGGTGATGCCGTCCAACCCAAACTCAACCAATGTAGGTTTGCCTGCTGCAGTGAAGTTCTTGCGCCACACTACATGCGCATAATAAGTAGCCACACAAACAACAATGTCAATAGGGAATTCGAGATGCATACGTATGATCCAGCAAATCTCATGCCTTTTCTTCGGAAGAGACGCGTACTGGGTTGACATCATGTAGCCCAAGTATTGACGGGATGCGCCGGCGTTAGAAACATGCTGACGAAGCTTTGAGACTGCGGGAGCGGCGAGCGTCAATGACGGCAGCAGTTTGAACCGGACGATCTGAACTAACTACTTTTCGGGAAATAATGTGCTGAAATACGGTATTTATGAGATAATAAAACATCAACCACGACCACCATTCTAACATCCAAACCAAGGTTTTTAGGGTAAAATACTAATGACTAAACGTCCTGAGCCTCCCAATAGCCGGCTCCTAGCGTCCAGCTCCCATGATCAGACAGTCCGACTCTGGGACCCCGCTACTGGCACCCTGCTGTTGACGCTAGAGGGCCATTCAAGTTTGGTTGATTCGGTCGTATTCTCGCACGACAACCGTCTGCTAGCGTCCGGCTCTATCGATCAGACTATTCGCGTCTGGAATATCTCTACGGGCACCGTTTGTCTCGACGGATATTCCGAGTGGGTTCTATCGGTAGCATTCTGTCCCGACGGCCGCTTCCTAGCGTCTAGCGCCGTTGATAAGACTGTCCGGCTCTGGGATAGAAGCACGGGCACCCTAAGGTAGACTCTTAAAGGTCATTTAGCTTCGGTTTAGTGTGTGACATTCTCCGCCGATAGCCAAATGCTGGCGTCTAGCTCCTATAATCAGACTATCCGTCTCTGGGACACCGCCACTAGTACCCTGCTGCGGACGCTAGAGGGACATTTAAGTTTGGTTAAATCGGTAGTATTCTTACCTGACGGCCGTCTACTAGCGTCTGGCTCCCTCGATTTCACTGTCCGGCTGTGGGATCTTGAGACGGGCGCCCTGAAGCAAACACTAAGGGTAGAAGGACAAGTCACCTATTGGGAGTTTCCTGAAGATGGTTCTAATCCGAATACTAACCTAGGATCCCTCGATATTCTCTCCGGGTCTAAGAAACATCTTACGCCTGGTTCACCCCCAGTGAATCCGGAGATATTTATACGGGGTGACCAGTGGATAACCCTTAATAGCTAGAAGGCGTTGTAGCTTCCTCTTGAATCTCGGCCTTACTGTTCGGCGATTAAAGGTAAAACACTCGCCCTAGGGCACACGTCAGGGCGGATTATATTCATAGGGTTTCGCGCATAGTTGGAGTAGTCGATATGACTTTCTCCTTGTAAACGACAGCATAGCTGAAGGTTTGCGGCTCGGTGACATCATCGTCTAGTCAGAACTTCCTAACGGGCAAAATCCGACATTCTATCCGTGAGAATGCCCAGGAGATATATAGTATCATGCTGAGCTCTGGATTTGCCCTGGGATGGAGAGAAAACGAAGAGAGCTGCACACTGCTTATACTTGGCTATGACTCTATAAGTGCCGAGGAAGACGAATCGCAGTGTAGAAAGTATTGTTGTAGTCCCGTTTCTACTCCCACATCTAATTGACTAAGCAGGCTGCTACGTACCTAATATCCATAATAGGCTCGGCACAGCCCTAGGCGGCCCCATCGCGGGCTGTAGCTATAGGCGCCCTTCCCTGATCGCCGGGGTACTACGGGCAACAAATTGCAATAACCAAGACAAACAGAAAATGCAATATTTCAGTCTGTATAGGTAATATACGAAAATAATATTTATTGTCCGAGCAAGCTTCGACAGTATAGGCTAGTAATTCTCACGGATGAATAGGCAAGGGAACGAGGTCAAGCGGAATAAATCTTCTAATAAACAAGGTCGATTGATTAGTCTCGACCGAAAGATTCTTATTACATCGAAGTAATTCCGTGATTTTGTCTCCAGACTTTGAGTGATCAACTATGGGAGCAAGCTGAGACAGAATAGGCTAGTGATCCTCTCGGTCGAATAGGCAACAGGGTAAGATCAAGCGAAACAAATTCGAGATTATCGAGTTGATTAATTATACCTTTGAACCGTTCTCATACAAACCGCCACACTCTCTGTGCAAATTACTTATATAGCAGTCATACCACGTTCATTCGTCTATCTAATAATTCGAGAAATATTAGATATACGGTTGTCCATAATAATAGAAGAATTACTTTGTCGCTCACTAATAAAGGTAGATCTTTGTATCCAAGAAAATATAAGCTCTCCTTACCTGACGATCAGAATTGTAACAAACTCGGGGGTCAGTGATTGCCTTTTAGATCACTTTAAGGGAATAGTTAAGGTATTGCAAGAAGCAGCAAGCTATAGTAAGTTTGTCTAATGGTGAGACTGAACCTATTACTAAGGAAGCTAGTATTATAGGAGACGAGAAGAGAGATACTTAGTAGCGCTATACTCGCTCTAGATCGTGAAAAGTTGCTTTCTCGCCTAAGATCTCGATATGCCCGGGCATCTATACGCAATAAGGGCAAACCAACAGTTGCTTTCTAATTATCGAGAGCTACTTTATTTCTAGGCTTCGTAAAAATAGAGGAGCTAGCTAAATTTCGACAAAACAGCTAAATATTCGAGGCCCTATTCAAGAAGCTCGAGGGCTATGCTACTAACGATGTTTACGATAGCTTAGCTGACTCTATTCTACTACAAATAATCCGGCTATTAGACTTATTTCCGTCTTAAAATGTTTTGCAAGAAACTTTCGATCGAATTCCGAATAACTTAGGCCTATGCCCTAGTGATAAAACGAGCACTATTCTTGCAATTGCCAAGATCCGTAGATACTAAGCATCATATAAATTCCTTTCTACCGCTATACGACGTTACAGACTTTTCCGTAGTATAAAATTAGCTCGAGTGGAAAGCCTGTTGTTATTCTCCTATCTAACTCTATATACTTAATTTCGATTCGAACGTATACTTATATAACTCTACTAACGCTAAGTTCTTAGTGAAATACTAGAACGGTTTTGTTACTAGAGGCTTAGTTACTCGTTACAAGACGCGTAGAGGATATTCTTGGATAAACTAAAGGCTCTTCACCCCAAGGTTCATACAGAGATTCAGCTTATAGTCTTCTACGAAAATCATCCTGATATACTATCGCCCCGAGTAATATCGTCTATAAAAAGTATATGCTTTCTATACAACCTGTTTTTGAAGTATTATAGTCGCTTCTATTCCGGACGAAGGCATAGTATTCTCTACCCAAATTAGGCGATACCCTATATTGATTGCACCTAGCTCTCTACCTATTAACTCGCGAGGCTTCAGGAAATTATCAGCAGACTTACACTTGATATCGAGTAAGCACTTAGATCATTAATTTTTATTTAAAGACGACGTTCGTATCTAAATAAAAGCGTTACGCTTTTCCCTCGTTACTAGACAGAGTATACCTCCTCCTGCGGTTAGCTTATAAGTTCGGTCACAACATACGGAAGAAAGGAGAAAAAACATAGATCAGCAAGGCCGATTTCGAACGGTAATACTAAACCGACATTAAACGATTTACTAATCCTTAAGAGGAAAGTAACTAGTAAGAATAATGAAAAATGCGGATTACTAGATCGCTTAATCGTTAAACTCTCTTCCGATTCGTCTTATCGATCTTCAACGGATATAACACATTCATCTTCGATTTCGCTTCACAGCTATTATTCCGACTCTAGCAATTCTAGCAGCTCTATCTATTTAAGATACGGTGTACCAGTTTCTTTGCGATATTCTGCAACCCAGGATATTATAGTTTTAGCACCACAATTATCACTTAAACTATCTTATACAGAAATAACCAAAGACTAGAATATAGTTATCTGCTTATTATACCCTAGTACCATTCCAAAAGACCTCAAGGATTCTATTATTAATTTAAAAGTTATAGGCAGGGGAGAGTCAAAAGATACTAAAGCTAGACAAACTACTAGAGCACAGTTCTAGTTATAGTCAAGTTAGCATCTATCTAAGGGTTAGAGCTACGCTGATACGATTATCATTCGATACTTAAGGAAAGAAGCGATCCTAATCGTGCGATATATCAAGAACTACCCCATTAGCTACTTTCTCTTCCGTTCCCTTCCTTAGTCTTGATACTTTCGTGGAATACATAGGTAGTTCTCGAACTGTCCTCTTGACTCTTAAGAACTAGAACCGTAAATTGAAAAGGGAATCATTTAAATCAACTCATTAGAAGCTTAGTAATTACCTAAGCCTTTTCGTTAAATTCTAGCAGCCTATTTAAAAGATTAGATCTCCTCTCCTTAAAGCGAGATTGAGGTCTTTTGATTAGACGGTAGACTTAGAATAAGTAGACTCCTAATACAATACACTAAGACGGTTTCTTGAATATCAGTCCTAATATACCTACTACCGTTAGATCACATAGGCGCGGTAGTCCTATACAATCTTCTACCCTGTATGGTCGTTTAAGCTTCTAGCTTTAACAAGAAAATAAGCAAAGCACGTCTATATTCTAGCGTTCTCTAATCGCCTTACCTAATTTAAGGATCTTGCTATACTCCCGTCTAATATACGCGTTAATTAATTTTTATTGCGGCTAAGAAGTTATATATAAAAGGTTTCTGGCTTCCTGTAAACGGAACTTGGAGCCCGTCTAGCAATACAATAACAGATGCGGGCATCGGAATTACACAAATTCCGGGATAAGAGTTTTCTACAACCTACTTGAACGCTGCTTATGTTACCTCTAGGTCTTGATATTCGAAGCAAAGAATCTTTAGACCCTATTGACGCTTTGTTAATCTTACTATCTTAAGAAATCTAATATACGCCTGATAGGAAGGCTCCTTAGTTCCCCTCGATTCTATAGTAGATTAGGGACTACTAGGTAATTGTAGATAGGATGCTACCGAATCTATCGAGCTCCTTGAGTGAGCTAGCTAATCCTACCGTGGGATAGAGCTATAGTAGGTCTCTATAATTCGTTCTTTGTTTGCTATATAGGGTGCAGTACTTTATCGAGCAAGCAAAGAAAGCGTCGGGTATAGATAGGAAACTAAAAAGTTCTGCTTTGCTTTTACCCCTGAGTTCTCGAAACACTCACTAATCTCCCTAATAATTTTTCTTAGACCTAACCCAGTCGCAACCTTGACTTAGTGTTTATTTGATATAGTGCTCGATCTATAATAGGGAAGAACAAGACCTTGCGTACGCTCCTCCCGGCGGAAGATATATATATAATGTTGGAAATGCGTCTGGTGCATAAAACCGTAGAGGAAATCGTTCGTGCACACTAATCTTAGTGCCACGATTATGGAAGAGAGACGAATCAAGATAGAACACGATCGGCTGGTCAGACAGAAGAATCAAGCAGTGGAAGGTTGATTCAGATGGTCTACTATGCTAGGTAATTCTTCCTGAGATAAAAGAGATGTCAAACTTGTTTATTCTAACTAGGAATCAGGGTGCAATTTATAACATGGGGTACATGGCAAATATCACATAAGGAAATCAAGAACATTCGAGGTCATTTTGGAGTGTTACGTAGTCTCCTGCCTAGATAGGTAATGTTGATGCGATCGTTGAAGATCAATCCGATATATCAGAGAGCGGTGAACATGATGGCGTTTCATAGCAGGGAAGATGCAGAAACGGTGCATAGTAAGGAAGATGCAAGATAGTGTTCTTCCGCGGTAGAACCAGAGAGGTTGCTTAGTAAGCAGGCAGAATTCAGATGGCAATCTGGGCCTAAGACCCCACATATGCCGACATTAACTATGCGCCGAGGGTAATTTAGTTGTCGGATTCTCGTGTTGCTATATTTATCGCCTCTATTCGGGCTAAGAGGGAGGCTACTTCGACCCCTAATAAATTCTAGTAGATGGTAATCGTATCCGTGAGCCGTTTCACCGGCCGATTCTCGGCCTCCATAGCTTTGCTAAGAGCTAAAGCCTCCCTTACGAGCCGTGTATAGGCTGTATATCGTGCTTTAAGCTATGATTTAGTATTCCCTACCTCTATAGCGGTTCGCTTAGAGTTAAGCTTATCTCTAATATTATCTAGACGCGATTTAAGGCCTTTAAGGTCTATGCGGCCCTTAATAAGGAACCGCTTCGTAGTCTTATCTATCACGGCATGATTAATAACACGATTATAACGCTTCGTTATAAACTAGCGAATTGGCTGCTTACAGTCCGGGCACGATAGTATGATATTAATAAGTAAAGAAGAGACATCTCGGAGACCGTCGAATTTTCTATCTTTATCTCTCGTGTATACTTTATCCAGGCTAACTAATCTATTAACCGACTTACTAGTAAAGAAATGGCCGTATCTAAGCACGATGATAGGAGTTTTATCAAGACTGATTTCGGAATAGGTTTTCTATTTAAGTAAGTTAACACGGGCGTCTCCTTTATCGCAGCACTCTTGATATAGATTATCTAGATAGTCTTCCCCGTAGAGGCTCGGGTATTGATAGCCGTATTTAAGAATCTTAGTGCATCGCTCATTGCAAGGAAGCCGGTCGTATATTACCGCGTAAGGTATTGAGTAGGAACCTTGGTGTTTGCAGGACCATATGTATCTCTCGATGCATAGTGCACATGCCTTTCAACAAGGTTAGGACCCTACATTGTGATTTTCTAGCTTCGTATGTTTTTCAAAGATTGAATATTATAAAAAAATTTATATAATAGCATATCTTTCATGTCATCCCATTCTTCATTTGAACAAGTGTACTGACAACGTCTAGTTAGTCAGGGATTGAGTAATCTCAAAAAGTAGTATACAGTTCGGTTGGTTATGGGGAAGTGCACTATCACTAACTATGAATAGAACCATTCTGACGAGGGTTGAATGTTTGGACCAGAAGATTGATTGGGGCAAGTTGTCGGCAGTTCAAGCGGCAGCATTTGACTCCTTTGACAATCAACATGAGGATGAATGTCTTCAAGGCACCAGAACCGAACTTCTTTCCCAGATCACAGAATAGGCGAAATCGCCAGGGGGAAACCTATTTTCTGGCTAAATGGTAGGGCTGGAACAGGAAAATCAACAATCGCCCGAACAGTGGCAAGAACCTTCCAACAGGCGAAGGTTCTAGGCGCTAGCTTCTTTTTTAAAAGGGGTGAAGGAGACCGAGGAAACGCCATGAAGCTTTTTCAAACAATTGCTAGGCAGCTGGTGATTTCTATCCCCTAGCTGACCCCAGCTATCCGAAAAGCCATCAACGATGAACCCGACATTACGGGCAAACCACTCAAAGAGCAGTCCGATAAACTACTCCTTCACCTATTACTAAGTTTAAGATCAACCAGTCCTCAGACTCCAACTATAGTGATAGTGATTAACGCTTTAGACGAAGGCGAACGGGATAAGGAGATGCGAATCGTTGTCCAGTTATTACCCCAGCTACGCAAATCAAAAGCTATATATCTACGAGTCTTTCTCACGAGTAGGCCTGAATAGCCCATTCTTCAAGAATTCTCAAAGATCACAAGGCGTATACATGAACATCTGATTCTCTATGCGGTTCCTGAACCAGTTGTACAGCATGATATATCCTTGTTCTTGGAGTCCCGGCTATCTGAGATTTGGAAAACTCGTTCTCTGCCTAACGGTTAGCCTGGAGATGCTGATTTCCGTAGGCTCGTGAATTTATCAGTTCCGTTATTCATTTTTGCGGCTACTGCCTGCCGTATATTTGAGGATCCTCGATAGGACCCGAATAAGAGTCTGGTAGAGATCCTTGCGCATAAGAATAATAGATCCGAGTTCAATGTAACATATCTCCCTGTGATCAATCGGCTTCTTAAAGGACAAACCAAGAGGAAGGAGGAAATACTAGTCCATGAGTTTCAAGAAATTGTTAGTACTATTATAATGCTTGAGAGCCCACTCTCAATCATATCTCTTTCGCGGTTTATTAGACTGCCCAAGGAACACATTGATCGGAGACTAGACTTGCTACATTCAGTACTGGATATATCGAAAGATCCGACTCAGCCAGTGCGACTATTCTATCTGTCCTTCCGAGACTATCTTCTTGATCACGAAACCCGCGAGAAAATTCCCTTTAGGCTGGACTCAAAAGAAATGCACTATAAGTTGACCGTGAAATGCCTTTCTGTGTGTGAGAGTCTGCGAAAAAATATATGTACGCTGCCAAGTGATGGAACATATCGTGCAGAGATTGATCGTCGGAAAATCGATGACTACGTCCCTGCTGCATTGCAGTACGCCTGCCAATATTGGGCTCATCATCTTGTCCAATGCCGAAATTTGAATAACGTAACGCATGATGCATTCTTATTTCTTTAGACGCACTTTTTGCACTAGGTAGAAGCTATGAGCCTACTAGGCCTTATGTCGGAAATACTGAGTATTCTTGATACCCTCCAAACAGGCATATTCGTAAGTTCAGAAGATAGTCATACATGACTTGAACTAACACATTTAGGGCAACGAGTCTTGCTCAATCTTGGACTTCCTTCACGATGCAAAGCGCTTTGTTATGAAAAATCGCCAGATAGCTGATGAAGCGCCACTTCAAATTTATTGCGCAGGGCTGGTATTTGCACCTCGAACGGCAATAATCCGTAGAGAGTTCCAGTCAGAGCTTCCAAGCTGGATATGCCAGTTCCCACAAGTTAACGAAACCTAGAGTGCAGAATTACAAGCTCTCGAGGGCCATTCGAACTCGGTTAACTCGGTAGCCTTCTCGCCCGACGGCCGGCTGCTAGCGTCTGGGTCTTTGGATTAGACGGTACGGCTCTGGGACGCGGCGACGGGCGGCCTGCAGCAGACTCTTAAGGGCCATGTAGGTTCGGTTCGGTCAGTAGCCTTCTCGCCCGACGGCCGACTGCTGGCGTCCGGCTCTCTGGATCAGGCGGTGCGGCTCTGGGACACAGTGACGGGCGCCTTGCAGCAGACTATTGAGTACAATTCGGGCTGGGTTCCGATTCGCTACTCGCAGCGCTATTCAAGCTCTGCTCCGTCGGTGGCCTTCTCGCCAGACGGCCGGCTGCTGGCATCCGGTTCCTATAACCAGAGAGTGCGGCTTTGGGACACGGCGACGGGCGCTATACAACAGACTCTCAAAGGCCATTCGGGTTCAGATTTGTCAGCAGCGTTCTCGCCCGGCCGCTGGATGGTTGTGCCAGGGTCTCTAGATCAGACGGTGCGGCTCAGGGACACAGGACCGGGCATCTTGCAAGAGACTGAGGATCATTCAGGCTCGGTTACGTCAATGGCCTTCTCGCCGGACGGCCGGCTGCTGGCGTCCTGCTTTTTAGATCAGACGGTGTGGCTCTGGGACATAGCGACGGGTGCCTTGCAAAAGACCCTAAAGTCTAATGGGATAGTCACTGAACTCCAGTTCTCACAAGATGGTTCATATCTAATAACCAACTTAGGCACCCTCGATGTTCAATCCGGGCACGAAAATCATGCTTCTAATTCAACCAATAGAAATCCGGCGATCTTCATTCAGCAAGGACAGTGGATAAACCTGAACGGCAAAAATGCACTATGGCTTCCTCCTGAGTTTCAGCCTAGCTGTTCAGCGACAAGTGGGAATTGACTTGCCTTGGGACACGAATCAGGGCGGGTTTCTTTCATACGATTTCGTGCATAGCAGCTGTCAATGATCTCCATTTTCATTCCTTCCTCTATTTTCTAATTTCTTTGTGGAAGACTCTGGGAGAAAATTATGTATATAATATTGCCCTACAGGGCTTATGGAATGAGCCCTTCAGTTCCACGAGCTTCCAAATCCCATGTAAGGATCTATTGCGTTTGCCATAAATAACTAGAGTGTTCTAGGTGACTCTAAGTGACTAGTTCCAGAAGGTTTTTGGCACTGTAATGTGAAGTGACACCGGGAAAAAGAGTACGTAATAATTCTACCACTAAAGAGCACTCAATTTTCAGGCTAGTATCTTTGTAGTGGGGCCAAAAATTAACGAAAGAGAGCAAATTGGTGAAGCTGGTTTTGCCCTTCTCTGTAACAACACGGAGATTCAATAGGACGGGAATTACTTCTAATGACATTTCAACAATTTCGGAATTTCGGAATTTCGGAAAATTCCACTTATTCTAGATAACATATCTGGTGTACGGGCGAGCTACACGTTTCCCTTCCCACCCTATAAAGGAATACTAGTTATCGTATTATATCTTTTGTTCTTCTATCTCCTTCCGTTACCAAGGTACTCGAGACTTTTGAGTTTGCTAGCGAAAGCAAGATACTGACTGATAAGGTAGAGATAATTGGGCGATTTAGTGCAAGACAAAACACACACTGATTCTTGACGGAATCAGGCTGCGACCATGGTTTGTGCGGGTTTAAATAGGGAATTAGTATATAGACCCCCCTACTCGTAATTGGACCCCCCCCCCCCCCCCCTTAACGTAGTTCCCACATGACCGGGCCACCCGGTTGAGCGGGCCACCCCAAAACACCATACTAAATACAATTATTCACTACTTCATATTTCAACACCTATAAGCAAGGAAATGGTAAGCTCGTACGGAGTACAGTAAGTTAAGTTAGTTAACGTAATCCACAGCCGACCTGGCCACAGCCGACCTGGCCACCCCATCTAAAATCGCGTCTTCCTACCGACCTACCTATTTCAACCACCTCCCATGCCACCAATTCGCACTGAATCTTCGCAGAACTCGGTCAACCAGGAGGGCAAGATCCTATTGGCCCTTTCCGATTTAAAGGATGGCCGCATCAAATCTATCCGCGCGGCAGCGAAGCTATACGCAATACCTCGGTCTACCTTGCTCACACGCGCCCATGGCCAGACCTCACGCGTTGATAGACGCCCTAATAGTCATAAACTGACCCAAAATGAAGAGGATTCCCTTGTTGAATGGATTATCTCTATGGATACGCATTGCGCAGCGCCTAGGCCCGCTACTGTAGGAGAAATGGCTAATCTCCTCCTGGCTGCACGTGGAACAACCCTTCCGCTTACCGTTGGTGTTAATTAGCCATCAAATTTCGTCAAACGCCGCGATAAGCTTCGTACACGATTCTCAAGACGATACGATTACCAACGTGCCCTTAATGAAGATCCGAAATCGCTCCGGCAGTGGTTTTCTACCGTACAACGTATCATCGATGAGAAGGGTATTCAGCCAGAGGATATCTACAACTTTGATAAGACAGGATTCGCGATGGGCCTTATTTCAGCGTAGAAGGGGGTTACACGGGCAGAATACTATAGTCGGAGGGCTATCCTACAGCCAGGAAATCGCGAATGGGTTACTGCGATCGAAGCAATCTGCGCAGACGGTAATTCACTCCCGCCATGCATAATCTTCAAAGGCAGTGTTTTCCAAGCCGGCTGGTTTGATAACCTACCAAAAGATTAGCGATTCGAGGTCTCGAATAACGGCTGGACGACTGATGAGATTGGTCTACGCTGGTTACAAAAGATCTTTGTCCCATCGACGAATTCGCGTATACACGGCCGATTTCGCTTATTGATACTTGACGGTCATGGCAGCCATCTTACACCCCAATTCGATCAAATCTGCGCAGATAATGATATTATACCTCTTTGCATGCCTTCGCATTCATCGCATATCCTACAACCACTTGATGTTGGGTGTTTTGCAGTGCTAAAGCGCGCGTACGGTCGCTTCATAAGCGATCTTGCCCGTGTAGGATATAACCATATCGATAAGTTTGATTTCTTAGACGATTACCAACGCGCACGGCTAGAGGCCTTCCAAAGGCCATCTATTATTCAGAATAGCTTCGCAGCTAGTGGCTTAGTGCCGGTCGATGCAGAAAGAGTGCTCTCGAAGCTTAATATCTCTCTACGAACACCTACACCACCAAGTAGCCGGCCAAGCAGCAGATCTAGCCAATTCACACCAAAAACGCCCTGAACTATCGTTCAGCTACAAAAGCAATCTTCAATACTGATAGATCTACTAAGCCGGCGGTCAAATACTCCTCCAACCCCATCAAGGATCTTACTAGATCAAATCATCAAGGGCCACTCTATAGCCCTACACAGTACTGCGTTACTTGCGCAAGAGAACGCCAATCTACGCGCAGGGAATGAGGAAAAACGCCAGAAACGCAATCGGTCAACTAGGCAGATAACTCATGAAGGTGGCCTATCGGTTGAAGAAGGCCTACAGCTGGTTCAACAGCTAAATCAGCCAGTAGAAGGTAATGGGGTGGTATCGCATGAGCAGGGCGATTTACCTACTCAGCAGGATCAGCCACGCAAGAGGGCTCCGCCTACATACAGTGGTGCGGGCAGATTGGGCACAAGATTAATCAATGTAAAAATCGCTAGTTCAGGATAAATTAATGCTTTATGGTTGAGATATCCTGTTTTAAAATCTTTGGGTGGTGGTAGGTGGCCAGGTCGGCTGTATGGCCAGGTCGGCTGTGGATTACGTTAACTAACTTAACTTACTAACTTATACGAGCTTACTATTGGGTCACCCTAGGGACACTACAGGATTTCCCTACAGCCACTACAAAAGCTTATGTAATAACTAGTTAGTTAGTTATACCAACTGCTTATGTAATACATCACATGACTCTATTTTCCAACGTCACTCTATCCACTATAAATTCACCACTATTGATTTATCCAATCTAATACTAATTCAACTAATTCAACTAATTCAACCAATAGAAAGCTGCCCTATTTACATGACCGGATAGTATGGCCAATTATACCGCATTTAGAACACTTTGATGGGGCCTTCTTCTTCTTTGGACCAATAAGACCTGCTAATGAAGCAGTAGCTGGTGTATGAATCTCATTTCCTTTCGATCTGACCTTTGGCAAACTTGGCTCGAGGATCGGTAACCAATCAGCTTCCTCTATTATAGCCGAATTCAGCCTCCAGAAGGGATGAATGGCTGATAAAGGGATTGGCTTGCCCTGATCTAGCTATTGCTTAATCTGATGCGCGCAAGGAAGGCCTATTGTTTGGACGAAAGCACCCGTACAAATCGGTAACGGAGCAATAGGAGTAGATCTTTTAGCTTTATCTACCTGTTCTTTAATCTTATTAGCTGCGTAGTGTGAGATCTGTCGAGTAATTAGCCTATAAACAGGTGAGAATGCGTAAGTTAGCTGTTTAATCTTATCTCTCTTTGCTTCATACGTAACCCTCTCGATCTGATGTAAGATACTATGACTAATACGTGCCTATATAGTCAATATATCAACACTAGATGATTGGATAAAGCGCTTAATATAAGTATGTGTGCCCTCTATACGTGAGGTTGCTGTATTACCTAGATGAAGATACTGATTCGTCCAAAATTGGACGAATCGCTCTTTATGAATTAGCTATATGTATTGAAGATAGGATAGAGCACGTGGGGATTTGATCTGGTATTTAGTTTTTAGATCAGATAACCTTATTTTATAGTCAGATTCAGTAGACGCAGCTACTAATTGATGCTAATATCTATAGAACTCCTCCCATTCCTTATTCTGATTCTCCTGATCTTCTAATTCTTTATCCTGATTAGCTGATTCTTCCCTAGAAGGGTCAGATCGAACGAAAAGTGGCTTGCATTTTGCTAATACAGCCTTGTTAATATGCTATAGGCATAAAAGATGCGGCTAATCAGGGTAATTCGTCTTAATTGCACTAATTAATGCAAGATCTCGGTCAGTACAAAGAACTAGGCTAGGATGAATCGGGTCTAGCCAGGAAAAGAATATCTGTAGGGCCCATTGATAGGACTGCTCCTGCTCATTTAACATAAGACAGAAAGCAATACTAAAATTCGAATTTAACGGAGAGCAGCCAATAATATGCAGTAATGGCATATTATATCGATTTGTCTTATATGTGCAATCTAAGATAAAGACCCTATTATATTGATTAGCTAATTGGATCGAGTCATTATATGCAAACATAAAGAAAGTTATACGCCCTTCTTTATCCTGTTTTAGTGCATAACGCCAATTAGTCTCATTTAAGTGGCTAATAAGATATTGTACTGGCGTCCGATTCGCTAATTTATCAGATAAAAAGGCCATCCGTAGATTCTCTAGATCTCGTATTGTGATTCGAATATCAGAATACTCTGCACGGATTAGATCAATCAACTGCCGGAATGGGATATTGTGAGATATAGGGCAAGATGCCTAAACCGTCATACAGCATATCAAGCCAGATTCATAAGGCCTATACAAGATGGCTGAATCTCAATAAGCTTTATGCTATTATATCATCATTATCCAATCGGATAATCAGGCATGAACAGACGTATCATAGTATACGATCTACATCATCACTACGGTCAATGACACGATCTACATCATCACTACAGTCAATGACATCGTACAATCAAGCAACCACCGATCAATCAGCTACTGCATGAGATCACTATGCATCTAGATCTATCTGCATGAGATCATCATGCATCATCTAGAACGATCACATGCAAGAGACAAGTTGATTATAAATATGCCCTGCTTTCTCTACCAAGATAATAATTATGTTCAATATATACAAGCAAGATTCAATACAATCAACCAAGCTTCAGTCCTACTTTACTTTTCTCTCATCTTATGATTCTAAGCCGAATTGATTTTATCCTTCCTATTCAATTAAAGGAAGAAGATCAATTAATCTTACTTCCTCTCTACCTAACCTGCGCAGCATCGCTTGCTCACAGATATCCTGCTCAAAATAGGTATAGATCTTAGCCTTCTGGTCGTCTAACAACTGCCTATTTCGGGCTAGTGGATGAGTAATAAGGTCAGCTTTCTCTGTCTCATGTGAGTGTGTAAGATCGAAGGATTTGATAGACCACTTTCCGTTTGCTATTCGATCTGATCTTGATGCATAGATAAAGAATAGGCAGCTAATCATACGCGAGGATGTACGACGGCGCTTAGCCCTATTTGGAGCATTGATTCGATCTTTATACTGCCCTGACCTATTGCATTGCAGACGAACGTTGCGTAAAGCAACAGATCGACCAATCGAGATGACAAAACCATGCGAAATTGCATGCTTTTGGAGGGCCTGAATCAGGTCATCGCGGTTATCGAAAGATTGATTGAAGATAGGGTCCATTGCGGGGGAGATGATTGGTCAGATTTATCAAATTGATAGATAATGAGATAGATTGAGATGAAATAGTATTTAGAAAGTCATATAGGGGTTTGTTGATATTTAGCCTTGATATTCGTTACCAGGGTAACATAGAAAATAGGCCATCTCGAAGTCATGTGATGTATTACATAAGCAGTTGGTATATTACATAAGCTTTTGTAGTGGCTGTAGGGAAATCCTGTACTGTCCCTAGGGTGACCCCTTACTATTTCCTCGCTTATATAAGTAATTTTAGCCAGAACGGGTAAGGGTGGGTCCAGATACGAGTAGGGGGGGCTATATACTAATTCCCTATTTAAACCCGCACGAACCATAGTCGCAGCCTGATTCCGTCAAGAATCAGTATGTGTTTTGTCTTACACTAAATCGCCTAATTATCTCTACCTTATCAGTATCTTGCTTTCGCTAGCAAACTCAAAAGTCTCGAGTACCTTGGTAACGGAAGGAGATAGAAGAACAAAAGATATGATACGATAACTAGTATTCCTTTGTGGGGTGGGAAGGGAAACGTGTAGCCCGCCCGTACACCAGATATGTTATCTAGAATAAGTGGAATTTTCCGAAATTCCGAAATTCCGAAATTGTTGAAATGTCATTAGAAGTAATTCCCGTCCTATTGAATCTCCGTGTTGTTATCGGCATATCACAACAAAACGCACTACCTCCCTGTTTCGCAAAGATGGCAAAACACGCGCTCAGCATACCCGAGGCAGAATTGAAGCAACTAACGGCAACGGCAGCTGAGCTTGCAACCACATATTGGTCATCGCTGAGCACGTTACCTACCTTTCCCTCGACCAGCGGTCCGCAAACATTTGAACTGTTCACGAGACCCTGGGATGAGGCCCCGCGCGGCTCAGATGTGTTGCAAGACTTCAGCGTAATCGCACAACACGGGCGGCCCTCGGTCGGCGGTTTCTTCGGCTATGTGGCAGGCTCAGGTGAGCCAGTTGGCGCCATCGGCGACCTGCTCGCAGGCGCCCTCAACCAGAACGTGACTGCTTGGCGCTCAGCGCCGTCGGCAGTTGTGGTGGAACGCACCGTGGTCAAGTGGCTCGCCGAAGCCATTGGCTGCGAGGGCTTCAACGGCAGCTTGTGCGGTGGAGGGTCGGCTGCGAACTTGATGGGGCTTGGCATGGCGCGAGAGGCCAAGCTGCCCGCAAACGAAGAGGGCGTCATAGGCGGTGTGGTTTATGCTTCAGAAGAGGTGCATATGTCGATCGCCAAGGCCGTCGCTCTGCTTGGCCTAGGCCGCAAAAACTTGCGCCTGATCCCCACGGACGACCAGTTCCGCATGCGGCCGGATCTCCTACAGGAAGCAATCGCCGCTGACCGGCGAGTCGGACTGAAGCCAATTGCTGTTGTTGCGTCGGCGGGAACGGTCGCCACTGGGGCCATAGATCCGCTCGAGGAGATTGCCGCTGTCGCCCGCAGAGAAGACTTGTGGCTGCATGTCGACGGTGCGTATGGGGCGGCCGCGGCGTTAGCCGTGCCGGAACGACTCAAGGGGCTGGCACTTGCAGATTCGCTGTCTCTTGACGCCCACAAGTTCCTCTACCAGCCCATCGACTGCGGGTGTCTCCTGTTCAGGGATGCCCACTTCGCTCGCAAGGCATTCTCGAACAGTGGCGACTATGTCCAGGTGTTCAGCCAGGACTCGATGGAAGCTTTCGCCTTCTTCGATGAGTCCATGGAGTTGTCGCGGCGCTTCCGGGCGTTGAAGCTCTGGATGTCGTTCCAATATCATGGGCGACAGGCGTTTCGTGAAGCAATACTGCGTGACCTCGCCCACGCCCAGACACTGGCGACAGCTATCGGGAAGGAGCCAGATCTTGAGCTATTAACGCCAGTAACATTGAGTGCTGTTTGCTTCCGTCATCGTAGCAAGAACAACCAGGCAATCCTTACGCGCGTTATTAAGAGAGGCCGTGTCTTTATCTCCAACGCTACAATCGACGGCCACTTTGCGCTGAGGGCCTGTTTCGTCAACCACCTTACAACAGAGGCTGATGTAGAGGCCATAATATCGGAAGTCATTGAAGCGGCAGGCGAAGTCGATTCTTGAAGCTTTTGAATCGTTTGGAGGCCACAGTATGGCTCTGATCCGATGAGTGGGTGCCTGAGGTGTCAGCGCCCACCGCCCCAGATAGATAGATAGTTTCCCTTTTGGGAGATCACACAATCAACAACTCTCTTCTTTCGTGTCCTAGGCAGTTCCACAGAAACCTCCGAAGCGGGTTTATAGACCTGGCGGACATCGTAGGCGGACATCGTAGGCGGACAATATTCTTGCGCTTCTTTGGCAGGAAGTAGGACTCTCCCTTGTTCAATTTCTCTGGAGTGGAGTGGAGCTTAGTGATAGTTTAAGAAAAAATCACCAAATTAACAAATTTTGTTATCACGAAGATGAACAGGTTATATCTCATTAAATGTCAGATTGTAACAACAACAGCTAGAACCTTGGAAGTTTCTAGAAATTGTTTCGACGTATCCATGGGTAACTTACGGGGCCGTATTACATTTCATGTTTTATACCATACGCCAAGACAGTCCAAAACAAGCATGATCTGCAGGCCAGCTTGATTTTCCCTAGGCGGTTTCACTATCGTCTTGGCGGTGGGGCTAGAGATAGTTTCTCTGAGTAAAACATGGAAGCCAATTTCGAATATTGCTGTAGGTCTAGGCCGCTCGGTAGGTGTAGCCGGGAGGTTCAGAGGTAGGGACCAAGGGCCGAAGCCGGTGGGAGAGGTCCTCTTTGGTAGGCAATTCGGCAGTGATTTCGTTAAGCGTTCGCTTGCGTGTAACATTAGTAGATTTCTTTCTAGCTATGATAGGTTGATTGGTTGATTGATAGGCAGGTCGGTAGGTAGGAAGAAGCAATAGCAGCGATCATGACAATCGCGTCCAAAAGGGTCTTGGCCGCTTCAGTGCCATCCTCAACTTAAGGCGCAAATAGCGAGGAAATGCCGCCTCTGACGTTCTGCATATCATTCATTGCATCTCCGAGGGCTATGTGGGTCGATTGATGCAACTTTGTTCGCCAGAAAGTTGTCAGATCATCGCAAGCCAGGTTTAGGCAATTTTCAGCTTACCTGATGAATAGAGGAAATCGAATTAAGCATTAGATAGCTATAATGATTAGCGTCTAGAATTTAATAAACATTCTGAAGTGGAATTCTCACCCAGCAGGATGATTAACATCTGAACAAGTGACCACGGTTAAGCAAGGGATATCGGCAATGTCCTGCTAGTTCCAATTATCGGGGCCAGCAAAGTAGTGGCTAACAAGCTCGGGCCTACACGCCAAATCGCCATAAATACTGTAACGCAAAGAATTCTATTTTAAATACTAGCTTTAGCAGTCCGAACAGGTATATTTTTCCTGCCTTAGGCCAATAGTCCTCACATCGCGCCTCCTACGTTGACATCTATAGTGATATACTCTGACTTTCATTCTTAACTCCCGAGTCAGGATTTAGGCCAGGTCGGCAGAAGATACTAGCACTCGATACACTATGGCAGCATGTGCACGATGTATCCGGTGGCAACAAGTGTTGCCTATTAACTTCCCCTACAATGTGGGAGAGCTCACCTCGAACACAAGCAATGACAGGGCTCGAATAGGAAGCGAGAAGTCGACAGACAGCGTGCCCTTCGATACATGCATGGACGTGGGGGAACCGAGAGTCATAAGCTTGCCCGCACTGACTAGCTCGTTATACTGATTTGTACTCGGGTCCTGGGGAGAGCCCATGGAGAGCCACTTGGCATAAGAGTTGCTGTGGTCATTATCCACACGGTAGTGAGTTACTGTAACATTGCCACGGAGGTTCGCAAAGTGTGAAGGAAGACCCTTGATGTCCACGGAAACCTGGGCATCGGGGAAGTCCAGATTGTTGTCGTGGTAGTGCCACACAAACACAAATAGCGCCTGTGCATCCTTGTCAAAAGTGGCAAGGGAGCCGACGTCGGTTTGCTGGCCCCTGATGCCGTCATTTAATACCACATCGAGGGGGATTTGGCCAGAGCTTTCGGCCTTGATGCGGTCGCCGCTCAGCATGCTCCACATGCGGTGGAAGTTAAGGACAGGCTTATCGATGCCCTGGGTGCTCAATACTCGGAAGCCATCGAAGTAGCCAGTCTCGTTGGGCAGAATCGCGTTCTTCTCATACTCAAAGGCCCAGGTCAGCGCTCCCTGGAGGTTGACACTGCGGTTGGCAGCCAAGTCCATGGCGCGAGTGAAGGACGCGGCAGAGTAAGCACCGTACAGAAGTCCGTTCCGGTAACCATATGCAGCCGAAGTGCACGCTGCACAGCTGTCGGGGTCATACTCGCTCATGAAAATGGGCTTGTGTTTGTACTGTGGGAAGGATGCGACGATGTCGAAGGCCTCGTCGATCTGCTGCAATTGGGGTGACATGTTCATCTGGATGTAACCGCTGTCGCCAGTAGTATTGACAAAGAGGGGCGCGCCTTTGGCGTGGAACGAGATGAAGTCAAGAGGCGTTCCCTTCTTGCCGGTGGCATAGTTGGTGCCCTGACTGCAATGCTCCAGGAAGTCGCCAAGATAGGATCCGGCGGCACCACCAGCGACCTCGGGGCCACCCACGCTAGCGGTGGGCAGGGCCTCCAGGACGGAGTTGACCGCATAGTCATGGAGCTTGTAGAAGCCCTGGGTTGTTCCGTTCCAGTCTGCGTTGTGTTAGAAAATCGACTTGTGGGGTCCATTGTAGGTAGAGATTGGAAGGGGGAGAGGGCTTGCCACTGCCTGGGTTAGCAAACATACAGGGAATATTTGGCTCGTTCCAGACCTCGAAGTACCATTGATTGACCTCGTTCGCGCCATAACGGTCTACCAGGTGCTTGGTCAGCTTGTAAACCAGTTCACCCCAGCGCTCATAGCTTTTTGGGGGGTGCGACCATCCGGTGTAGATGTTGTTAGCACCCAAAGCAGGGTTGAAGTCGAAGAAGTAGGGGTTGGGGTCCACTGCCAGCGCCTCCGGGGTGAAGCCAATCTCAAGATAGGGCTTGACGTCGGCGGCTAGGTAATGATCAAAGATATCATCGATGATGGTGAAGTTATAGATCGGGTTACCGGTGTCGTCTAACGTGTACGCGTTGGTACTTCCCCACTTCAAACCTGGGACGCCGACAAGGCCAGGTTGGCCAGTCGTTAGGAGGTTATGAGTCCGGAAAAAAGTCTGGTCCTTGCCAAGGCTGCCCAACTACTTGAGGAGTGCAGAACCGTGAGGGTAGTAGGCTTAGTTGGGCTCGTCGCAACCGTAGAAGCGGTGGATCGGAATCCAGGAGCCAAGGCTAAAGGCGGCGTCAACCGACACGGAGACCTGACTCCCTAGTGCAGTGACCACCAGACTCGTGATAGTAAGAAGACTCAGAGCCATGTTTCGGGAGGATGGAATGCAAGCAACGGAGCCTACTGTAGCACGAAAATAACGAGAGCAAGCTCACTCAATTGACTTATAATGGTCGTTCTACAATCATATATGGCAAAGAGTTTCCTGACAAGTTCGGACTCCCTTTATAAAATTATTGGATTGAGCGTCGTTCAGCTTCTTGGAAGGCTGCTTCAATTCAGGCTCAATCCTTCAAATCCTCCAGGCTCATTACAGTGATTGCTAATTTGCTATCCCTTACCCCGCTCGACGAATCCCGGGCTATCTTTCCCCGCTTGATAAGTGGAGTTTTGACTAGCAAGGGAACTATGATAATTATTATTTTCGCCAACAGTGACTGACTACTCGGACAACCACCGGCATTAACTAACTAGGAAAATAATAATCTGTTCGCATCTCTACCGGATTATTCTACCAGGGATTACCCACCCCCGCGTACACGGCTACACGCTCCCTCTGCGTAAACTCTAGTAGTACAAATACTCATTTCCTCAAAAGTAGTTACCTCGTAACTCGCCCATCTCTGCCCCGAAGTTCAGAGTAACTCCCTGCCTCAGATACGAAAGGTCCTTCTCCCGGGCCCGCGGTTGATTTAACGTTCCACTGTTTCGGTTTATCCCTACGCGGGAATTCGATATACCCCAGGTGTTGAGTGAGTTTCGGAGATGAAGTCGGCGCACCGCCGAGTTGAGTGAGTCTTGTAGATGGAGTCGGCGCATTGCCGACGGCACCCCAAACGCAGAATTAGTTGTAGCTAACGAGAGAATGACCGCCCTCTTCAGGAGCGGGGTATACCATGCCAGTCATTGGCTGGGCAGCGCATATAGAGATATCCCCCTGCGACGCCATATCGAGCAGTGGGGCGGGGAACAACCGGTCATCCTGCGATCAATCGGCCAGTCTCCGAGATCCATAAACCAGAAGAGTGATAACCCCGGATCCCCATTATTACTAGGTAGTAGGTACAGAGAACTGTAGGCTCGACGGGACTTATAAAATATAAATTTCTGGGGAAAGAGCATTTACCTGTACACGTGGAACACCTCAAAATACTCTTCCACGCTTTGGACCTCGAACATCCTTCTATTAGAGGTGGTGCCCAAACCAATACTTACACCCTGTCTACCTTTCGCGCCAAAATGAAGCCAGGAATCTACCAATTCTTGATCGGCTGCTTTGCATCGCTTGGATCGCTACTATTTGGCTACGATCTAGGCGTCATCGCTGAAGCTATTGCGTCAAAGTCGTTCAAGGCTCAATTTCTCCAGTCGAACGCCAATGCTCGCAGTGGTACTGTGGTTGCCCTCTTCACTGGGGGGTGTTTTCTGGGTGCTTTTGCAGCGGGGTTCGCAGATGGTCTGGGTCGCCGTGGCACGATCCTTCTCGCCTGTGGAATTTTCATAATCGGAGGTATTGTCCAGACAGCGGGCGTAGTCATCTCGATGTTGTACATTGGCAGGCTCCTCGCAGGAGTTGGCGTTGGTCTTCTGACGGTTAGTCATTTGTGTCCCTCCTTATGGTGGAACTTAGCTAATGTTTACAATATACAGATGGTTGTTCCCATATATCAAGCAGAGATTAGTCACCGGCGTATTAGAGGGAGACTCACTAGCCTGCAACAGCTCTTTGATGCGGTGGGGCAAATATTTGCGACTTGGATCAGCTACGGGTGCTATTCTGCCTGGGACAAGAGGCAGAGTAGTGCAGAATGGCGTGTCCCCCTTGGGATACAGATTGTCCCAGCCATCTTCCTCGCTGTGTTCGTGTTCATGATTCCCGAAAGCCCACGGTGGCTCTGTGACCACGACCAGTGGGAAAAAGGACTAGCAACTCTAGCGCAGCTTCACGCGCACGGCAATATTCATGATCCATATGTCATCGCTGAGTATAATCTCATCGAGACGCAAATCCGGCAAGAGCACACCCAGAAACGGAAGACATATTTCGACCTTTTTAAAGGGTGGCCTAATATTCGACGCACAATTTTAGTCACGGCGGCACAGGCGAGTGCTCAAATGACAGGAGTCAGCGCCATCCGATATTTCTCGCCTCAAATTTTCGCGCAGATCGGCATTCCTACGAGCCTCACACTACTTCTAACAGGTGTCCAGGCTATTATCGCATTTATGGGCACCTCACTTTGCATCTGGGTCATTGATTCAATCGGACGACGACCGTTGCAGATCGGGGGAAACCTACTCATGGCATGTTCGTTCGCGGTCAACTGCGCACTTATCAAAGTCTTTCCTCCTACGTCAACGAGCACAGCAGCACACTGGACTTTTGTCGCCATGACATGGATCTTTAGTTTTATTTTTTTCGTCACCAGTGGTCCCCTGTCTTGGGCCTTGCCTGTCGAGTTCTTTGGCACTGCTATGCGCTCCAAGGGCGTCGCAGTCGGCGCTATGACATCCTTCGCCTTCAACACGATGATAGGTCAGGTTACACCTATTGCTATATCAGCTATCGGCTGGCGATATTATCTCATCTTTATTATCACAAATATTACCAACGCCATTTTCTTCTGGGCATTCCTTCCCGAAACCAAAGGACTCAACTTGGAAGATATGGATGAGCTGTTCTATAACTCACCACTATTTGTTCCGGGCACTCACTGGACTCCCACATCTCACGTGGATGCTGATGCCGAGATGATTGCCACTGGTGAAAAGAGCTACTCAGATGCTGCCGCTACTTACGCAGAATTAGAGCGGATAAATGAACAGCAGAGGAAAGAATGAATCGAGAGTGAATTCTCAACGCTTTTCGATTCTATCGCGATTTCTTGACACAAATGCTAGCTAGGCTTGTCAAGAAGATCATGAAAGAACTCGACGGGGCGTCTTTTGCAGGTAGCGGACCTTGAAACGCTTCGGGGTGTGAACTATGCGAGAGTTTTGGCGGTGGTTAATGATTCACTGAGCGACTGGAACGAATTGTAATTTGTAAATTTAACTATATTTATACACCTTCTTTTCGCACCTAAATAGTGCGTACAAGATTTAGCCGGATTAGGTTAGCGTACTTTCCCCTGTATACTGAAAATAGGTATAAAAGCCCGAATTTAACGCCTGATTTACGACGCTATAGGAATCATAGAAAGAAGATAAGATATATTCTAGAATATAGGGTAGTTAAGCTATGTAGGTATAATAAAATTATAGTATAATATTAAAGTTCTAGAGGTACCTAAATGCTATGATTTGCTATATAGAAACCCTGATTGGGATTTACGGTAAGCCTAAAAACCCTAGCTTTACAAAATGATTGGGATTCGGCATATCCCAATCACCCCCATGGAATAGGGTACACAAAAGGTCCCTCGCGTTCTTCTCCTCTTCTTCTCCTCTTCTGCTTCTTCTCTTCTTCGTAGCTTTAATTGTTTGGTCAGAATGCATAGATTATTTTGATATCTTTCGGCCCGTAACAAGTCGCGCAGGAGAGCGACCAGCTTTTTATATACGTGCTCATTTCTCTAGCTCAGTATTGATATTTATGTCGCGGCAAGTGTCCACACATTTGCCGGCATAGATCTGTCGTTCGCTCTGAACCATACAATATCCGAAAATCTCGTATGAAGCTAACGTGGGGAGCCTTAGCATTACCGAAATGTCGCAATTTGCTACCATGAACTAAACTTTGCCTACCAGGGCTAGCGCTCTACAGTATCGGTACACACCCTCTTTATCATGACTGACGGCGTTCTGTATCAATGCCTCCTTCGCGATAATTCTTGATCCCTGTATCAATGCATGTCGTTGGTATTATAAGGTGTTTCCTGTATCAACCTCTGCGCTCTGACACGAATCGTTCGGCGGTATTGAGAGCGACCTTAGAAACTAGACAAATTCGTATGGGGTTGTTCCCTAGGTATCAAAACTAACACCAAAACAGCACATAAAAGTGGACACTCAGCGTTCGGGCTAGCGGCACTGTGGGCCCGGCGTTCCTCGAGGGAATCTCCACTTTCCTTATCTCAAGCTGCTGTCCCGTCTTGGGATGACTCAGATACCACAATTCATATCGATGGTCCGACCGATCTCCTCACCTTAATGTCACTATTTTCTCTCCCGGCAGAGGTGGTTCAGCTCATAGCGTCATTCCTCAGAGAAGCCGATATCAGTTCCTTGGCCCAAACTAACAGTTTGAACTACGCCCGGCTGAATGCATTCCTCTATCAGCGCAATGTGCAAGTTTCGGAAAGCTCAGCTCTCATCTGGGCAGCTCATTATGGGCGGAAGACCACGGTACACTCAAGTCTCCGCCATGGAGCTAATACGGCTGCGACGGGCAGCGGATAATGGAGATGTATCCATGGCTGTGCTTTTACTGCAGAATGGGGGAGCGAATATCAATGCAAGAAGCTCAGATTCTCGCCTATGGGCTCCGCTGTCGTAAATTAAGATACAGACTGTACGAAATAGTTGTTTAAACGAATCATCTTATATTCAATTCACAATCATAACAAGTTCTTCATCAGTCTTAACCGACTATCCGAATTGGTGCCAAACGAGATCATTAGAATCCGATGATCTTTCTGGAGGACCTAGTAATTACGATAAATATCTATATATTATATATTTAAGATTTATAATAAGCTCTTTGAGTATCTTAAGTTGTTACTAGTGTAAAAAGAGATCTTTCAGGAGATCTTTCTATATATCTTTTAGGATATTTTAGTTCTATATAGGAAATCAAGTCTACCGCTTTCCGGCAACGCTTCGGGCTATTATTTAGGCCCTTACTAAGTATATTATATAAACCTTGCTTTCTTTGATAATAGGTTCACCCTGCAATAGGCCCTTCTGGAAGGTTTCTACTTAACAGGTGATATATGTATACTACGTTGTGTAGTTGGAGAGGCTTGAGGATAAAAGGCCTTTATAATAGGGCCCCTGGAAGATCCTCAAGAATCAATTGATGTTTTGACTTGTATGAAAAAAGAGATTGATTCGTAGCCGAACCGTTGCCCTAACAATCATCTTTGTTCGTTTTGATTCAACTACCTTCTACCTGGCCTATTACCCTTTCTATGCTTACAGTTAGGGTGGTTGTTATTATCTGAATGGGTTTAGTTATATGGACAAAATTGGGACTCAGTGATTAAGTAATCCGTTTCTCCTATCCCGTCCAAAACAGCCCAACTTTAACGTATTATACTACCTGAACCACGCAAGTGATCAAAATTTGGATTAAACGGACAGAGTATCCAGTATCAATTATACTAGTATGCAAAAAATTAGCCTTGAAGGATATGGTGGCGCCGAGAGGTAAGGTCGGGTTTTCCTTCATGGCAGTCGGTAATTCTCAAATTGATCGGCTACGCGATGATATTATAAGGCAAACTGTAAACGGCGAGCCTCGCACCCCAAGATCAATCTCTACTGCTCGGATGAATCCTAGATACCCCTTTGCTCGCTAGCCTGAATGACGACGGCAGATCCTAAATTCTTCCGCTTAAATAGGGCGGCGAGCCGCCTACAGCAACATCGTGAGCGCTAGGTGGCCACCAACATATACTGGCTGTTGTATGTTTTGGTTTTATTTGTTCCATTTTTTGTATTCTTGATTTCATGAGATTCGTCCTAAACACTCTCGGGCTTACTTGGCGTCTGCGTGGGAGGTAAGGTGCAGCTCGGGCGGGAATTTGGTCCGGCTTGGGGGCCAAGAGTGTGGCTGCGGAAGTTCCCCGCCTCCACCGCTACATCAACTAAACTTCACATTATTTCTTCGGCCAGCGATTGTGGGTTGTTGATGGTTTTCCATTCTTGAAACCAGTGTGACTTAGAGCTCACCCTTTCCTTGTCGGCCGTGAAACAGAGGGACGGGCCTCCCTGGCGATCCGCTCCCTACACGCGTACGTCGCCTCATCGGCTGTCATGCAAGGATTCTTGAGGAACGGCAAATAATAAGGGTAGACGCCGGGCTCTACCTTTTAGACTACCTTGAAACTGTCTCGCTAATAACTTGACTCCTGTCATCAAGCATATGTGCTCAGGATCGACGATGTCCTGGACCAATCTCCCTCCCGAGCTTGTTGACAAGGTACTTTCCGATAACGGCCTTCGAAAGCGCGACCTAGCCAACCTCGCACGAGTAAATCGAAGTACCTATCCAGTCGTGTTAAAATGGCTCTATCGAGATGTTAAGCTCCATGGTTCTGGACAGCGCCAAGATCAGCAGGTCCTGAATCTGTTCGACCGAGCTCTTACCGAATCCCCGCGACTAGCAGCTGCCACCAAGTCCCTAACTATCAACGCTTTTCTTCCCAATGAAGATAAACTCCTCCGCTCCAAATCAATTCTGGGGAAACTCTATGCACTTCAGACTCTATCACTGGCTTTCTATGGCCAGGGATATTTCGATGCGAGCTTCGTCCAAAATATTATCCCGACCGGGCTCAAAGCGAGCGCTAATACGCTAGCTCAAACACAATGCATAAAGATATCCGACCCAGAACTAACCTTTGGCGACATTGTCAAACTGATGTGGCTTCCAAAGGTACAGAGTTTATCCGTGAAATGTCATCGGAAAATAGAGAACAGTGGATTAGCCGTCTTACCGTCTACAGCAAGCCTTCGATTTCCTCTAAAGAATCTAACTGTGGCCATTTCTGCCGATTGCAATCAGGAACTGCTGAATGTCTTACCATTTTGCTTTGCTCTGGAGAGTTTCACCTGCAACGTATCCTCCATGTGCAATGTGAACGACGATCTAATATCTCCTGCTGGGCTGTCTCAAGCTCTGATGCCCTGTCAAAAAACACTCATCGCGATGGAATTCAACAGCGATAGATTAGGACACATTGATGATTCACGACTTGACCTAAGCTGCTTTGGAAATTTGAGATCGCTGAAGGCCAACAGTTTGTTACTATTCGGAGAGGACGAGGGAGACGATCCAGCCTGTCGGAATGGTCTTTATGCTCGCCTGCCATCCTCACTGGAAAAACTAGAGGTGTGTAATCCTTGATGCGGAAACTGATTAGGCTGTTTATCCTAATGATTATATCGCAGATTTTGTTCGCATCCGACACATCTGCTTTCAAATCATTGGACGATGAGTGTGACGACGAAGGCCCCGAGAACAATGAGGCTATACGCAACGAAATTGAGGAACATAATCTCACCTGGCTTATTGAGGTGGCTCGGTATCGGCAAAGTTTGTCACTTGTGCGGATTGAAGAAGAAACCAGGCCGTCGCCGTCGATGAGAGTGCATAACACAGCTACTCTTCAGGAAGCTCCGCCTCAGGTCAAAAGGGCATTTCATGAAGCAGAGATCGAGATCGAACTTTATCTCCGACCTCCATTTTTTCCCACAACTTCTTGATATTACGACTAGTGTGAAAAAGAAAAATAACTCCACGTTGACTTCGATGGAAAAATCTTACGTATATTAAAATCTAGCATTCATGCCAGACGGCATGATGCGACAAACCATTTATTCCTATACTGCTAAGAAATTTGTAATGGAATAGAACGGACCATAATTCTCCCGGAGCTGCTTGTTTATCACTACTCATATAATCCCTTACAACTATCTTCGATTCACAGTAGCTTCTCCTCGATAACTTAGTTAACCTCTATCTCGACACTCGGATGAGATTAGGCAGTAAAGTTTTGTGCGACAACAATACCATCATCTCTCCTGAGCTTCTTACCTCCCGGGGCCGGTGGAACTAGTGGCCCACCCAGAGGTCTCGCAAGGCCAGTCGAGTAGTCCATTTTCGCACCGTTCTGAGCAAGGTAAACGGCCAATGCAGCCCAGGCGTAGTTTTCTGGGGTATTTTCTGTAGGCTGCCGGGGGTTTGCTGTAAATAACGCATTGTTAGATACTCATAAAATGTCCCATGCTCACAAAAAAAAAAGGGCCAAAGTGATGGTGGTCTGTGAACATAGTATAAGTTGAGGTGACTTACTCGCTTGAGCGGTGAGAATTGCGTCCATTGCTGAGTCTGTATCATGGAAAGTCAGCAGTCATATTTGCAGGCCCGAGACCCTAGAGCGTGGTAACATAGTATGCTTACAGGCTTCTCTATCCATGTCAACAAACTTGTCCGTATCCCCCGGCCAATTCGGATTCGGCTGGCCTTTGATCTTCGGTTTAATTGAAGCCAAAGGACCCCACGCATTGATATCAGGAGTTTCTGACCACCAGTTAGCTCGGATCATTTATGAGTATCTTCTAATAAGAAAGTATTTCCATACCGTATGGACCTTCACTAGCATGGACCAATTCATGCACAATGGACAAACTTTTAGTCTCGAGCTTCTGGAGGGCATGTCCAATATCGCTGTTCGTGGCATCAATTGCTTCGAGGGTGTTCGCTTTGTTAAAAAATCCCGCAGGGCAAAGACACAAGGAGATCGATTCCTTTCCGGTCGACATAGGCGTCACCACCGCGATGTTGCGCCTGTCGGCGCAGTATGTGGGAGGCTTGGTCGTGTATGGGGTCCCAAAATAATATTCCTTCAGGTCCCTGGACCAGAATGCAACGTACTTTCAGGTAGGGGATGGTCAGCAGGCCGGTTCAGCATTGAGATCACCGGATGGATTTTGGTGGTTTGAAGTCATTCTTACCTGTTCTGCATTGAGAAAGGAGTAGAATCAATAATTGATGGCCTTATACTTGACACGTTCTTATTGAGGGGAAAATAACATACTTGTCTTGAGCTCTGGCACCATCTTACCGTAAGCCTTATCGTCCGAGACCACTAAATTCTTCCTAACAGTTCCCCCCTTAGTGTACACTATCTCATTATGTTAACCTATACGCTATTTCATATATCTTTCCTGTTGGCCTCGGTACCTGTTGTCGTCTGCTCAAGAAAATCGCTGTTACAGTAGAGGGGAATTTTCCCGCTCCTGCCTTGAGCGTAGTTGTCAAGATTCACGAACCAAGCTGCAAATTCATTGTCAATAAAGCCTATCTAAACAGGCACGCCAGTGAAATTATACGCTCTCTCCACTCACTTTGAACATGCTTCAGCAAATTCCCATCCTCGGTAGTAGCAGGTCCATCTTGTTTCGCATTGGGGGTGATTCCGAAAAAACTCTTCGCAATTTTCTGAACCTGAACATCTGTGTTGTATTTCCCAAAAGCGTCGGATGCTGTTTTGATAATTGTTTGTGCCTCCTCAAAGTAGGCGTCCAAGTTTGCGTTGACCTGGCCTGTTCTGTAGTTATCACATCCTCCTAGAGTCGTCCCTTTCTTGACCTTAAACACATTATCAAGGGCTTTACCAAGCACGAGGTTGGAAAGGCCGAGCAGGCCTAACAATGAATATAAAGGTAGGCGCATGATGAGATAGCAGTAATCTGAGGGCACGACAAGTAAAAAGGTAATATAAGCACAATAGATACGAGATTGGGAAAAAAAGACAGGTTCAACGCGGGTGAGGATTAGATCACGAAATGGACATTGTATATATGCCCCGAGGGGATGAGAGAAAATAATACACCAGGCCGATATGGCAATTCCTCTTGTATGGGGATTTGAGCGCACTGGCATCAATGCAGAGCTGTAGGAGCAATAGAAACATTTGGCAGAATAAGCAGAGATAGAAATGATGGTCAGAAACATATCTCGATGTGGCTAGAGCGATACTACCTAGGGGCCGTCATAGCGAGGGGATTGCTGGAGGGGGCTGTGTTGAGCGCCTAGCTTCACACAAGTAAGCTTTGCATAATATGGGGCCAAAGCGGCTAAGCTGACGCGACCCCACATGAGGCAAAACACTTAGGCAGGAACAGGACTAAATTCATCAAGAAATGGGCTAATGGTATAGAGCTGTTGATTTATTTTTTGGTCTCACCACGGAATAGTAGATACGCTAATCTAATTATCTGGCGTTTCAGAAAGAGAGAAAAAAAATTACTCCCGAGATTATCATCCACAGATCACAAACCCTTCTCCTCGAGACGTCGTTGCTGATTTCTTTATTCTAGCCCCTATTATCCAATAATTGACAGTGACCCGTAAATAGAAAAGTCAAATTCAATATGCAGGGGGAAGCTGTGCTACGATCATGGTTATATTTATAATGGATGAATTATAGCTACGGAGTAATCTTTGGCGTGATATGGCCAGCGGCTGAGTGAATTCAAATTTAGACCACGTCTAAAATTCAGCCCCATGATTATTGACCAGACTCAAACGGGGAATAGTAACCTGGGGTCCAAATTCAACCGGAACGGTTATTCGCTAAGCGCTATGCATGCTGCAGAGGCTGAAAACTTTCCGGCTTACTTTACATCTTGATATGGTCTGGTTTGACGAAGTGGTCCCGGCGCAGCTCTATTCCCTGGGTAACCGAGGGCTTATTTCGAGAGGAACAGATGCTATGCTACCTTCGTTAATATATGAAAGAAATAAATTCCCAGCGTAAGATAAGTTTGTCGTCCTGTCTTCCTGTTTTGCATTCTCTTAACCAGGTGCCTTAGTCTTTCTGCTTGTTTGGGTCGTCACCCCCGCAAAATAGCCTGGATCTGATAATTTTCCACCATGTTCTTGAGATCTCCTTTTATTCTTATGTTGTCAACGGCCTTGCCTGCATTATCACAGCAGCCGGCAGATGGCCCCGTGGCAAGAGCTATCAATCCCACCACTTCGGGGCAAATCGGTACTTGGTGCCTCTCTACCCTTTAATTGTGCTTGTTCGTAAGCTAATCTCAGACCTGTATAGGCGTCAATCCAATTAACCAATAGTAAGTCACACTCTACCTTTTAGATAGAGATAAGTGCTAATATAATAACAGCACTGAAACAGCGAAATGGATTGGGGTGGACACGGTCAGTGTCGATGTCTACACCACTCTCGGTACGACTACGACTGTAACTGCACCATTTGCCATTATGACAGCTACAGAAGTCTCTGGGAATATACAACCCGGGGATGTCAGTTTTATCACATCTCCGGAGGGCAAAACAAGGCTCAGCGCTCTATTCGAAGAAGTCGCCGCCGCGTGTGCCAACACACGCGTGAAGCGGTCCGGCAATTGTGAGCTGAACCAACTATCGCGTCCTGGGGCTGGAGGCGGAGTCCTGGAGTTTGATATTGATTTTGGCATCAACATTCCTACCTTCACCGCTGGAGACGTTGCAGTGGCCTTGCAGGGTGTGCCAGCAGCCGTAGCAGTGGCTTTTATTGCCTACGTTATCGGAAACGGGAAAGTGCCAGATGCTGTCAAAATTCCGGCAAAAGACACAGTCAAGGCAACATCCACAGAGGCGACGTCGACGACCGAAGAAGACCTCGCCCCCTATGTAACTACCAATTACCCAGACGTAGCTCCTACCGATACCTACGATTCTGATGAGGCATACGCCCTGGATTCGTTTATGCAAACCCTCCTGCTGTCTTTTTTCCCGACACAGACGAATCCTGGTAATCTGCCGACACTGACACACGCCACAACGCCGCCGCCTACAACTATAACCATAACGACTCCTGCTGGGAGCTCCTGTGCAAAAACCAAAACCACGGAGCTCTGTACTGTTCCACGGGAGCCTTGTGCCACATCGGTAGGTGTTTTGGAAGCTTCTTCTCCTTGGAGTTCCACTACAAATCTGACTCGTGATAATGTAGCTGTCATGCGAAAGTTGGATACCAACAACCACAGCCCCATCACTGGGCCAAGTGACGTGCTTTCCGGAAAGCCGAAGGCCATTTGATAAATATGGGGCCGTTCGGCCGGATCAGTACGAAGCCGCCGCCGACAAGGCTTGTGAGGCTTTCGCCAACAAGGGTAAGCTCGGAGCCAACGAGGGCAGGGGCTCTTATGTATACCAAACAAAGGATGGCTCTGTACCATATTGGTTCAACGTTGGTGTGTCCAGCGGGTCCCAAACGTGCGAGAACGAAAGCCTTGATGATCCGATGGGCGACGGCTCGCACAAATGCAGTACTATACTGAAGAATGATATATTCTGGGCTTGTAAGTTGCTCTATATCCTCACTCTGCTAAACATGATTATACCTCCTGCTAATAACTTCCGCCTAGGCGGCAATAATGGTGGTCGCGGAGGTTTCATCACGGTTGGCTGTTTGACATACGCGTTTGATGTTTGCAGTGGGAAAGGCGACATCCCTCTAGAAGGTGCATGCTGGACCAGTGGTATGGGTGCGCCCTGGGTAGTCACTTGAGGAGCCAGTACTTATTTCTTTGCTATCCATGTGGGAATTGTGTGACCATACTGAGTGTCTAAACTTCCCGTTCCACATCTTTGATTGACCGGATCTCTCTCACATAGTCGTGCCACCATGAGGTTTCTGGTAAAGTCAAGCCCCCCCATTCTTTGCGAGCAGTAAAATATCGAAAGAATCATGTGTCCCGAACCTAGAATTTGGAAGAAGGAAATTGCTATACGAGTCCTCTGACTGCGTATCCCAGAGGAAGGGCCCTGAAGAGTGCAACAATGACAGTGGTGATAGTGGTTCTCCTGCAATTGAAGTTGGGTTTTCGGCAGGGTGCCAATTATCTCTGCGGCCTTTCGTCGGCTCTTGCTCACAGAATGCTGTACCCCAGTAGTATTAAAACCAGAGAGAATCCAATTTTGGACAGTCATCTTTGTTTGATTTCCCAATCGGAGTTCGTTATGGGTATTCCGTGATCTCCCAAACGTACCCACAATACCTCAAATCCTTACACTATCCCGGGCTCAAAAACTGCGGCACTGACTATCGTGTTTCTGGATAGGGTTCAGGAGAGAACTAAAGAGAATGAAGTGGTGAAATTGATTTCGAACCATCCTGTAGAAAAGTTAAAAGTTTAGATAATTTGTTTTGCTACCATATCTGGGCAGAATTTGCCTTTTTTTTGCCTAGAGTGAATTGTACGTAGTTCTATTACGATAATCCGTGGCTATGTTAAGCAGAATGATCGTGGCGTAATGAACAAAGGTCCATTACTTGTCTCGGCAGTGGGACGCAGAAAGAATTGACGAATGCAAATTGGCGAAGCCAGTTTTGCACTTCTCTGTATAAATCGAAAATCGGACTGTATCTCCCGAGCTCCCGAGGGAACCGTGCATGAAAAGGATCGGAGACGACGACGTTGTGTTTGATATTATTTTCGATATAAACTGTTGTGGTTGTATACCGAGCCGGAGCTAACCCCGGACCGATGGCGGACCCACCCGCGGGAGGGCCCAAACCCCCTCCTGTAAACACCTAAGAAAGCATCACTAGTTTCTTAGTTGAAGATTTCTAGCCTCGAGTATCGATCGACGCAGCCTAGATCATAGGAAAAAGAACGAGAAATAGCGAAGTTTACACGCCTACCGAGGGCATAGGCAGGATTACTACTAGAGAGGTGTAGAAACTTATCGATAGCCTTAAGGATATTATCTACCGCTAAACTATATGACAACATTTGGAGGACGTATAGTGGGGTATAAGGACGGCACGGTCACATGATATATCAAATAGGCCAAAAATGCTCCAAGGGGCGATATTTCTACCTTTCTTAGATATATATCGACCATGCTGTTCAGGTGTTGGATTCTTTTCTCATATAAAGCGTATTGGTATGCCATACATGCTGACACTATACTTATCGAGTCTACTAAAGCCGGCCTAGAGGAAGTTAAGCACGACTAAAATGAGTCAAAAATATCTTCATTTTGCTCCGGGAACCCGTGGCTTGGATCCCGGTTAGGACGGTGCTAGGAGCTATATTGCCCCTGGTACCCTAAGTAAAGTTGCTAGGTAACGACCTGTTATCCCCGGACCGACGGAAGTCAACGGTAGAACGAGATAGCCAATGATCGGGGAAAGTTCGAGGAGTATATGAAGAAGCTAGTTAGCCTAATCTTTTTGAGGCTGACGGAAAACACTAAATTCTATTTTTCTGTACGCAGTGCTACTTTTCTGGTCCCAGGAGCCGTACCTCGCAATTATCTAACGTTCTAAATTGGCATGCATTCACGGTGGTACCGCCGCTTGAAGATGTTTATGGACTAAATCAAACCAAATTCCCTCATATCCAGACTCTCGAGATGCTCTGACTTGCTTGATGAATCCCCGAAGCCTTGTTGCACACATGCCTTGAACAGCAAATAAAAACACTCTATCCCACAGAGCCTCGCACGACTCTTCGATTTCGATCGTGGCTATTGTCAGAGGGAAGATCACAGGCAGTGCTGTCGTCTCTTTCACAGCCGACCGGGCAAAGAACGACATATAAGAGAGTATACCATTTGCAAATTCTCTAGCTGACTCGTCTTCAACTCCAAGGGGATATCGAAGTCGATGGATTATTAATAATGCAGCGAGACGATAGACATTCGCTTGCGTTATTATCGCTAGGCGCTCATGTGGTTCATGTTCAATGAATAAATGAGGTGGGCTAGGAGGTTTCCACTCTATGATCGTCTTTTCTATATCGGCCAGTTGACCATCATAACTTGATAGTGATTGGACTCCGCTAGCCAGAAATGCTCTTTTCATAGCATGGCTACATTCGCAGAGATCATAAAGAAGGGGGAGAAGTGTTGCGCAGACACCCACGTAAGGATAAATTATGTTGCGCTCTGTGCTAGGCAGTCGTATGATGGGGACGTTCCGGCGAACTAAACATTCGACAGTGTCGATCAGAATCGGGGCCATGATCGATGAGTCCATGATCCGGGAATGAACTAATCTCGGTACCCAGTTCTTAGTCGATATAAGTGCGCTTCGCAGGATCGAATGGGCTGTAGAGGAATCGGGCGCTGTGAGTACATGGAAAACGTACATTGTTTGGCCTAAAAAGAGAGCGCAAGCGGCATCGGATTCTTGGGTAATCTTCACATTCCGCAAGTATTGCAGTCCCTTTGCAGCTTTGACCATATCGGGCTGCACTTGGCGCATAACGAGCGATCTTTGATACCGTGTCATGAGGCTCAAAAATGCCAGGTATGGCTCGGCGAGAGTTGGTCCTGACAGGCGCAACATAGTGTAGACTGACTTTTGAGAGGTAGGAAGGAAGCTACGCCCTAATATAAATGGCATGTGTGTCACACAAAACTGTTCGGGATCCAGCACCATGCGAAAGGCGTCTGAAGCTGATTTGAGAATGGTCGGGCATGCGAGCAGTTTTTCAGGCCCTAAAGCCACCGCGTCGCTCCTTAGGATGTTATAACCATTGCTTGATATGGTCTCGCTGCATGTTTCTGGTTCTGATTGCGAAGGCCCGAACTGTTTCCTCGAGTCGATGCTCCAAACCTGCATGTCCCCATGGGAGAAGGCCTTCACTGTAGGCCTGCGCCCCATGCGCGTGTTCTTCCGGGTCGTTGAGCATGCGATTTTGAGGCGACGACACCTCGTGCACGGCTGATCATTGCTGGCAAATGTACATTTTTCTTTGCTCGTGGAGCACCGATCGCATGCCTTTATAACCATGACCTCTAGACAGCAGAAGCTAGCCAAAGACAGAGGCAAGCCAATCGAGATCGGGTTGGCAAGAAATCTCGCGAGAATAGAAACTGTTTGGTGGAGTGGGTTGAGACGTGAGAAGTCGGTGGGAAGGTAGGAAGTCCCCAACGCCCGCCGCATTTCCGGCTTTCCTCGTGATTTATTTGCCCGCATGCTGATCACCGTACGCCAAGATGTAAATAGAATTCCCCTTGCTTCTTTTGGGCCCAATGGCCCCTTTTCTCTTTCGCCCTGGCTTTGGATTGTCCTGCAGAGTATTAAGGAATCGACCTATCGACCGCTGATGAGGTACCTGCACGAATGCATCGCTGTGACTAGGTGCCTTCCTGTATCCTGTTGGCGGACTGTCTATAACAATATTGCTTTTGTATTACAAATAGTTGTTCTGATGGAGGGCTTCCCCTTAGCTGGTAGCGCTAGTCGTCCTTGGCGGTAATTTTGGATCGAGAAGACAATTTTTGTTGGCCTGCTACCCCCCTCCCCCTATCTATACTACATCATAGAATTCTCCGATCGGGTCTTTTAAATCTTTCGATAAAATAGCCTAAACTGTCTTTCTATCAAAAAATATAGTACGATTTCTATCTAGAAAGGGCTTACACTAGAGGGCCTGGGGTACGTGAATTATTTTTTGATAGGGGATACCAGGGCTAGGTCCTACGTGTAGGCTATTCCCCTTTCGGCCCTTTCGGCCAGCCTTCCTAAGCCTATCGTGGTTGCCTTAGTGTCAGTATAAATGTGCAGTTCCCTAATACACGCTTATGCAATTGGTCTGTACAATCCATCCGCATAGATCTACACAATAATTGATAACGATCTTTAACAATCGCATTAACTACCATTCTCTAAGGAAAAGCAAAGAGAATCCCAACATTCTCACCTTTCATAATATATAGGAGTATTTACACCCAGCCTAGGTAGAATTAGGGTTTTTCTCTTAAGTATAGGAATAAAAAGTGTAGATAGGGCTAGGTAGAATTAATTTTTTAGAGGCTAGGCTAGCTATAGTATTCTACCGGCAAATCGGGCTACCGCCTGACAGATCCGAGTATAGAATCATCATCATCATCACCTAGTATTCTCCACGGACGCACCTTCGTCTATACCGACTCATTGATTACTGGCCAAAGAACGGACTTTTGACGGTCTCGGAAATTAAACCAAGACTAATATCGGTTTCTAAACATCGGGCAAGCACTCATGCTCGTGTATGAGGGTTTTACACTCAGGAGCCTTATAAATAGAGACAAGTTCACTAGCTGGATATGCACGAACACAGGCACAGCAAGCTATTGTCCGATCAGTCTCCCGGCTCAGACCCTCTTAAGTCTTCTCTCCCCCTGCTCTTCCCGTCTCTTAATCCCTTCTAATAACAATCCGAACTTTTTCGATATGTCTCCTCGCCGGGATGCTACTCGGACGAACCGCCCACAGCCAGCAGCTCAGCTATAAAGACAGCATCCAAGCGTTAGCCTACAGCAATATCGCCACCTCCTCAGTGGAATCCATCGGCGATGTCTGGTTGAACATCGCGGGCTTTGCGGAGACCGAACTCCCGCACATCCAGACGGTGGTGGGAATACACTCCTTGGATAACGCCCGCGAGCTACAGGTGATCACGAATCTGGCGCAAAGCGCCGCGAGTCAGGCACTCTGGGGCGATCTCGTGTTTCTGCACAACGTCTTTTCAATGAACGCCTATCCCGCGTACGCCAACGTCACGAGCACGCAGATGCAGGCCGGTCTGTTAGACGCTGTGAGCGGCAAGAATGGGCCGGAACAGAGCTTGATTGAGCTCTACGCCAGCACATCGAGCGCCCCGGGTCTAGGGGTGGCGTACCGCGCACTCCCTTCCCAGTACAACAAGCAGCAGCAGAGCAAGGCCGACATCTTGTCCTCGGTAGCAGTGGAACCCACGATGACGACCGCTGCCGCCGTCGATAAACGCGAGATGGACTGGACCCGTAATCAGATCGTCTACAGTACCACGCATGTTGCCGTGGACGCCGCCCGTATTTCACTGCTTGGGAGCATCATGGGAGCTGGAAGTCGGGCGGCCCACGCGATATCTGCTACGAGGGCTGCTGCATCAGCTGGAGCGCAAATGCCACCTTCCAGATTAAGAACCTTTATAACGATGCCCAGCGCTGTTATAGCGTCTGCGTGAATGCGTCCGGGGGCGTCAGCTGCGAGGCTTACAACGTCAGTCTGCAGGGAACCATTGTCAACCAGTGCTTGAGCAACCGGCCGAATGGATGCGCTTAGATTGAGAAGAGAGCCGTATGGTTCTTTTGTGGAAAAGCGAAGTAAGGAGAGCAGTGGAGGTAGAGGTTGTGACAACCTAGGATTCTCCAGCGACTTGGATGTTGTCCTGAGAGATCAGGTATGACATAACATTCGCGAAGCAGCAGGACGGGTGGATCCCGGAGGAAGGATGTACTATTTCCCGTCTAGATTAGTCAAGTATATACAAAGTGCGAGATAGGGGCTTGTTAGCAATAGAGACCTATTGTGATTCTATTGGCGCACCCGTACGGCCCAGGCTAATATAATACGCCAATTGAAATGTGATAAGCGCACTGCCGGCACAGACTAGGGGATAGTGTTCTGCTGGCAAATCAGGCTAGCGTCTGACAGGCCCGTGTATGAATTCATCATCATCATCATCAGCTATGTAAATACGGCATCAAGAAAAGTCGTTGTCCTGAAGCAACGACCAATATGTCGATTCGACCCCCTGTAAGACCCAATCCTCCACCTCGGCGGTCAAATCTGGTAACTCAAGCATGCTGTCGTTGCTGGGCTCGAATTCCATGACCATGCCATCAATCACGCTGCCGTCAGCAGAGTATGTTGTGGGGTCTAACGACGCAAAGTCTATGGGCTGCTCTGCAAGCAGAGCGGGGGCAGTTGGCCTTGGTGTACGTATGGCGACCGGGGATTGTCCTTCTTGCACGGTATGCATATTGGCTACCGCAAGACTTTCTCTGGGAGGGAAGGTGGTTGGTTCTGCGATTTTCCTCGCAATGCTTGTGTGGAAATTAACCGTTCCAAGGTAAGGGATAGCCAGGTGGACAACTCCGGGGTCAGTCAGATTCATGTTTTCGATGAGTGAAATGTCACTCGAATCAAGAATAGGCATCATCTGTCCAATAGTTTCTGCGCATTCTTTGGATATTTTATCTTGGTTCATGACCGCCAAGAATTGCATCCTCTCCTTAGCCACCTCGACTAATTTTCTATCCTCCTGTCGCTGAGCACACCAGGGCATGGGTTGTGGCAAGTTTATGCTTCCGCGCTGCTTGAGATAGCTCAACAACAAAGTCATAGCAGCAATCAAAGCCGCATAGTCGACATGTCGGCAGGAGAATGGAGTATTCACCAGTGTGCGGAAGCTGATGAAGCGCCGGAGGATCTCTCGGCTTGACCTGGTACAAGTAGCCTTACTGTAGTGGTATCGATCATCGGTCGAGTCTTGGAGCATGTAAGGTAAATGTAACAGGACCCGGAGGGTATAGTGGTTTATTTGAAGCAGAATGTGCAATATCTGGAGCATGGCAGTATGGTCTCCACGCTCAAAGGTTGGAATACTAGGCTCGGTCCACCAGCCCGTCTCCATACTCCGAGCTGCCGTCTCCAGGTCAAAATCAATTGCCTGTGTGAGCACGTAATCCCGGGTGCTCTTGTTTCTGTTGCGTTCCACAATGCGAGCACTAGCCACCGTTTGTAGTCGCTCCAGCCGTTCCGTGGCCGTGAGCCCCTGCATAGCTTCGTCACTGGCAAAGCTGCTGTCCAGTGATCCCGCTGGCAAACCAAGCAAGAGAGAGAGGTATCGATCACAAGAATTGATTTGAAACCACATCGTCTCAGTCGATGTCCTCTTAGCAGGGTCAGACGAAGGGTCAGCCGATTTCAGAGTGCTGCATCTTGCTCGATCAATGCCCATCAACTGGCCGACGCTCATGGCCCTGCGATAGCTAAGCCAAGATCTGCGAAGATTGCCGGCATTTTTGTGCCAAAGGCCTTGCATGATGAGGCACTCCAGACCCTCATGAGTGCCGACCAGGTCGTCATTTGACGTTACGTTGTTGGTCACGGTGTTGATAATGGTATTCATGACCTGCGTTGGCGTTGCTCTGAGCTGTACTTTCTCGAAGTCAAACCCAGGCTTCAGTTGTTGGATGCAAATTATCAACTTCAGCAGTTGTCGTGCTAATAGGGCAGGGTGACTCGTAACTGGGGGGATATCACAAGCGGCCGATAGCATCTCGGTTTGGCCTTGAATGATGTCATGGACCGAGTAGAACTGAGAGGCTACAGAGTAAATGCCAGTGCTGAAATTGACGATAGCGTCCACACTCGCTTGCAAGGGAAACAAAGCATAGAGCGTTCTCGATAACTTCTCATGCCGCGAGCTACTCGTTCCTGTCGACGGCTGGTTTGCAAGATAAGCTTCAGGTGTCAACATGTTCTGGGTAGACTGTACTGCGGTGTCCATCTGCCGTAGGTTGAGTAGCAATCCGATGGGACTATCGTCGCCCACAGATTCTTCAAGCACGTCCAGTCCTAGGTGAGAGTCATGTCCAGTTGGCGTTGACAGCGTGGGTGAATCTCTGTGCGATCTCTCCGTGTTCGGTGTAAGACTCTTATCCGAAGCCTCAGGGATAATCTTCTCGACTAGCTTCCCCATCAGTCGCTCTATATTTTCCAACCGTTGAGCCATTCGTCGATCGGGCTGTGCGCCGGGTCGGGATTCGTCGATGAACTCCTGGCTTCTGCATTGGCTTCCTCGGGCTTGACATGGAAGGCATATACTGTCGTCATCCAGGGTGAACTGGCACCGAATCTTGCGTCTACGACCTTTTCACCGGCTGTTAGGGGGAGAAAACGTGGGAGAGCTGGGGCGACTATGTCAGGGTGCCTTACATTCCCAACAACTGTGAGTCCCCTTGCGAACCTTTCTCCGCTTCAAAGCAAGGTCACTTCCTGTCGATTGGCCTGACATCTTTGCTATCTCCCCTACCTGAACATTTGTTAAATTTCTCGTCCAATGGTTGCACGTATACCGCCAGTTGGGGGAGAGAGGACCAGTCTTGTCCCCGCGAAATGGACAAAACACAGATTGTGTTTGCCCAGACGGACGAAAACCGGCACTACGGTGTAAAAGTGAACCGAAGAACGAAACCTGCTGATATCGGGGGATCAATAATTCCGAGATTAATACGTCAACTCTTAATAGAGCACAGGGTCGTGAGTGAGAGACATTGAGAATGGATTTGTTAGTTGCGCTAGCACCGTTCGTCCGTCCGGACGCCGACCTCCGTTGATCGTTGATGATAAATCTCGGGTGGTGGGGATTAGAAAGGCTGAGCTCTGGAAAAAGCCACACCTGACTAATCATACAACTATGGGCTGACATAATTCCAGGCCACCCTGGCCACCACAGGTATTCACCACGTATTTCCGTACTGGAAATGAGCTTGCCGCCGAAACCCAATTCTTCAGGGCGATGAAGCGGTCACCCTGTTGTCATCTCAGCCTATCCTACAATCAGTGTGGGCGAAGAGCATTAGGTTAAGAAAAGCTCAACTGCTCTCTGGTGGATGATACTGTTTTCCTGCGTCTTTTCTTCCTAGAGGACTGCTATCTCGATCTATGCCTCGACCTGCTTGTATTGGTCAGACTGCCGTGAACGAACCTCCCTATATACTAGGAAACTAAATAATATCCCAAAGAATGAAGATGATAGTAACTGAATTTCAAAATAATCTAGTTACGCTAACCAGGAGAGATTACCAGGCCCTAAGGTACACAGTGGTCTCATAACCTTCCCCGCAAAGGGTTGGAACGAGCTAATCTGAAGTAAGTGATGAAAATATAGTACTAGTATCAAAACGCAAGCTATATTGTATTATATGGAAGGATGAAAAGAAGAATCAAACAAATCATTAGGTTACACAATTAGCCAAACATCAGGATTCCTTAGCCCATTGTTTCCCACTCCATAACGGCCCTGTCGTCCATAACCAGTAGTCCCGTCCTTTCACCAACCACACTAGGAAGCTAGGGAGTTGGTATCCCATTGCTGCGCCGACACCTTTATTCTTTCCGATAGGAACCAGTTGATTTACATGGTTGTCCTCTATAAATACACGGTCCTCACCGGTCGATGCTCTCTGTTCCCCGTCAGCAATCAACAAGTCCTGCTTCATGTTGGCGCAAAGTATAGGGATGGCCTTGAATAAAACATGCAAGGCAGGCTGCTTCACACATGATGCCACATCACCGATGGCGTAGACACGAGATCCGGCCTCATCCACTCTGAAGGTGCGACTGCAGTGGACACGGCCATCCGTCGTCAGGAGAGACTTCTGAATGAAGTCTGTATTAGGCTTTGTTCCAGTGGCCGGGATATATAGGTCGGCATTGATTGTATCCCCAGAGTCCACCGTCAAAGCCACCTTGCTGTCGACGCCATCGGTGCCTGGCTCAACTGGTGCCACGTGTGTGACCCTAGTATTTTTCATAACAGTTACTCCAACATCCGCCAAGAACTTTTCCGCTTTCCTCGCACCCGAAGTTGGAAGAGCTGGGAGAATCCTCGAACTTGCAGTTATGACGGTGATTGCTACCTTGCGACTTGGAGATTTGGACTTAAACCAGCCAGTAGGGCCATTGAGGAACTCTCCTAGCTCACCAGCGGTTTCAATTCCAGAAGGGCCTCCCCCGCAAACGACAATATTTTTCGCATTTGGCAGGGCTTTTCTGAATGTCGTCCAGTTCTTTCGTAAAATTGTTTCGTCATGATTGAGTCCAAGAAGGGGAGAAAGCGTTGACGCTCCGGTAGCAATGACTACACCATGGAATTCGACCTTCTCTGTCATATCGACCTGGGTTTTCAATGAAATAGACACCGTGCGGTTTTCAGTGTCAAGTTTGGTCACCGTGCCATGTACAAAGTGGAAGGAGCCCTTCGGATATTGGTTGAATAACTCTGGAATGTTCACGAAGAGCTTGTCCTGTGGGAACATATTGTCCGATAGTAAAGCACGGGGGCATGCCTGTCGGCAAAGGGCCTGTGAAGAGGCGCTGATAAGAATGATACGAAATGAATCTCGATCTGGCAAGGCAGGGATGACATGCCTAAGGAGGTAATGAGCTGTAGATATGCCACCGTAAGAACCACCAAGGATGACGATGTTCCGCTGGGATTGCACTGTTGATTCTGACACCATTTCGACGCCTGTATGTGACAGACTTGCAGCACGGTTATGGATATTAGCAGAATCAAGGAACGATATAACTATTTAACTGAGATATCTCGGATAATAACGCCTTATCCGACCTTATTCGGACGGACGAATCCTTTCGAAAATTGCTCTCTCGGGCACCGAGGCGGACGAATCTACGAAGGAAGAATTAACGGAGGCCGCAGACGGAGGGCCCACCGAGGTTCTGATTAACACGGTATCAGCTAAATCGGGAAATATTAGAAACTACTAGTTAACAAAAACTTGATTTGCATATAAAATCTAATAAACAAAGTCAACACTTTGCGTATTCGAAAAGAGGACGGGTGCTATACTATCATCAGCGTGCAACTCGGAGGGAGGTAGGCAGCAAGGCCGAAATCCTTCCTAATTAGGTTTAGCAGTAGTGCGGTAGGCCTACGGCCCCATCACGAAACTTAATTAGGGGGTTTGGTGCCTGACTGCCTGATTACTATTGAATCCCATGCTGATGACCTTTTCTTCGTTCTTTCTCATCTCATCCCTACAGCCTATTTGCATCTATAATTTACCGGCAGAGTGTCTCGTGTTAAGAACAGACTAAGCCCCACACTGGGCCCTGGCCTCCCGTTTCAGGAATAGCAGGTGGTGGAAAATTCATACCGGGCTTTCCTGCACTCTAACCTGCCCCTGGTGGCCAAACCTTTTTCGGCATCGCGGGTCCAACAATCGTCACATGCGCGCTAAACAATACACGAGAATGCCAATTCCCCGGACCAAAATGGGCAACTCCTTCGTAATGACCGCCGTTCTAATCGACACGGAGCGCTGGCCGCAGGGGGTCGCACCGGGATGAGATGCGGGGTACATGATCTTCGCTTCTTCAAAGGCAATCATGGCCTATGCTTGAACCTACCCCAGGTCGGGTCGCCGGCCCGTCAGGGGCTGGGTGGGAATCAATTTTCTTCGGAAAGCTGAAACCTCAATACAGATTCTTCAATACAGTCGACAAAATAACCCGCCTTTTTAGGCGGTTTCCCCCTGGCGCAAATCTTCCCCCGCAAAAACAATTGCACTATTCACAATGCGTCGGAGAAGAGCGCACACTTGCCCGTGCTCTTTATGGCCACTAGACACGATGGCGGAGCGTTATAAATTTATAAGTACTTCGTGGCCATCGTCGATTTGCGAGGAAATTGGAAGGTTCACATCCAGTCAGATCACAACTTGCCATCATGTCTTCCACCCGGGTGAGCATTATAGGGACAGGGTTGGCCCTACTGCGTCTTATTCAGGCACAACAACCAGCCACATCAGATCCCGGAAACCCTGCTCTGACCACCTGGAAATGTTCCACGGCAGGTGGATGTGTGCAGCAGGATACCTCGGTCGTCCTGGACTGGGGATTCCGGTGGATCCACACCGCTGGTGGCTATGAATCTTGCACAACATCCTCCGGTGTTAACACCACACTGTGCCCCGATGAAGCCACCTGTGCCCAGAACTGCGTCATCGAGGCGGCCAATTATACCTCCGCTGGCGTGTCTGTTTCTGGAGACTCGCTCACCATGCAACAGTATGTTGAGAGCAACGGCGTCTACAGCAATGCCTCTCCACGACTCTATCTACTCGGAGCAGACGGGGACTACGTGATGATGCAGCTCCTCGGTGGTGAATTGAGCTTCGACGTCGATATGTCTACCCTTCCCTGCGGTGAAAACGGTGCTCTTTACCTGTCCGAGATGAGCGCCACCGGCGGAAGAAATGAGTACAACACGGGCGGTGCCCAGTACGGCTCGGGATACTGCGACGCCCAGTGCCCAGTCGAGACTTGGAAGAACGGCACACTCAACCCTACTGGTCAAAGCTACTGCTGCAATGAGATGGATATCCTTGAGGCCAATTCCATGGCCAACGCATACACCCCTCATCCATGCAGCACCACCGATTGTGACAAAGGAGGCTGTGGCTTCAACCCATACGCACAGGGAGTGACTAACTACTGGGGGCCGGGCGACACTGTCGACACCTCTAAGCCCTTCACCATTACTACACAGTTCATTACGAACGACGGTACCAAGACCGGCACCCTGATCGAAATCCGACGACAGTACATCCAGAATGGTAAGATCATTCCGAACGCGAAGTCATCCTCCGGCGTTGACTCCATCACCCAATCCTGGTGCGAGTCTTCTGATGGCTCTGCCGCTACCTTTGGCGGCTTGACCACCATGGGCCAGGCTCTAGGCCGTGGAATGGTATTGATCTTTAGCATTTGGAATGATGGAAGTCAGTATATGAACTGGCTTGACAGTGGAAGCAGCGGTCCATGCAGCAGCACTGCAGGAAACCCTGCCACTATCCTGGCCCAAGACCCAACCACGCACGTCATCTTTTCCAACATCCGCTGGGGAGATATCAACTCGACCTACACCAACCCTGGAGGTCCCGGCACTGGCTCCAGCTCAAGTTCGACGATCGTGAAGACCACCGCGAGCCACCAAACCACAACAACGAAACCTACAACCACGACGACCACAACCAGTGTCGGTGCAACTCAGACTCACTGGGGACAATGTGGAGGGCAGGGATGGACTGGCCCGACTGCTTGCGCATCAGGAACTACATGCCAGGTGCAGAATCCGTATTACTCCCAGTGCTTGTAGATAAGCGAGATAGTTCAGGGTTTGGGAATGGATTGAGAAAAGGCCTTGTGTTCCTGTTCATTTCGTGTCTTTTATCATGGATGATTCATGGTATAAATTGATTCATTGATTGCCTAATCGATTGATTATTTGTTGGTAATTTGCAGTTCTTTGAGGCAATGAGCCAAGTCAAACTAATTTATTTTATGCTGAGCTAATATATCAAAACATTTTTATTCTACATTTTGCTCGTACCGACTGATTATGCTTAACATGAAATTAACTCTTACCCGAAAGAAACTGACACTAGATGATTTTGGCTCTCGATTGTAATATCTTGCACAAGCCTGGAGTCTGAAGATCTTCAAGGACACAAGCTTTCTTGCAACTGGGTTTTGTTTTGGCCATGGGCACTCTCGGGAACTATTCCGTCACTAAAACAACAATTGCCAACCGAAAGAGGGAACCTCAAACGAAAGCTAGTCTTAGGTACCCGAGCCAGCTACTCTCGGGCCAAAAGCCGTTACAAAAGCGACCCCTGTTAACTCAATATCCGGTCTGAAACGCCGGCACTCATAATACCCAAACCTGATAGAAGGGAAGAACCTCATTCCAAACCTCAAAACCCCGCCCCTGAAGAACTGACGAATATTGCGGGTCGACGGGCCGACGTCAGCTCAATAGCCTGAACCCGTCTGGATTCCTTGCTCAAGCTTAAGCTTACAACGTATATAATAACAGTCTCGTACGCGGTTTCACAGGCACATTTACTCTACTGCGATATCACCGTGATAGAGACTCAACAACATAATGAAGAGTAAACTTTTATTCCTTATTTTTGATCTGCTTGCTTCGGCAGCTGCATACAAAGCCACCACTACCGTTCGTTCATTCCCACGATGCACCAGCTTTCTGGCGGGGGGAGTAGTATCAAGCTAACCGAGGCCTCCTACAGAGATACTACGATGGCCAGGAAGGTGCCTGCGGCTGCGGCTCCAGCTCTGGTCTCTTCTCCTGGCAGGTAAATAACCAACTCACCACCTTGAAACGGCCCATTTTCTCTTCATTGAAAGAAAGCTTCCGCTAACATAAGGAATACTTCAGGTCGGGATCACGAGCGGTGTATACACAGCAGCCGGTTCTCAAGCATTCTTTGACACAGCCGGTGCTTCCTGGTGTGGTGCTGGTTGTGGTAAATGTTACAATCTAACCTCCACTGGTGAATCCGCGTGCAGTAGTTGCGGTACTGGCGGAGTCGCTGGCGAGAGCATAATTGTGATGATAACCAACCTATGCCCATATAACGGCAACCAACAATGGTGCCCCAGCGTTGGTTCCACGAACCAATATGGATACAGCTATCATTTTGATATTATGGCCCAGACTGAAGTTTTCGGTGACAATGTTGTGGTTGATTTTGAGCCAGTCGCTTGTCCTGGTCAAGCGACCACTGACTGGCAATCTTGTGTCTGTTACGGGCAGACCGAGACGGATACGACTCCTGTTGGAATTACGTCTGGTGGTTCCGACTTTTCATCATCATCTTCTTCTTCCTCTTCTTCGACCAAGACACAGAGCACCGCCACCACCTTGGTGTCGGTAACGACTACTACTGCTACGTCAACCGGTACTCAAACAATCTATGGACAGTGCGGTGGTAGTGGATGGACGGGCCCAACAGCTTGTGCGTCTGGTTCAACCTGCAAGGAGCAGAACCAGTGGTATTCTCAGTGTCTTTAGTACAATATTATGATTGCTTGAAGAATTTTGGATACTAAGAGTCCGTTATACTTTGTACCTAGATAGCTACACTTTAACCATATTTCAATGCATTATAGTCACACTATTATGCTTAACGACTCCTATTAACCAGAGCGGGGTTGTGTAGCTGAGATAGGTATCATGATTGGCCCAACACAACCTAATCGTCTCTGTCGAAACTTGATCATTTCGTCAAAATTCCTACTTTGCTGATTACCTATCACCATGCTCTGGCAAACACACACACACACAATCCGTTAGTATGAACGCTTTGACTAGCATGCTAGATCTGGTTAACGATACCGCTAGGCGATCTGTCGAGCCCTCACGTGAAAAATCCTGAAACCAAAGGACCCTGAATTAGCGCCTGAGTGTTTGAAATGGACAAATTCGATTTGAGAGGCCTGACTGTTTGACCTCAATGGCAGATTAGAGATGGCCTAACGGCAGTATGAAAGTAGAGCATGTCCCTTTTGGAACTCGATATCTGCAGCGGGGGAAGGATTGCGAATACTGAGATCGAATGAGATAGGATTTACATACGTGTTTTACTTGGAATTAATAGAAGGCGACGAGCAAAAAATGATGGAATAAACTCAGACACTGAGGAATAGTACTTTCAGTTCAATGTAGTCATTGGTGCATCTTCCTTCACATTCTTAAGCTAAATATCTCATGGGTTTCTAGCCATTTATGGACCACGAAATTATGCCTGGGGGGCGAAACCGAGCTGAGGGCCAGCGGAGTCAAAAACGACGTACTGGCTTTTCAGGAAGATATCACCGAAGATAGAAAAACCAATGCCAGAGTTTGACTGAATACCGCCAAGGCAGGTAGAGCCAACACCAGATGCACCGTAGTTGATCAACGAGCCAGGAACAGTTGCAGTGTAACTGCCAATATTGACACTAAAATCGGGCAACGTGGCAGAGCAGTCAAAGACATAGCCACCGGCAGTTTGGCTATTCTTTGCACCACTGACCTGAGAATAATACGCCGATACAATTGAGTCATCAAGTAGCAGCAATGTGGTACCAGTATCGGCAATGCCACTGAAACCGCCACCAGACCGAGTGCCCGCAGTGTAGCCGTCGACATTGAAGCTCCAGAAGCCTTGAGAACTGTCCACGCTAGTGTACGCAATGGACCCTGTATATTTGGAAGAATCAACGAAGCCAAAGTCATAAACACCAGGCGCATTGTGTTTCAGTGCAACAGCAAAGAGGGGTTGGTCAAGGGAAGCCTTGACACTATCAAAGAAAGTGGTCTGAGCCTGAGGCTGCACGGTATTGATACTGCTAAAGGCAAGACCAAGAAGCCCGTCGTTATTCGTGTCCTGCTGGAACTGGGAACTGATTGTCTGAGCAGCCTCGACGGCCTGGCTGGGTGCAGTAATGCCGCCAACGGTAACCGAATCTGTATACACATTCCCGCTGGCACTGCTTCCATCGCCATACGAGATGGACCACGTATAGCCACTCAGCTCAGTGCCGCTAGTGCTAGGATTATATACGGAGTGGCCAGATTGCTCAGAGGTAGGCAGTTCCGTTGAGAAGACCCAACTAGATATTGATAAGCTTGTAGTCGTAGTCAATAAGCAGGATGAGAGTCACTCACAGATCAGCGGACCCTGTATCAAAGTCCAAATTGAGAGTATTGCCACCGAGCGTGACAGGCGTCAAATATTCTTCATCGCCGTTCACGGGCGTGTTAGTTGCAACACCACTCGCAGCGGCGGCAGCCTCGACATGAGAAGGCACGGTAGCACCGTACTTTGAGAGTGCATGCCCGTAAGCTGCCGCAAAATTGGTAGTTTTCGTAGCCGGACGAGCGACCTGTTTGACAGAAAACTTGCTGCTTGCCTTCGCTGTAGGTGCAGCCGAGGCGATCGAGGCAAGCCCGACGATTGTGATGATCTTACTAAAGGCAACCATGATGGAGATTGAGAAGGCTCGTAGATGAAAGAGAATGTGACTTGAATGCTAAGCAAAGCAAGATACCAGATGAATCGGTTGATCAAGGGCCCTATTTATACTTCGAGGTGCTTTCTGTCCTTCCCGTGGCATGAGCACAATCGGGGAGAACATAGTAACGCATATCGCATGATTTGGACATCTCAAGACACGATGTTACTCTTCTAGAAATATGCAGTGAAGATCTGCACGCCACAGAGGCTAACGCCGTCGGGCTCCAAGAACCCCCGGGCCTAGTGATGAGGCAGCCATTGGATATTCAGGGTCACATCATTTGGCCTGCAGATATATTGCAGAAAGACGTATTCAAAAGCCTCTGGGAAGAGAATTTTGGACTAAGAATCACTGTATTATGAACGGTGACTTGGCCTAAATACATACGATGATTATCGAAAAGCCGCGCGAGCATGACACACTCTCTTCATAGGTAGCCGATATCGTGAAGCAAAGAGGTGCAGTTTCGGAGATCACGCAAAAGTGGAGACTTATAATCCCAAGCTTTTGATTATCTAGCGTTATCTTTCGGGTAATGCTTAAAGTTCGGCGACACCCATGAGGGTAACATCGGGTCTAAACGCTGACCAGTGGACATTACGCCTTTGAATGGATCATTCCCAAGACCCTGTACCCCGCTATTATACAATCCAGGCCTGAGCATATCATGAGACTTTCATTCCAAGCAATGAGAGTCCCTGTAAGTCCTCAGCGTATTGGCTAAGCGGACTGTTTTGGTTGCAGCAGTACTTTCGCCCATTAAATGACGCTCGTCAGTGGTTACGGTGATATAGACTCAAGTTAGATCTACATGACGAATAGTTCGTCTCGGAAGTTCTCCCGGCTGCAGAAAGCAATCGCATCACCCAGATTGAGTTCAACCCCAATGTGATGAAGAAATACCGGCGGGAGTCCGTAACCGAACCGGCTCTCGATGCTGATCAGGGCGACTACTGTATATTGTTATTACTCTTGTTCTACCGGCGCGGAGAGGTCACTCCATTTGGTAGGGAAATGGCCGATAACGCGACCCACATCCAGTGTGACCATTGACGGGCTGAATTCCACTCCCGGACATTTCCCATCGGCTCTTTCATTATGATTTAAAAACGGGAGTTTGATATCTGGCGGAAGATCTTGCCGTTGAAATTCCCCGTCTGCCTCGATTACAGTAAGGGCAGAATTCTTCCACTAACGACGCATGAAATCAGATGGTCAGCGCTACATGGCCGCCACCCGATCGGATTACCATAGGGGCTCCGCCGCTGAAGCGTAGGATTTGGCCGGTTGAAAGACTCGATTTGGCAACGGTAGAGACTGTGGCTGGATTATAAATGAAAGCGTGCGCCATAGCTGAAGCTAAATGAGCTGATCCGTTTATCCTGGTGGTGCATGCCGAGGTTTCGGGGGTAATTCCCCCTTACCAAGGGTCCTCCTCTGTTCCAGTCTTCCGTGTCAAATGGATGGATGGTATTACAACTCTTGATCATTCAGGCACGCAAAAACTGCGCGTATGGCGAATCGCTTCGAAGTAACCGTGGCAGCCTAGGTCTCTAGCTCGACAGCAGGGTCTGTCCAGCGTGAACTCTGTACATCTAGTAGAACTGTGTTTTCCTCCTCCTCTGCTCTCTGAACATCAGTTTGATCGTAGACATAATCAGTAGACCGGCAAAAAGTCAACCATTTGCACCGGCGTATCTTCTTTCCGGAACAATCATTAACGGTTGGAATATGCGCCTTCTCTTCCCCAGAGTGAACGATTACTATCAAATGCCTTAAATAGTGAGTCAAAGCCAGATACGGATACTCTAGTATCGGAAGAGACTCCATGGTCCTACAAGCAGCTGTTTAGATTCGGACGTCTTTGGTGGTACAAAAAGGAGGCTCTATGACATGGGGATGTGAACGGTGGCTATGAACACAAAACTTGGGCATTAGCAGACTCGAAGTACGTTGTTCTCCGAAGCTAAGGTGGGAACGGTCTATTGTACCCATATTCGGCGACAACCAGCCCTGCAGGCGGCTCGGTTTTCCGGCTCGTCCGTCGGATGCAAGTGAAGGTCAATGATGATCCATGTTCATCTAGAGAATCGCTGCTTCATAACTCTCCAAATATTCTCGAGTGGACGTGAGGGGTTAAATTACGGTCTTGTGAATGCAAGACCAGTTCTAGAGGTTGAGTTTTTGCTTGCAGACGGTGTGACACCGAGCGGTTGTAGCATAGCATCCTTATGAATGGCAATGTATGAACCCCTGAATTTGAATTTAAGATGCTTCGTAATGGGATCGTTGATCTAGTACAGTCTATGTCAAGGTTAGTACGAAACGCTGTGTCAAAGTCAGTTATCAAAAAAGCAGAGTCATGGACGGCAGGGTCAGCGAAGACCTGTTACGTCGGTCGAGCTAGCCAGTCTGGTCAAAAGGAAAAGAATCCAGTCTCATTCGATTTTTCCCTAGGTGGCAGTTGAGAGGACCTCAGGCGTGATGCTCGTCGTCATCTTCCACAGCGTCCTGGTCTTCCCACTCCTCAGGTTCATCCCCCAATAGGCTGACCAACTGTAATAGAGCGGCTTGTGATTGCCACATCTGATCCGTGGGTTGGCCAGGGCCAGATCTGGCTTTCGTGATCGGAGACCCGGATTGACATACCGCAGTTGGCGTGGAAGAGGAGATCTCAGGGGCCAGGCTCACAACACGGATGGCCTTCGTAGGAAAAATCCGAGCGGGGGTTTCGTGACGCGGCGTTGGATTGCTGCCCGGGGCATTGGAGATCGATTGGCGCCAACCAAGAGTCTGTGGTTTATAAGCTTAGCCTCGGATGGTCCTTACGAGAGAGTTAGAGATGAAGACAGTGGGCACAAACCGTATAGGTTGTCATGATCGCATCATCGCATAGAGTCATATAGCTGACAGGAACCGCCAGCTGTGGGGCGGCGCCGGTCAGTATCGAGAACGAACCGTGCTCGGGATGGTCCAGGTCTTGGATACCGTTGTCGCTGTCCAACGCAACGACATAAATACGATCTTCAATCTCAAACAGCAGGCGGTGATCGCGAACGGACAACCAACCGCCCAGGTCGAAACTAGAGCCATCCGACTCACACTCGAGAAGAAAGCTGCTTGTCGCAAGGCTAGAGGGATCGCACAGTGCTTTGCGCCAGTCTGGGCTTACGAAAACCCGACCAGCTCGGGAGAATCCGACGAAGAGGGCGCCGTCCAACATGCCTGCTCCCCATTCGTCCTCGCCATGCCGGACGTGCTCGGGGTCGTTCGGCGATGGGAGCGGGCCCTTGGCAATATCAATTGGTGTGATGACATCCCGGCGAGTCACACCAGGGGGAGGGAGCGGATGTGATATTTCTCCGTGCAGCTCGAGGGTTGCAAAATACCCAAAAGGCCACCAGACTTCTTATCGTAAGCATAGTAGCCTTTCGCTCCGATTGAATAGATGACGGCATCCTCGCACTGGTCCAAATGTCCCACGGCGCCTGGCTCAATATCGAGGTGGGTGGTTAGTACCGGCGGCCGCTTGGTCACGTCATACACAAACCCTTGCCCTTCACTCGACACCACACAAAGCGTTCCGTAGGACAGTTGAAAGCCCCTTGTCTGGCAATTGTGGTTCAGAATGGCGATACGTCGAAACTCCCCTCGAGCGGCACCGTCCAATTCAGCCTGCCAGACCTCCACGGCATCTCCCTCGCGATCAAAGATCGCCATGCCATCCTGATATTCTAAATGGGCGTGTGGGCGCACGGCGTCCTCGTCACGATCGTGGGTTGAGGGAAGGCGCCAAAGAATACGCCCTGAATCCATATCGGTGACATTCAACCCCCCGGCATGGGAGGTAGAGATGAAGAAGCGCCTCTTAAAGTCGGCCCGGAAGCGCCAAACCGGGTCATTGCCAATTTGCAACACCGATTCTTGACTGACAGGGTGCCGCGCAGCCCAGTTGCGAGCAAGCAAGGTCTGGCGTTTGCAAAGATCCTTCCATGTCGACGTGCCATCGTAGAACTTCGAGATACTGGAGGTGTCCGAGAGGAATGCCAAATCCCGAGTGCCGCCGGGTGGTTGTGTGGTCTTGGATTCGGCGCCGTAGATTGCTTGTTGATGGGTGACGTCGATAAAGTGGTGCCAAGCCTTGGAGACGGCGAGGAGGGAGGCGAGGGTGGACACGGAGGAGAAGTCCAGGATGCGAAGGATAATCTCTGGAGGGAAAATGGTCAAGGGATCGGCCATGGAGCACTCGACAGGCATGTTTCACAGAGCCAATGCGTAGTTGGGAAGATTTGGAATTGGACGGTTCTTTGGGAGTTCGAGTAGTTCCATCTCCAAAAGTCACGGACATCGGGTCAACTGAGGAGGTCTCACCGCCTTCCTCCAAGGGAAGTTGGTTATGCGCAATATCCTGACCATGAACTAATCACGTAGTACTAATGACATTTTCTTTACTTACTCTCTCTATCTATTGAGCAACAGAACGGGACCGGATACTTGGTGGTTGATTGATTGACTACTCTCGTCAGGGAGTTTCGCCAAAGGGTTCATTCGATGCTGGAATCAACCGCGGAGTGAGATCCGGAGGCTGAACGAAGCGGTGGTCAAATGGCCACATGGGCCGATGGATCCGACAATGTCCCAGGCGACTCAAATCTTGATCGACACCACCCGGAGTCAGGGCCAGTCTCCAGTCTGCCGCCATCTCGTACAGCTCAGGCTCCAGGTACCCGATTTTGACGATCACGATATCCGCCGACCGGGGTCCCAGGTTGAGCTCGGTGAAGTCAGACTCATGGTGGTAGGGCTTTCGCAACTTGGTGATGATGACAAACACACTGCCCACCTGGAGAACACATTCGGTGATTGCGTTCCGATCTCCATGTTTGATGGCATGCACCCGACCAGTCATGGTGATGGGCCCTTCGTGAATGCTGTCCACTTCTGCCCCTGCAATGACGGTCACGGTGGCCCCAACGCCCGCTTGGGCAATGGTTTCCGCTGCCTGCTGGCCCGGAATGCTGGCGTACACCACGACGGGACCGTTTGTCTGTTGGAATTCGGGGGCGAGCTAACACTCGGGCGAGCGTCCAAGTGACATCTCCGGCACCTCCGGCCGTTGGGTTGTCCCCGGAGTCCGAAATGTAGAATGGACGGCGATCGGATTGGAGTGCGACGTCGATACACTCACTCAAAGTGCCCGTGGGAGCCACAAAATGGAAGGTTTCCCGGCAATCCCAGAAGTGTGTGGCCAGGTCATGAGCCTTTCGAGTGACGACCTCTGCCTCCCAGCCCGTCACCATCACGACCGCATGGTTGCGAGGCTCATCCGCCCACGCATAACCCACCCAGATCGCCGCATCTATCACTCCCGGTGTGGCTTCCACTCCGGGAACAAGCTCGTACAGACCCTTGGCGGGCTCGACCCGAGTCGACGTTTGCTCCCCGGGCAACAAAATAGGGATCTTGGCCCACGCCTTCAACGGACGAGGCCTCGGGTCCTCTTGGCGAGTTAGAAGGTCAACGAGATTGCGACACGCGCGCTCTTTGGTATCCAGTTCATCCTCATGCGGCGCCATGCGATAGCAGGTGATGAGATCCGATTGATGCGCAAGCTCCTCGGAGACATTTCCATGCAGATCCATGGAAGCGGATACAATGACATCGGATCCAATGACGAGACGAATCCGCCGAAGAAGTTCTACCTCCACATCGTCTAGCCCTTCGACGCACATGGCACCGTGGATGTCGAACCATAACCCGTCGACAGGGCTGGAATCACAAATCTGGGCGAGCCGCGTCAAGATCTCATTTGCCAGTTCCTCAAACGCCGCCCGAGTAACCACTCCGCCAGGCAAAGCATGGCCGATCAAGGCACCTTCCCACCTGGCTCGGTCACCAAGCGGGGTCCCTGGGCTCAAGAAGGCGTATTGGTCAATTATTTCCCGACCCCGACGTGGGTGGAAGGCTGCAGCGTCTGTCCGAGCTGGGGAGAAGGTGGAAGTCTCGCAGGCCAGTCCAGCGATCGCAATGACGGGGTGTTTCGCCATTCGTATGTCAACCGAAGAGTTGAGTTTTTCTACGTTTGTCGTTGTCAGGAACGAAGAAACGAGTTCATAAGTAGCACAATGTTTTGTTTTTTATTTTCATTTTATTTTATTTTTTTGAGACGATCACTGGTTCGGTTCTAGTTGGGTCTCTTCAGGGTACATTTTCCATTTCTCCGTTGGGGTTGACCTTGTTGAGCAGCATCAGCACATCCCCCTCTTTTTCCCCCTTGCAGGAATATCCAAACCTCGCTTCCAGCCTGTTAGAGGGAACCCCCCACTTTCCCCTCATCCAGCCGACCATATCATCAGTTCTGGTTGTGTTCCATTCCCGCAAGAAATACTACCCTTGAGCTCCCCAAGAAAAAGAAAAGACAACAATATGAGGGTGGAAAAGAAACCCAGTGCGACACGAAACCTAAGCACACCAAAATGGTATCGACGGATCATGCGCTTCACGGTGCCACAGCATCGACAATCGAATTTTAAGCATCAAGGGGCATATGCGTTATACCTTGGCCAACGAATCACACAACAGCAGCGGGGGAAAGGGTAAGCGTCAAGCCTCTGTGTGGAATGCTTAGCACGCACGATAGGAGACTTCCTTCTCCGCTGATCGCGGGTCGGCTAATGCACAATGAAACGCTCTTATCAACCGTCGGGCTTATGGACTCGGCTTTTCTATCTGATGGAACTGCGGGGAAGGTAAGTCAGACCTCGTCGGTAGATAATAGATATATATCACACCAAAGCGTAGCGTCGCTTCGATCCGGCGATCGAGGGGGAGCACGCGAGAGAACAAACCTGCGCTCACGGGCAGATCATCTTTCTTTGAAATGCTGAAAAAGACACCTACCGGGACATGGATGCCCGCGTGGGTTCCAGAGTCAACGTTCATGCTATGCATGCTGTTGCTCCTGTCCTCGGTTGTGCAATCTGCGGTAATTCAGTCATCGTGCCAATGCCTTGTTTCGTGAAGGCTAACGCATCCAAGACTGGCGGGTATGATGGATCGATGTTGAATGGTCTCAACATTTTACCATCATATACCAACTACTTCAATTTGAACCCTGCCACCAGGGGGCTCAATACGGCTTCTGTTTTCATTGGCGGTTTCCTCGGGCCTCTGGTAACTGGCGTGATCGCGGACCGATTGGGTCGCCGTCCGGCGATTTTCTGGGGATCTTGCCTGACAATCGTCGGCATCATTCTTCAGACCGCGTCGCAGAATATTGCCATGTTCGTGGTCGCTCGGATCATCCTGGGATTTGGAGGGGCCGTGACTGGTATCGCCGGAGGAGTATATCTGTCCGAAGTCTTCCCCAGTCGATGGCGCGCCTGGGGCGTGGGTCTTCTGAACGATTTTTACTAGTTAGCAACAACCTCCTGATTTTTATCTGTACTTCGATGCTAATTTTGATTTTAGTGTTGGCGCCCTCATCGCAGCGGGTATCACCCTCGGAACAGGGCAGTGGCAGTCGACATGGGCCTGGCGGGCTCCATCCCTTTTCCAAGGTATCTTCTCAGTGTTATGCATTTTCACACTTCCGTTCATGTGAGTACGCATGCATCTTGCTATGTTGCACGACATTTTTCTCACTAAGCAGCAGTCCAGAATCTCCTCGTTGGCTTGTCCATCAAGGCCTTTTCGAGGAGGCCCGCATAACTGTGGCACAAACAAATGCGCATGGGAGCATGACAGATCCAATCGCCGTCGCAGTCTTCAAAGAGATTGTGGACACCTTGAGATGGGAGAAAGAACAGGCGCAATCTATGAGCCCCTTGGAAATCCTCAAAAGCCCGATAGCTCGAAAAAGACTACTGATCGGAATGTCCCCGGGCCCTTTCTCATGCATTGCCGGGAATATCATTGCCTCGTATTATTTTGGCTCGGAGCTAGACACGGCCGGCATTACAGATACTAATGATCAACTCAAAGCGGTAAGCTCCCTATCTCGAGTCCATTACATCCATTGCTCCTACTGACGAGGTAGAATGTGGTCCTGAATGTCTGGTGCCTTGCGTGCTGTCTGGTCGGTACACATCTAGCTGCCAGGTGGGGACGCAAACCAACAGCGATGCTCTCCCAGACGCTTCTTATTACATGTCTTTTCATCATCGGCGGTCTATCAAAGCTGTACGCTGCTGATCCACAAGGCGCATCCAGTAGCCTTGTGTATGGAAATGTCGCGATGATGTTCTTGTTCCAAGGATTCTATTCCGTTGCATGGACACCACTGCTTTATCTCTATCCGCCAGAGATTATGAATTATTCCATTCGTGCCAACGGCGTAGCATTTTCATACTTCGCGCTGAATGCCTTTGCGTAAGTGAATCCTCCCTCTATCTTGGGGCCGCTCTGATGGTCTGGCTCTAGTTTGGTTTTCACCTTCATTATGCCGATTGGCCTAGGGAATATCGGGTGGAAGATGTATATGATCAATGCATCGTGGGATGTTATAATACTGGGCCTGATTGTACGTTTTGACCAGCGGGGTTCTTCAAAGGCATACTGACTTTATTAGGCCTATTATTGGGTGGAAACCAAGGGCAAAACTCTTGAGGAGATTGACGCGATATTTGAAGGCGAGAAACATTCCTCGGTCCCGGACATCGAGATTCTCCAGCGTGGCGAGAAAGAGTTGGATATCGATTTGGTCGAGGAGCAACTCAAGCCTGATCTAAGATTGGCAACTGGTCGAAATGCCGCGGCCTAATTATCGTGTGAATAGCCAAAGTGGAGATTTGTTTGGTGAGACGTAGAGTATCGATAGCAGGTAGAGGCTACAGGTAGCTTTCAATTTCTTGGACAACCAGAGTCATTTGCATGTACCGCGGGCGAACTTTAGGGCTTTAGCCTAGAAACCTCCCCATATCAATCATGGTAGCTAAGTGTTATTTTGGATAGGTAGTTTCCAGAGATCGTCCATGGTTTTGTTGTCGAACAAGAACCGACTTGACACTCGACCCATTGCATTCATGCCAGAAAACTATATATTTCCCGCTCGGGAAGTATGAGTCTGCATCTCAATGATCCCGGACTCGAGTCCCATTAATGAGGGAACGTGAGATGACTGTAGCAAGGTACACATTGGTTTACAAATCTGGAAGTTGCTTCTTAGTATAATTATAGTACCATGCCCCGGACGATTATTATTCCATGGTAACATGTCCGCCATTGAGCTGACCTCTGACTAGAGATCTATAACTAACTTAAAAGTTAGTTAACTAGTTAACTAACAACGTACCGAACGTGACATACAGCAACATGTCCTGGAATCCACTCAAGTCCCTTATATACTAAGCCACCGCCCTGCGGGCAAATCCCGAAGTTATAAAAGAGAGTATAAGTTACGTCGATCTCGATATTATTCTTAACCTCTTATTTTCTATAAACAATAGTCTTATAAGGCTCAACTACTACCGGGTAAATTAAACCGTAATCCTGGATCGGTGCCGGACCTAAAACCCCAGTCCCGAAGAAAGTTGGCGCACCACCACTCGTCCTCTGCTGGCTCCAAAATGGTGAGATGACATTGATGAGAGTAGTTGCGACGACAATTTCCACGTTATTTATACCCTTCTTGAGATAGGCACCGATATCGGCGCGAGCCAGGACGGGGTCGAGCGGCGGTACGAGCGCACCGTTGACGTAAACGCGTGCGAAGTGCACGATTGAACCGAGGTCGATGATAGCCCCCGCTGCTTTGCTCTTTCCGGCCGGTGGCCATAGGAGGGTTGTGGTGTAGTAGCCGCGGCCGGAAACGTTGGTGAGGTTTGTGTTTGGGATGTGGCGCCATGAAACGAGGGTTTCAAGGGTGTAGGAGGTGTTTGTCTTGACGGTTGAGCCGTTGAAGGCGTAGAGGTCAGCCGGCGGCGACCAGGCTTCGATGGTCAGGTTCCAGGGACCTAGGGTGATAGGTGCGAGACCCGCGGTTGACTTCACAGAGTAGGTACTGGCGGACACTGCGGAGATGGCGACGGTATTTGGTGGTGCGGCGGTGGTGGAGGCTTCTACTGCTTTACCGTGCTTGATGCCGATGATGACGGTCTGGTTACCAGCGATGGTGAGATGGATGGTGATGGAAGTGCTTGTCTTGGTGAAGACGGTGATGGGCGTGATTTCGCCAGTCCAGGCGTCGTAGAGCATAGGTGCACCGGTAGTGGCGATTGTGATGTGTCCAGTGGTGGAACCGCCGGGGAAGACTATGCCAGTTGCATCGTTGTACAACATAACGTAGGTCATGGCATTTGCGGTATCTTCGCGCCATTGAGCATACCAGATGCCGTTGGCGCTGAGTTGGGCTCGTGGGAGTACGCCGATACGGGCGAGCGAGGCGGCGAGCCCAGCGAATGGTACTGTGTGCACGTTCTTAAGGGACCTGATAGATTGCAAGGTTGTGTTAACGTATGCAGCGCCGGTTGCATTGTTGCCCCAGAATAGAGTAGGGACACCGCCAGCGAAGACGACAGGCAATCCTCGGTGGGCATACATCGCAATGCATGTGGCGCCATCAACCGTCATAGTATCATTTGCCCTGACAATCAAAGCTCTGAATTCTTGGCGCTCAGGTGCCAACACGTTGTTAGCTACATGAGCAGCCGGCAACGCGAAGTTGTCGGGACTCAGGTATTCGTACGTGTAGCCTATGATAGTCAGTTCATGTAAGGACCAGATTAGTGAGACAACCACTCGTGTATGACATACCGGCAGCTTGGAGGTCAGTTGGCATGTACGATGTGCCCAAGGAGTAGCTCACAGCCTTCAGGTAGAAAGCAACGTCGACCTTCGGGATACCAGTTTGCAATACCCACTGGTTACGAGCGGTGTAATTCAAGAACTCTCCGTAAAAATCCCAAGCGGGCTGCCTCGGTCCGTGCATTTCGCAGTATTCCAAGTCAAATCCTGCAAACCCAGGCCAAGTCGTGTTTGGATAATAACCTGAGTAGGGGTATCCGTGGAATACATGAGTGTTTACTCCTCCGGCAAAGGCCCGTTTGACGTCCCATAATAAGTTTGGGATTGTCTCAGCATAAGCTATACCCATGTTTGCGCCGGTCTCGGAGGATATAACACGCTTTCCAGCGAGGTTCGCCGGTCCGGAAAACTGACGGAATGCATCAATGTTGTGGCTGAACCCAAGGGTCTCAGTTTCAGGCGCATTGACAAATGGAATATTGGCAAGCATGTCAAACGGTGCGTTGTACGATGGCTGTGCTGAGTACTGTAGGCCTAAGCTGTTCGCCCAGTCGTCCATTGTTTCGAGGTAAATGGAGTACATGTTTGTAAGCTAGAATCTTGTCAGTAACCGCACTGAATTGGATACTGGACTATATGCAATACCGTTTGCCTGTAGTCTTCGAGGTGACTCAAACCAGCGTCAGCTTGATCTGTGCTGTAGAGTGGAACCGTGACACTGTTCACGAAGCCGACTCGTCCTCGGACGATGATTGGAAGATACTTGTTGATGGAGTAGCCGTGTTCCTGCTGGAAAACCTTGGGAAGTTCTGTAGTCCACCACGCATATCTTGGGAAGAATTCCTGGAAAATATCAGGAAGCTGCAAGCAAACGTCAGTTGGGGTAAATGCCTACGATGGAATCTTCCCAGACGTAGTTGCCGACTTTCTTTAGAAGCTTCCCAGTTGTCCCGGTGAAGAGATACTTGTTCCAGTAGTTGATGGCAACCTGCGCACCTCCGACGGTAAAGTGATCCCAGACATTAGATCCGTTGTTCCGGAAAGACGCCGGTTGCGATTGTGGCACGCCAGCCTTGGCGGGGAAAGTGTTTGAGTTGATGTCCAGCGGACCAACTTGTTCACGCTGATGAGTGAAGATCAGATAAAAGGCAGCCAGGATGTAGTGTGTTCCGGTAGCGTTGGGAAAGGACAAGGAAATCTGGCCTTGCGCGTTGACTTGATGGGTGACTTCGGTCAACGAGGACGTCGACAAGACTGAAGCTGCGTTACCGACACCTCCAGAAATGACTAGCCCCGTGGATGCAGAGATCAATGGACCGGTGCCCCAGCCAGGTAGCGTGCCGTTAAAGCTGCCACCGACGGGTACATTGACATAGAAAGGTTGAATGTCACGTTCTAGATTCACGTCATCGTATTGACTGGGTACACCAGCGCCACCGAACCCGACCCCAAGAGCGAAATCAATAATCATGTTGTTAGCATTGACTGCCTGGACTGCTGTGTCCTGGATGTTGGTCTCTGCAGAACATCATAGTCAGTAGCTATTAATATTACATGCACCAAGAAGAACCCAAATCCATACTCCACACATCTGTGCCCCATCCATACACCGCCCAATCCGTTGGGACATATGCGGGATATGCTGGATTGGTACCGCCGTATAAATAATACCTGTAATAAGATCAGACCGTCAGCGTGATGAACAACTTTCGAGGATGAAAATCTAGCAATACCCAAACAGCTCCATACCGCCAGCTCCTTGGGCGGCGGCCTCGGCAACGTCGTTCGCTACGCCCGCTGGGTCAACGGACGCATCAGGAATCCAGTAACGCCATTTGGGCCGGACATAGGTGGAAGGGTTGTTGAATGAACCATAAGGGATGTTTGGATTATTGACCTGATCATTCGTGCCTCGACCGTGGCAGAAAGGTAGGACGAACAGGACGGCTGCCGCAGCCAATGCGTAACTTGAGCGTGCCATGACTTGAAAACTCAATACGTGCAAATGTTGCCGCTACTCTTCCTCTGAAATCCGAGAGAGGTCGTGATGGAGGCAGTTTATGACCTAAACAATGCAAGCGTTGAACGTGCTTGTCTGCAAATGCTGCCATACAATCAACGCGTGACATGGACCTCGGCATCCTTTCTACCGTGCCCAAGAAGGCTGTCGGAGGATGGAAAGCAGAGCAAGTGCGGGGGCAGCTGGCGCAGCAATGCCTTTCTTCATATTGGCTCGGGTTAAGATTGTACCGTGCAGCGAGGGAAAGACAAGGCCGAGTCTAAAGGGGGTTATCCAAAAAGGGACATTATTCAGTTTTGTTTCGCTTAGATGCAAAGGGGATAGTTCGCTCGTGATCAATCTGCTTAATAGTTTTACTACTATAATACGGCCAGTATTTCAACCCTAATAGTATTATAACAGCTAGATATTAATATAGGCGGCTTATAAACACAAGGAGGCCGATAAGCTATCGATAGATAGTAGGTCATTTTAGCAGAGTACTAGAAACTATAAGGGAGGGCCTACGAGATTAGGGCCCGGCGAAAGACTATAATCCACAATTAGTAGAACTAAAGGTGACTAATTCGGAGAAATATAGAGAAATCTTATAGCGTCGGGGGAAGGCCCCGATAAGCTAGCCCGGTCTCGTATCGCCAGTTTTGCTAAATAACCGCATTGCCGTCCCGCTCGGTATTTTGTGCTCCAGACGTCCTGCATCGTGCGCTGCTAGCCCGAGATACTAGGGAGAGTTTAACCCGTTACCCGGTCATATTAGCAGGGTAATACTACGGTACATAGTAATCAGATAGATATAGCTTAGTTAGTTCCTATGGCAGTGTAGCAGGAGTAGGTACGTCTAGATTAACGTATTTCTATATACTATTTGCTAGCGTATAATCGTTAATAGCTATAATCTAAGGGACCTAATATACGTGGTATTTTAGAGGATAATTAAGCTAGGTAGCTTGTAGATCGGATAAATCTATCACTTAAGACGAAAGTAAGGGATAGATAAGAGGAAAGTAAAAGATAAAGGCCTTAGCAGAGGCTCGGGCTTATAACTATTGTTGGAATTGCGTATGGTGCATAAAACCGTGGTAGAAATCGTTCGTGCGTACTTATCTTAGTGCCACGATTATGGAAGAGAGACGAATCAAGATAGATCATAATCGGCTGATCAGACAGAAGAATCAAGCAGTGGAAGGTTGATTCGGATAGTCTACTATGCCCGCTAATTCTATCCGTGATAAAAGAGATGTCAAACTTGTTTTTTCTAACTAGGAAACAGAGTGCAATTTATAACATGGGGTACATAGCAAATATCACATAAGGAAATCAAGAACATTCGAGGTCATTTTGGAGTGTTGAGTATTCTCCAGCCTAGATAGGCAATGCTGACGAGATCGTTGAGGATCAATATGATATATCAAGCGGGGTAAGCGGGGTAGGTTCATCTTGCAGGAAGCATTCTTCCTCCAGGATCCAACAGAGTAGGAAGCTGACGTAAGATCTTATGTATATGTATACTTATATACTGATACCTACCCTTTCCTTTCGTCTTATTTAGCTCTTGCTTTGCTCTTACCTTTTATCTTATATTAAGAGCAAGGGGTATATCGGCATATATAGGCCTTAGGCCTAGATTGCTAACGTAATTCCCAGTCGAGCGTGCTTCCCGGTTAAGCGGGCCACCCCAAAATACCATACTAAATGCAATATTTCACAACTTCATACTTCAACGTCGAAGGCGAATTATATAGTCTTAAGGTATCTTAATATTGAATATACTATACTAGATATTTTTATAGGCTCTAGAAATATTTCGGAGTGTAATAATGTAGATATATATATCCTCGTCACTCGATCAATGCGTATTTTTGGTAATATAAGTAAATAATTATTTCCTAAATATATCAGTCATACTAAACTATTTCTAATATTAGGGAGTTATAGTAGATTGAAAATTTAATAAAAAGATGTTCTGGTTGTTGATATATTGTGACTTGCAAAATCGCTTTTAGTATAGTGTTTTAGGGTGGCTCGCTCGACCGTGAACTACGTTAGTGGAGTCTATTTTCAGATTGATGACTAAGGGTAACTAAACCACCCCCTCAGCCACACACAAAGTCAGCTTAGCTTATCTTCATTCCTTGGATATCCTCGTTCTGTAGGCCAAGAAGGCGCTGGAAAGAGAAATATCTGCATTCTGCTCGGGTCCACTAGTATCACTGGATTTCTGATTGTCTACTACATTGTATGACGGAAGATGTTGCTGGAAATTGCCTGTTTTAATGAACAGTCGGCAGTCAATGCTGCTGACGGGGGTGCCGATCGAATCGAGTAAGTAGCCTTTTTAAGGATCACCGTTTTTCCAAAACTCGCCATGCCTATGTCAGCCGGTGGATACATGTGACTTTGAATTCTCTTGAGAAGCCACGGGTCCTTGTCTCATAAACCCGTTGCGTGCCCGACCATCGTACTGATGGGATTATTGCAGGTTATGCCAAGACTACAAGGCTGGCGGACTCTCACCCAAGCCTGCGGTCCTGCAAGCGGTGAAATCTCGAGTTTCCATCCCGGTATACGTGATGATTCGTCCACACTCCAGGGACTTCGTTTATAATGACGATGATTTCGAAGACATGAAAGCGACGCTACAGCTCATGAATAATCTTGGAGCGGATGGTTTTGTTTTTGGAATGCTCCACAAGGCGCCGGACCATCCAAGTACCGACTGGAGCTCATGGATTGATATCACCAGGAATAAGGAGCTCGTTCAACTAGCAGAAGGGAAACCCTGTACCTTTCACCGTGCATTTGATTGTATTCCGAAATCCGACTGGGATATTGCCTTGGGGGATATACTCGAATGTGGCTTTGCTGCAATTCTCACCAGTGGTGGCCCTTCCAGCGAGAACGCTGTTGACTGCATGGATCAATTAGCTGACCTTGTGAAGCACCAGTCACGCAATTCCGGCCTTCAAAATAAATCGGGCCGCCGAGCTCTCGAAGTCATCGTTGGCGGAGGCGTGCGGCCAACCAATATTGCTGCCTTGAAAAAGCAAACACTGGCAACCAATTTCCATTCAAGTGGGCTGTCTTCATCAAGCGAGATTGTTTCTATAACGGAAGTCCGTGACCTGAGGCGTTCTCTGGAGCTGAACATCTGACCAATCGGCTAAGGGTCCCGATTGGCAGGCCTAAAGACTCGGCATGGCGGCCACCCAGTAGCATGGGTCATGTACATGGCAGACACGTTGTACTCGATGTACACGTGGGCATCCGATCGAGTGAGACATGTATCTAGACGAGGCTGAAAATCTTACCGTTTTTCGCGTTCCTCTGGGGGCATGGGGCCTTAGTCAACCACCTTGTTCTCTTGAATATTATGACGATACATCGAAGCTGAGACATGTAAGCAAGGGTGTCATTGGGACTGCACATCTGGCTCTCAACTCAGCCTTGGATCTTGTTCTCTCCAAGATGAAAAGTCCGATCATTCATCCGTTCAGGCTCACTTTCCCTGAAGATATGAAGGTCGTTTGGTGTAATAGGAGGGAAGGGAAGTACCGACTACCTGCATAAGATCTGGAAATCTGTTGTATGTTCCAGTTCAGAAGCAAGAACACAATTAGAATGATACTGGTGCTGCTTTTTAGATTTCCCTTGTTCGTATGTCGAAGAACTGTACGTGGTGATGCATCATTGACCCAGCCAACCCTCCTCCAAAGGACTGCCATTCAACCCCGCTCTTGGCATCCCATTTCCAACTTCATTTGTCATTCATCGAGATGGCCGAGTAATTGCAGGACATTATAATGACGCGGATTCAAATTTAAGATAATGCACTATCTACATAAACCCTGCTGTCTCCTAAATGAAACTATGAGTTATTTCACCCATTCTGGAAACATCGATCCGTTCATTGCACCCTTTAGTGTATATAGTGGTACCGAGGAGCACGTAAAGACACATTCAATAAATGCAAAATTTCTTAACGGCTTTTCCACGCCCCTCCCAGCCAGGTGAAAATATTCGGATTGTAAGACACCTTGAATGAATACGAGATTGTTCCCATGGCCTATTCTGCATGCCCCCTGCGGGCTCAATGTCTTACTTTTACAGTTTCGTGTTCGGCAACTTTGTCAACTTAGGTACATATCATATACAGTCGGTGGCCGTGCCCTCTCCCCTCATTATGTATCGAAGATTGGATTAACCCCACAATACCGTCCGATGGCACTCATTCTTTCTTTTCGTGACGGGAAGTATGCTAGAAATCATGTGATCTCAGTTCTTGTTTACAAACTATGATGACTTGCTCCGTGTAGAACGATGAGTAGCTTCTTATCCAATTCTCGTGGATCGTTCAGCGAGCAACTTCTACATAGTACCTAACAGCAAGGACTCCGAGAGCACCATTTTGAGGTCGGCGACAGAGCTGTATTTTCCAACGATGACGTATTACTCATGCAGCGAGAGGCTCAAGATTCAAATCTACGGCAATGAGTGGATTTTTCTCGACGGTGCCCAGTGTCTGATAAACAAACTGATTCTAACATATACATCTTGTGTCATGCTATGTAACGATGTTAACCTGTATTCGAAAACATTTTATTACAGTTTTTATGGCTATACTTGGAATGTCGAGACAAATCGAATAATCCCTGCGGTCAGCTGACATCTTCCCGATCTACTCACTCTGGAATTATTCATGGTGGTGGTGAGGCGTTCCTTCACCAGCCTATGAATGATTTTAGAAAAGAAATTGGATTTTCATCCGCATGGATGTCTCATCTTGACCATGAGATTTATTGAGCTGATCTTTGATATCTTGGTGGGGCGCCGTAAGGATGCACGCGTGTGCCCTAATAATAGAGCCCCATGGACAGGGTTGATTGACTAAATCCATACCTCTTGCTAATCAGACCGCCAGTGGGGACAGAGATATAAAGTCCAACACTTCCCTTTCGACTTCTCAGTATCCAACTCAGCTCTCAATCATTCAGTCAATATCTACCATTGCCTCATTAAAAGCCCTAGCGACCTATTCGCACCCCTCGGGATCAAAAATGAAGTCCATCCTCGCCGTTTGTTCCCTTCTGGTCGCATCCGTTGCTGCTGCGCCACTGGAGGCTCGGACGGCTCCTTCTGTCACATTTTCACTCGCCAACGACCAGTCAGGTGCCAATGCAGCTGCTTCCTTCCCTGCAGATGGAACTAGCAGGACAATTGCGTCCCTCTTCGGTACATCGTCTGTGGCATCGAATGGTCACGTTTGGGCTACATCTGCCCAGCTGACGGCGTTCCCCCAAACTATTACCTGTGCTCTAACCAACAACGGAGTTACAATTGCCGCCCTATCAGCCGAGCGCACTTTCGCCGATGTTGATGGAAATCCCAATGCTGCCATTCCGGTCGATCTCACTGGAGCACTCATCAACTGCCAGGCTTAGTTCAACCAAGCTAAGAGCGTGAGTTTTGGCCGACAACAGCCAAACTATTTATGAGAGCCCACTTCAACAACAGGGTTGCTTTGAATACCTCAATATACCTAGTTTTGTGTCTACCAATTGATTTTTAGTGAGGATCTCTGATAGAGCTTCTTGAATTCTGATATACCTCATGAGCTCGAATGTAAAGACCCTTTGAAGAGCGATATACAATATTTAAAGAAATAAAAACAATTTGCGTTATAAGAAGCTGTCAACAGGTGTATTCGTTGAGTATTCAGATGGAAGGTTGAATGCATTCCAGTCATCTGTGATCTCATAGTTTCCTTCCATATTATCCTGCAAATATTCTCCGAGTAGCACTGAATGGCTTCAGAACCCGACATTACATATATTATTGTCATTACTTCTTTTGAAACGAAATTTGATCGATATTTCAGTAAGCCCATAAGTCTGACACCGCCTTGCTATCTGCATACGACTATGTGAGATGTACCACAGGCCTGAAGTCATGATACTCACCCCATTGACGACGAGCTTGAAATGAATTGTTACCATTGAAGCTCAGGCTTCGTCTCTGCTAATTCCCCATAGGACTTCGCAGTGTATCTCGTAGTCGTCATCGCTTCAAAAAGATGTTTTCCGAAATGCCGAAATGCCGAAGAAATACCACCGTGGTCATAAAGCCTTTTCTCCATCTGGCTCAATTGAAACTGAAACTCTTTGCCACCAGCCTTCAGGGCTCTTTTCTGAAAATCAATGGTAATGTCGACACCCTCTGTAGCAGCTTCAAAGAATTGTTCATCCTGCATAGTAATCCCCAGCAATCCCAAATTTGGCATATTCCTTTGAAAGATAAAGGCAAACGATCTTGCAATAACACATTGAACTCCACATCCTGGAAAATATTCAATTAGTATAACAAGATTGGATTCTGTGGACGTAGCTCGTGCTAGAGACTTACCGAGTAGAGCCATCACCGCTTGTTCGCGTGATGACCCACAACCAAAGCCTTTACCAGCAACCACAATGTTCAATCCTCGGCCAACACGAGCACGAAATTCTGGATGTGTATACTCCAGGCAGTGCAGTCCGCTGAATTCATTGTCTTTCATGCTTATAAGAAACTCGGCTGGAGCAAGCTTGATTCGATCCATCAGTATTGCAATTGCCAAGCTAATCAGGCTTAAAATAGTTTGCCTTACCGCATCTGTGTCAATAAAGTCACCGAGTCTTTGAACCTTGCCAGTCATAACAGGTGTTGGGAAATCTTCTGTAGTCCCTGTTCGGGATGCAAGATAAGCCACCCCATCGGAACTTTGTTTCCGCTGAAGGGTTATCGGAGATGTATCCTGAGCACCACAAGGCTCCATATACTGGGGGCCATCAGACATGCGCCCCTTTTCACTTGATTTTACTCCCCTTAGCTCATTCCAGGTTTGGAGGTCAATAGCCGCAAGTAGCTCATGCGGATCTGTCACTCGCATATCAAACGAAGATGCCGCTACAGTCACGGCGGAGGCAAGATGTCCGATCGATCCTGTTCGGTCAGTTAGGCTCAGTTATAGGTTTCAAGTCAAGCTCTCTTACCTTTGCCCATTCTGTTTTCAAAATTCCGATTCTGGGATGACAGCCAAACCTCCCCCGGGCCGGCCTGGTCTGCCGACATACCCACACAGTAACTGCACCCAGGAATGCCAATTTCAAACCCAGCATTTTCATAGATGTTGATCAATCCAGATTCTCGTAGTTTGTGTAGTATTGGCAACGATCCTGGGACTACCTTCCTCACACCTCTCTTACCGGGTCTCTTCCCCGCTTTCAGTCCTTGCTCGAGGACGAGGGCACCGAGAATCAAATCCTCTTCCGCTGTAGTACACGCGCCGATGAAACAACCGTCTAGTTTCATCCCTTCACAGTCTTGGACAGGCACAACATCGTCGGGCTTGGGATATCTAGCCAAGAAAGATCTCACATTCCCCAAATCGATCTCATATGTAGCAGCATATGCTGCATCACCGTCTGGCTTGAAATATGTCGCAAGATTCTTGTGTCGTACCAAATGTCGTTTTTGGACAAATTCCTGGGTGATTTGATCTGGCTCGAAGATGCCAGTAATACCACCAAATTCCTGCACGAAGATTCCCATTAGCTCTGTCTATTAAGTATTATACTCGGCATATTCTTTTCGGCATACCGTAGTCATGTTGCAGATTGCGAATCTCGCGTCGCAAGAAAGGTGTGTGACACCTGGTCCAGTAAATTCAACGATTCGATCCGACGCAACAGTGTTTCGTTTCAGCTGCTGCAGAATATACAGAATCACATCCTTCCCACCTATTCCAGGCTTTGGAGCCCCAACCAGGCGAATGTTAATGCATTCCGGTACCTTAAACCACGTCTCTCCCGTTACCAGAGGCAAGGTAACATCTGCAGCACCTAACCCAATGGCAAGACAACCCAAGGCTCCAGATGAGCACGTATGCGAGTCTGATCCTACAATTACCATGCCAGGCTGCGCACGTTCTCTGTAAAACTCGGTATGAAGAATTGTGTACTATAGTATTATTTAGTCATGTCGTCCGGGAATTGGTATTATGGCCTCGGGAATCTCAACATTCATGCCTTGATAATCCGTCATCTTAAACACCTTCTTTGCTCGTTCACTTGCGTCAATTAATGCTCGCACCTTTGGCAGCTTGTTGACCCTTGGATCAACGACATGATCTCCTGCGAGCCAAAATCGATCGTTTCGAAATATTCCCGGTCTCCCAAGAGTTTCATATGTTCTCTCCATGCCCTAAAGTTGCGGTCTCAGATATCAAACACCGTTCGGACCGGGAAGATTCTTACTTACAGCCCAGGATGCCTCTGATGCAATGACCCAGTCAACATGAACTCGAATTAGCTCCCCGGGAACAACAAACCCTTTGTTGGTCAGGTCATGCATGGCAAATATCTTCTCACTGAGCGTCATTCCCCGGCGACCCACCGGGCGTTGTAGTATTGGGTCTGGTAAAGACGCTGCACGATCCACTGAATTTAGCGCCTCTAGCCATGCGGATGACAAGAACATAATCTCTGCTTCCTGTTCAGAGCTTGTTTGCTCATCTTTGGATATATCTAATCCACCTAACTCCCTGGGCTGGCGACAAATCTCAAGGACATCCTTCAAAGTATTTGCTTCTCGGGTTTTGTTCGATTTTTCCAACAGCCCGATGATCGCCGTGAGCGCTTTCAAGACCGTCTGACCCTGATTAAGGATCTCTAGGGCCGCTGTCAGGCTATATACTTCTGCTGCAAAGTTTGAATAATGAGGAACATGGTTACTTACCATCAGGCGCCGTCATAGAGATACCGCGTGACTGGTGGAGAACACCCATCAGTCGTACAATACAACACTCTCGCTGTTGGCTCATTTTGATTTCGGTCAGTTCTCAGGCAAGGTTATCTTGAGATTCTAATATTTAAGATTATAAAGAAACTCTTCGGGTTTTATTGCTTATTCCTTAGAGAGCGGAAAGCTCAAATCCAATATTTCGCCGGGCCGTAAACGGGCCGAAACGCGGCGCGAATCCGGGCCGTTTTTCTACACCGAATTGGCATGCGTCTCCATGACTATGCCGACAAGTAATTCTAGCTGGGGGTTAAAACCTGTGATAATTCCTTTGTACCACTATATAGTCTCCTGAAAAGGAAATTCTCATTACACCAACACTTTTTACCGAAGGTGGCTAAAGGAGTCTAGCAAGATGGCAGCTTCAAGGCTACGACAGATTTTAGCGGACCAAGGCACCATGGTTGTATGTCCTGGGGTTTATGATGGCCTTACTGCACGAATAGCTCTGGCTTCTGGATATGAAGCTCTGTATATGGTAAGTGAGAAATCTTGAAAGTAGATTGGTCATTTCTCATTCAATCCGTTTCCATCAGACAGGGGCAGGAACAACCGCATCCCGACTTGGGCAACCTGACCTCGGCGTAGTCACGTTGCCTGAAATGCGTGAGACTGCTTCGATGATAGCTGGTCTTGATAAATCCATTCCTCTCATTGCAGATGCAGACACGGGATTCGGCGGTATGCACATCACGATTTGGAGCATGGTACTGCAGAGGTTTATATGTTCACAATGTCACAGGGTCGCTGATGGTCCATCGTACTGTCATCGAGTATATTCGTGCGGGAGTTGCAGCTCTACACCTCGAGGACCAGGCGACCTCCAAGCGCTGTGGGCACCTTCTACATAAGCAACTTGTCACCAAGGACGAATTCTTATCGCGCATCAAGGCAGCAGTAAATGCTCGTCAATCGTCGGGTAGTGACATCGTTCTCATCGCTCGGACCGACTCGCTTGCTACCCTTGGATACGACCAGGCAGTCTCTCGCCTAAAGGCAGCGATTAATTTAGGTGCAGATGTTGCATTTCTCGAAGGTATAAGCTCTAAGGAGCAGGCAAGACGGGCATGCGAAGATCTCAGTCCCACTCCGGTTCTATTCAATGCAGTAACAGGGGGTGTCTCACCCGAACTGTCAGTTGAAGAAGCAAAGGCCCTAGGTTTCCGGCTGATGATATTCCCCGGATTTGCACTTGAGCCTGTACACAAGGCAGTGAGCGAAGCAGCAAGGCACCTAAAAGAGAACGGAAGGTTGGTCATGTCTGGGGCAGGCGGGCCAAAGGATTTCTTCAATATTGTGGGCCTGAAAGACGCCTTGGCCATAGATGCGGCATCCGGGGAAAATTTATTTCAACAAGGCGTTTGATGGCAGTAGTTTTTTGTACGTGACTTCTGAAACACACATCGATTGGATATTCTTGAGTATATGCCTTTCCTATCAAATAATGTATAATATATAGTATGATAACACGGCACCTTCAGACCTAACCCTTCTAAAATGGGGCCTCTTCTGCCACTATCAAGTACCAGTTTGCACCATTATTATTTGCCGTCATCCGGCTGGATCTAACTTTACTATTAATCACTAATTATTATTGGGATGGCAGGGTTGATTCACCAAATTCGGCGATTAGCGTGCGGCGTATCACGTGCAGTCGTATTTGATCCCAGACCGTAGACCGAAGTTCCCTACGACAACGACTCGACTACGCGCGACCGAGGAAAATAATGACCCGGAACCGGGGAAACCGCCCACATCCAATTTCGATTCAGGCCCTCACTGGTTTCAACCAGGTTGCTTCTGCATAACACTACGAATCACACTTGGTGTCACAAATTCAACATGCGGAGACAACGTGGCAGTCCAGTTACCTCGCCCCAGTCGACAAGTCATCGGGGACGGCGAATTGCCTGTCGGCAATGTCGGCAAGCGAAGGTGAGAACCCACTCCTTATATCGGTGGTAATAGTTCAAAGAAAACTTTCCAGCATAATACCTGACTGCATGGCATGGTAGATCCGATGTGAACTATCCTCTGGGGGTACAATCCCTTGCTCCAGGTGTCACCAAGTCGGACAGGAGTGTGTAATTGCCACGGATTTCAAGAGGGTCAACAAGAGAGCGCAAGTCTTCCTGTAGTATGTACATTTCAGTCTATCTCATTGGACTCATCTAGGAGACTTGAGGAACTCGAAGACGAAGTCCGTCAACTTCGTTCCTCCGTTTCTTGCCAACTTCTCGGCACGCCGCCACAGCAAATAGCCGGCAAGGGATCATCAGTCAAAGAAAGATCAGGTAATGCATCGGGAATGCTGTCTGGCCTAGGCTATTCGCTCGATGAGCCGATTGCCATTGCTCACTCGCCAAGATCCCTGGGCCAAGTGCGCTATTCCTGTGGGGATTCGGATGTGCCGACATATCCAAGATCCCTTGGCAACGTACGACTAAACATCGGACAAATTGATGATCTCTTCAACCTGTAAGTCTTTCAACATTGCTGGCAACTTCTGCGCCACTTTACTCACAATCACCTAGGTTCTTCTCTCGATTCCACCGCTTTGTCCCGTTACTAGATGCGTCAAGTTCCCCAAACCGTTACTTTGACCAGAGTCCTCTCCTCTTTTGGGTCATTATCTATGTTGCCTCACGCCAGTACTCTGACGATCCCAGCTTGTCTGTCACGTTGGCCCCTGCGATCAAACACTTATTGTGGCAAACGATTCCGAATCCTCCCCATACTTGGGGTACCGTGCAGGCCATATCGTTAATCTGTATGTGGCCATTTCCAACTTCATCTTTATCCACAGACACCACACCGATGCTGGCCAATATTGCGCAAACAATAGCGATGCAACTCGGCTTAGACCAACCCGAGTTTATTCAAGACTTCTCTCGCACTAAGAGGAAATTGAAACCGACGGAAGTTTCCGAGGCCGTGAGGACATGGTCTGTCTGCTATATCGCATCTCAGAGGTAGGTTAGCCTCGGCTCAACTTCATAGTCGACCCACCCTCATTGTATCTCAGTATCTGTTCAACCCACGGTATGCTACCAATGTCTTCCAACACCATGGTCGATCGCATATGCGACGAGGAGAATGCGTATGATATTCCCGTGGGGTTGAAACATCAACTCTTGATCGCGAGATTCTCGGCCCGTACAAGCAGGTATATGTCCGAGAGCCTATATTTAACACGTGGGAGGATTTGCCCCCATGAAACCAGCGGTATGCTTGGTTTGTTGGAACGAGAATACACGGATATGTGTCAGGGTCTGGATGAAACGCTCACAGGTACGATATTTCGACTTAATTCAATTCACATCGCACCAATTGACTTCTGCTGCCTGATCCTGTCTAACCGCCTAACTAGCTGAATACAAAGCTCTGTTGATCGGAGCCGGACTTCAGCTCTACGTGTTCTACCTTCTGGATACTGGTGAGTCATTGTCTCGCAAGATCGGTCTCTTGCGGGCTTTTGACTTGGCGAAATCTCTTATCAATAATCTCCAGCAACTGGATGCCACGGCCAGTATCATCAAATACTCACCATCTTCTTATTTCCGGATCGCAACATTGGCTGCCTTGTTCATTCTCCGACTCGAAGATTCCAGCTTAGCCAGTCTCTTAGACCTAGAAGGCGGTAAACGAGCATTCAACGCAGCTTTAAGAATACTCCAACGAGCCTCTCTGGAAGACAATGATCTTCCGGGGAGGACTTCCAAGATATTGGCTGAACTTTGGAGTATCCAAGGCCGCTCACGGCAAAGTGGTGAAGAGCCTGGATTAAAGCTGCGAACCCGGCTCGCCGCTAGTCTTCTCCATGACCAACTATGGTCGTGGAGAGAGACTTTGGTGGCCAAAAGTCAGCCGCAGACACTCCGCCTGATGGTAACAACCCCCTCCCTCCCAAACTTTTATTTTCGCTTTCTTATTCGGCGGACTTCGGTGATTGACGATACTGGTATGATAGACTCTCAAGACAATAACCCCCTTGAGGATCCTGTGTTAGACCCCGAGACTTCGGCTATTGTCGGCTCCGACTTCGTGGTGGACGGTTTTCCTTTTGAAGAGATCTTTGACATGGAATTGATGTCCTTGCTTCCCTTCGATTCGGAAAATGATGTTCCACATCCAAGCCACATTGAACATTTCTCGACTTCGGCCCCACGTTAATATAATTCTTTGTCGTGGCGTTGTGTACTTTTGATGTGACTTTTCAGGCGGCGTTGGCCAGAATACATATTCTGTGCGGAAATGTTACGATCAAAATTCGTTTGAGTGGTATGGTCTCTTCGTTTCAAGGTTCTTGTTTTTGTTTGCCTGAAGAAGCCCTTGGACGCAACGGAAACGTGTGTCACAAATTTCAGTACCTAATGCAAAATCAGAGTAGTCTGGAGATATTTATCCAGGTCTGCCTTTCCCTTAAATTCCTCAGGCACTGCTTAAAATGTTGGTACGTACATAGTCAAGGTTATGTGTTACAGTAGTTGCCTTGGGCCCTTGGTGTAGTTTCTGCTTTGCTGCCTGAGGCAACTGCCTCCTTCTATTCTCCTTGATTTATTCTTTTCTCGCACTCCTGGTCATTGTGTTAGTCTTGACCATGCGCATCAATCTGTTCCGCGCTGCATCTGCATTCCAGATTCATGCATGATCTACATTTATCCGCAGGGAGTCCAGACTCCGCGTGACACAGTCCAACTATGGGCCAGCCCAGGCATCGCTTGAATAACCGTCAAACATCCTGCTGGTGACTTGGCCGCGGGGGTTCGGATGTGATTCTCGAACAAAGTTAGTGTGAGGGGGCTTTGACCACGCTAACTGACTCGTGGCGGCCAATGTCGCTGCTGTGCGGGACCGACTTTCCCCTGACTTTTCTTCATGGCCTCTGCAATGGACAAAAGGGGTAGGGACTTAGAGGAGGGGTCTGGAACCACAGCTTAACAGAGCCAGCCGACGCCTGTCAGCAAGCCATGTATATTTCTATCCGCCATCTTCGCATCGCGGGAGGCGCAACTGTCCGCCGCAGTCAGAAATGGCAAAATCTAAACACTGTCTCATCTCAGACATACTGAAGATACTTCGATTCATCTGGACTTCCACTCCTTTCTCGGCAGCGTTGCTTGTCCAAAGCTTGGCCTTCACATTCTTGCCGTGGCTTACTCGAGGCGCTTTTAGCCCCGGCGCCACGGTAACATCGCATCGGCATCGCTTATCGAACACCTCGTGCGTTATCCTCAACACAATTGCCGATCGTTGCCCAGTTAACGCCGGTCCATCTGGACATGGGCATCTCCCGGTGAAATGTGCCACTTCGGGGTGCCTTCTGTGATGATGCTCAAATTGAGGGCCACGTTATCACAATTCCAGGCCTTGGGACCCCGTCGGACATCCGCGATGTCTACACAAAGGTCCCCGCGGTCAATAACATTAGGGCAGCGCTAAGACTTCCGCTTGCCTAGCTCGATGTGCCTTGACGAATGTTTGGGGGGGGAGGGGGGGGGGAATCTTCTCGGCACTACTACTCCGTACTCGGAGAAATCTTGTCCAAGTCCTGCAACTTAGTAAGTTGTATTAAGTTGTTTATTGGCAGGTTTTGTCCGATAACGACCTTGCATGTGGGTGGCGTATGCATTGACACTGGAGGTCGTGAGTCTATTCATCCTCCTACTGCCTCATGATTCCTGATAGATGGACATGGCAACGTCACGATTTGATTGCTGTCCTCATCATACTACGGGGTTGAATTTGGTGTATGGCTTCGTTGAAAAAATATCGGGTCCTCTGATCGCCCATCAAATGGCGTGCATTTTAGAGCTATCTTATTTCCCGACAATCAACATGTACCGCGGAGGGGGTCAAAGCCAACACTACCACTATGGCTCCTCCATGTGAGCGAGAGTCTATAGATACGCTCTGCATCGATCTCTGCAGACCGGCTCACGATAAGGTGCCCAATCTAGTTTGCCAAAACCATCGGTCTCCGACGGCGTGACGGTACTCATCACGCACGCCTAAATCTTCCTACTCCCATTGACCTATGGTCCTGCTTTGCTGATGATGATGTTGCATCGGCCTGTTGGTCCCAAGGCGCAAGATTTGCCGGCAATCGATTCGAAATGAGGTATATTTCGAATACTCTTGTGTTAAGCTGCTCTTTGACGATGTTGTCAGAGTAAGTGGTTGTCCCACAGTTCTATAAATTCGAGCTCTCTTCCTCTTCTATCATCCCTTCATCAACTCACAGGGTTCTCTCTATCTGCATCTGTCTCACTCACATACCACGCTCTACTCTTAACTTGTCCTGCCGTGGCACATCTCCACAATGAAATTCTCCACCGGCATCTTCAGCACTTCACTCTTGGCGAGTGCCGCCATTGCGGCTCCCCTGACAGCGCAGCGCCAGGCCCGTCAGGAGGCCCGCCGCCTCGCTCGCGCCAATGGCAGAGAGAGCCACCCACCTTATAAGCCAGGTACCAATGAGGTTCTTCAACTGAACAAGACCTCACATGAGCAATACAGCTCCAACTGGGCTGGTGCCGTGCTTATCGGTACTGGCTACACCGCTGTGACCGCGGAATTCACTGTTCCCACTCCCAAGGCCCCTTCTGGAGGCTCCTCGAGCACACAATACTGTGCCTCTGCGTGGGTTGGTATTGATGGAGATACCTGCAGCTCTGCTATTCTGCAGACTGGAGTGGATTTCTGCGTCCAGGGTGGCTCTGTCACGTATGACGCTTGGTATGAGTGGTATCCCGACTATGCCTATGACTTCAGCGGTATCAGCATCTCCGCCGGAAATGTGATCAAGGTCACCGTGGATGCTACTTCTACAACTGCCGGCACTGCCACTGTTGAGAATGTCTCTACCGGCAAGTCTGTAACTCACACGTTCAACGGTGGGGTTGACGGTACTCTCTGCGAGTATAATGCCGAGTGGATTGTTGAGGACTTCGAATCTGGCAGCTCCCTCGTTCCGTTCGCCAACTTTGGAACGGTCACCTTTTCGGGTGCTGAGGCCACTGATGGCAGCTCCACTGTTGGTCCATCCGGTGCTACCCTCATCGATATCGAACAAAACAACCAGGTCCTTACTTCCAGCTCTGTCACCTCCAACAGCGTGACCGTGAAGTATGTTTAAATGTGAAGATCTATTATGATCAAGAACCACAGGTAGTTGGGGTGGGAGGAAGTGCACTCGAATATGCGATGCTGGTGGTGATGATGAAGATCTTGACAAGACAAGACACTTGGGACACTATTCCTTTTTCCGCAGTCCCCTGTTGGGAGTGGTAGTTAGGATCTCCATGCATATACTATTCGAATGAAACAATACATTCTTACCTTGCGATATACCTCATGAATCACAAGACTAGGTCCAGCATCTACCTGGGGAACACCTCCCCATCAGCAAACATACGAACAGTTGATGTTACTAAAATCAGTTCGAAAGATTACGGGTCTTTTGGCAACTTGAACTTCGATGACTTCTATCTTTTCCTCCTTCGGAAAATAGCCTTTCTGTTTCATAATGCTGTACAGCCTTCTAGACTTACTGCGCAAAATACGCAGCAAATACAGGAATTTAGAGTTTCCAACCCTTGAATTGGCATGTTTACCCCAGCCTGAAGAATATGGGCGGCCTGTCGGGAGGTACGGATTGCTGATTTGTCCGACGTCAACCTTCAATCTCTTGTAACACCGGAATGCTGTTCGTTTGTCTATACTGAGGTTAGCCTCAGTTAAATTGTGCACGAGTTCCCCCGGTCGCTGGCAACTTGTTGGAAGATTGCCAACAAACAAGGTTTACATCTCTAGGAGATTTTGTTTAATTCGGCTTTTAAAAACCCCGCCGCTCGCAGTCGATGTTGACAGTATCATTACCTCAGCTGCTCTGTTCTGCACATGCCTTAGCCTCATGGCTGGTATATGTCGCTTTGTGTTTGTCAAACAAAACATTAGCTATCAAAGCACAATTCCACCCTGCTGATGTGATTGTCAGAGACATTGCTATTGTGGGTGGAGGGGCAAGCGGTACGTACGCTGCCATACGATTGCAACAAGATTTCAACAAGTCGGTTGTTGTGGTGGAGCGGGAAGAGATTTTGGGAGGACACACACATACATATCACGACCCTATCAGTTCATCAACTATCGAACTTGGTGTCGTGGCTTTTCACAACTTACCGTTGGTACATGATTTCTTCTCTCGCTTTAATATCCCTTTGACCAAATTGTTCTTCAACTCAAGTCTTCCAATCGTTGATCTACAGACTGGCCATCCGGTCTACATCCCTGCCAGTCTAAATGCAACTGAACGAACATTCGCGAGGTGGAACAGGCAGTTAGCACGATTTCCAGGTCTCAATGAGGGATATAACTTCCAATTACCGGTACCGCATGACATTTGGCGTCCTTTTGGTCAGTTCGCGCGTCTTCACAATCTCACTGCTATAATTCCATCTATATGGACTATTGATCAAGGAATCGGGGATATTTTAAGATTACCAACACTCTATGTTATGAAAAGTTTTGGACCTCAAATGCTGCGCAGCTTATCAAATGGCTTTCTGGCAACTGTCAGACAAAACAATCACGAGATCTACGACAAGGCATTATCACATCTACAGAACACCGAAAGCGTGTTCTTAAATAGCTGTGTTGTGGAAATGGAACGTGATAGTCTCGGGCCATATGTACATGCAGTTGTCGCCACACCCCTTGGCCACAAACTTCTCAGAGTCAAGCAGTTCCTTTTTACCATTCCGCCAAAACTAGAGGTCTTGGCTGGTTTTGACCTAGACCACGAAGAAATACGGTTGTTTTCTAATTTTGAGCATATGGACTACTTCAGCGGTCTTCTTCGACAAACACCCATCGCTCATGAAACAACTCTTTCAAACAGAGCGCCAAATCCGGCCACGTATTATCTCCCGCGTTTACCAACAACATATACACTGGGCCCAACACACGCTCAGTCTTCTCTTACAAGTGTCAAGTTCGGCAGTAATATCTCCATGTCCATTGAGCAAATTCGGAGCCAGATAATAGCTGAGACCAGTCGAGTTGTTTCAGGGAACTCTGGTCAGTTTGCCGCTTTCATAAATCACGGACCCTACGCACTCCGGGTCACCTCAGACTTGATCCGCGGTGGTTTTTACCAAAGCTTGAATGATCTTCAAGGTCGTCGACATTCCTTTTGGACCGGCGCAGCTTGGCATACTCACGATAGTAGCCTACTGTGGAACTTCACAGAAACAATCATATCTCGGATGCAGCAAGATTGGACTTGAGTTTGCGGGTTCTTGAACGTCACATCAGTTGAGGCAATGAATTTTGTGTTATTTCAAACAAATCAAATCTAAACTTATATCTGTCGTTCATCGCAACTATGAAAATCAAAGACTGCCATACTGTATTGCGTATGGGAATCTGTAATGTTGGATCAATCACCAGCCGAAGGAAATTTATCCTTCTGGAGATAGAATAGATCACTCATCAAAGTGTATCGCAACCGCGGGGGAGATGTCCAGAGAACAACACCTCCCGGCCTGGATCATCTGGTAAATGGACGCCGTAGAAGCGCGAAAGCACATCTTGTATCACACTGTAACAGGCTCCAAATCGGAGCACTCTCAAGTTGTTGAAATCTATCATTGTGGATGAAAGTCGGGGTTGCGAATACTTCTGTCTTCCATAGTCGACAATAATATTCGCCACCGCTGTAATCTCCGGTTCAATTTCTTCTACAGCTACTTTCGTTCCTGTCCCCGTTAGGTTTGCCGAAGACCCGAGCAATGGGAGCTCTGCATTGGCTGCGAGCTTGGATAACTCCTCTTGAAGCTCCCCTCCATTGACAAGCATAGCTATAGTTCCCTCAATAGAGCAGCCCTCGAGTAAATCCTGTGGAATCTTCCGAATTATTGGATTGTCTGGACGATACGAGGCCACGACTCCAATAGGAAGGTCCAAATCCACTGTCAGAAGTCTGACCATCTCTGCCTCTCGCGCAGGGAGCCTGTGAACCTTTTTGTGAAGATTGTAATTGCCGATCATGGCGTGACGTTTATGCGGCTGGCGCTTTTTCGCGTCGAATATACGACGAACTGCTTGCGGGTGACTAGCAATGATTCCGTATCCAACATTGCTTGGGATGATAGCGATTCCGCCATCGATGATAATTTGAAAGACCTCCTGGGCATCTTTCTTGGGTGATATTTTATGAGTGTCGCAGCTGTCCATGCTCATGGTGAATGGTTCAATTCCACTAAATTTGAGGAAATATTCTCGAACATAAGATAGATGAATTTTCAGACAAAGATCGATGCTGCCCTCCGTGGGACATAGAGTAAGACCGATGTCCATAAAGTAGGATCTAAGAAGGATGATACCAGGCACCCCTCCTGGTGATAGGCATCCAACGACATAATGCCCCGATTAATCAAGCTTCACAAGTGCAACATTCGACCGAAACTCGCCGCGCTCTGCTCCGGAGAAGTCCGTTAATTGGGATGCGGTCACATTGACCAGTGGCTTTTGCCAGAGAGCATGCCAAATGCCTTTTGTGAGAATAGAATAGGCGTGACCCTCTTGGAAGTACAATCCAGGCAGCTCAACTATATTATCAAGGATTTGGCCTCCAGCAACTTCTATCAGGTCGTCTCCGGAAGCGGGAAATTTCCGGGACATTTTGAGCACATCCAAGGGCAAAATTGTTCCGTCAGCCGTATCACAAACTTCAAAGATTCCCGAGACTGCGGCATGGGCATCAAAAGGAGTTCCCCATTTCAGAAATGTCACAGGGTCACTGGCAGTGTTATGGACAGAAACTTTTACTGGTACCGTGGGGAAGGACGCTGAGTGGAGAGTCGGCAATTGAGAAGCCAGGGTGACCTGAAGCCCTAGACTGGGTTGCATCTTATCAAGCTGAGACAAAAATAAGCAATGATTGTGTTTCTGAAGTAGCTTTGTTTTTGAAGTAGGTGGTATTTGTAACGCTGTCGATAATCGAAGAGGAAGATGACATGTCAGTCTTTTATACCCAAGGAAGCTCATTAAGCCACATATAGTTTAAGAGTCTTGAGCCTGGGTCTGAGCAGTCTAGTTAGGCAGTCATCAGTTCATTTCGGGTGTTGCCAAACCCGTCGATTTCCCCGGCCCTCCATCACGGCCTTCACATTATTGCCATGTTTCCGTCCAATCAAAGAAAAACATCTCAGTGCCTAGCTCAGTAGCAGTGTATATTTCCTGTTTAGTTCCCGGGGCTGCGTGTAACCCTCCCCTGTGCGCTTGACACACCTTGTTATCAGCCGACAAATCCCGAGCTTACAGGTCAGACTGCACGGCAGAGTGCCGAGGACATCTCCGAGGCATCCCTCGAGCGAGCGTAGCGGAATAGCTAGGAATAAGTGGAATGTCTGCAGTCGAGACATAGGAAAGTCTTGGGCAAGTCTTGGGTAGTATCTTGGCATCGGAGTCCGGAGATGCTGCAGAGTCCGGTGGCTTGGCAAGCCTCCCACCGGAAGCTACGAAGCTATTAGGTAGCCTCCGTCTGATATTAGGAGGTGCCGGGGCCAATCAGAAACGGTAGCCTTCCTCTGTTGATCTTGCAGTCTAGATCTATTATGCATAATGCGGATGAGCGTATAACCCCATCTTTGTTTCGGTATACTTCGAATTGATTATGGGCTGTTACATCGTGGGTTTTGCTTGTCGCGAGGCTTGATGTCACACCAATCAAATGAAAACTTAACCGTTCCCCTCAAGGCTGAACAACCCTCAGAGTTAAACGCACACAGTCCTTGACGGCCGGATAGTGTTGATAGAAACGGGCCTCCGGCGGGCCAAGGCAGCGCAGGAGGCATTCATCACAGAAGATCATCGCGGAATATGCCGATATCTTGGGATGTCGACTTGTAGTGACGAGATCCTGTAGATTGTTTTCATCATCATCTATGCAATTCTGGCAATGTGATCAATTCCGGATGATACTACCTTCTTTCTTGAGACATTCTCGCTGGCGATCATTCTCGAGGAGGGACAGTATGAGGGTTTCAGGAGAGCGGAGGCTATCTCTTTGAAGCATCCTGATGAACTGTGAGGAGGAATCTATAAATTAGAGCATTTTTCCCGCCACGATTAGAGGTTTTAATACCAACAAAACCACAAGCAAGGTTAGCGAAGCCGTCGCCAATCTCTCCAACAAAAGACAGAGTCAGATCTTTGCATTTTGTAAAAATCCAAAATGCGCTTTGCCTTTCTCTCCACCACTGTGCTGGCCATCGCCCATCACGCGCGTGCCTTGCCGGTCGAGGCTGAGCAAGTATCTGGTTTGGATGTTACCCTGAGCCAAGTCAGCGATACTCGCATCAAAGCAGTGGTCAAGAACACTGGTAACGAAGAGGTTACCTTTGTGCACCTCAACTTCTTCCGCGACAGTGCACCAGTAAAGAAGGTCGCTGTGTATAAGGATGGTATGTCTTAGTTCCATCCAGTTCTCCATTGGCTGCAAGGGCTGACGGTATTTAAGATGATGAGGTGACCTTCGAAGGCATCAAGCGCCGATTCAAGCTTGAAGGCCTCACCTCCGAAGCCCTCACAACGCTAGCTGCTGGAGAGATTCTGGAGGACGAGTTCGACATTGCAGCTACCAGCGATCTGTCACATGGTGGCCCAGTGGTGTTGCGTTCAAGCGGCCTGGTGCCATTGGTGAACGAGGGGGCTGTCTCCGGCTATCTGCCGTATCACTCGAACGACCTCAAGATTGAGGTCGATGCAGTGAAGGCGGCCCGTGTGAACAAAGCCGTGAAGCCATTGAACCGGCGCACTCAGGAGAGCTGCAGCAACGCGAGTCGCAAATCGGCTCTCGAACGGGCCCTTAGCAACGCTGCATCCCTGGCGACTGCAGCAGCACAGGCTGCCCAGTCTGGGTCCGCGTCCAAGTTCGCTGAGTATTTCAAAACCACCGATAGTTCAACTCGTCAACTCGTGGCGGCTCGGCTGCAGGCAGTCGCTAAGGAGGCCCACGCGACCACCTCGGGAGGCACCAAGTATTACTGCACTGATGTGCTCGGGTACTGTGAGACCAACGTGTTGGCCTACACGCTGCCATCTCAGAATGTTATCGCGAACTGCGATATCTACTATTCCGACCTGCCGGCGTTGGCAAGCAGCTGCCACAGCCAGGACCAAGCAACCACTAGCCTGCACGAGTTCACTCATGCCCCGGCCGTTTATAGTCCCGGCACCGACGATCTGGGATACGGATACTCTGCTGCAACGGCGCTTAGTACCAGTGATGCTATCATGAACGCAGACACGTATGCCCTGTACGCCAATGGTAAGTTCCTCTCCCCCCCCTCCTCCTCCTCCTCCCTCGTATGCTATTATTCCACCCCTGTCAGAAGCTGATTCAAGAGACAGCAATCAACCTAGGTTGCTAAGCTAGATTCATGCACGAGACAGTGTATATCCGCAAGATTTTCTGAGAGACGGTTGCCGGTACAGGACTCCGGAATGGGGTGCAGAAGAGTGAGATATGGAACGAATTCAGATCATTTGAGGATCATGTGCATGAATTTCAAATATGAAGCATGAGAATCCAAGTATAGCTTTTGTCCTTACTACTGTCAATGTGAATGGACAGTTTAATAGGCCGTGCTACTATCTCAGTAAGAATCCAGTTTGAGAGAGAAAGCATAGACTTCGATTCCCTCGATTTGGTAAGGTCTTTCGGCGTACGCGTTGTCTCGGGTTATGCTCCGACAAGCTGCAGGATGTCACTCTTCCATGCAGCTGATAAGAACGAGGTGTCTGCCAATTGTATATGGAAATGAGGGGTGGCGCCGGTAATCAATCGCTTCGTGAATGTTCCGCATGCCAGTGCCTGGTCGCCAATATGTATCGGTATTTGGCATTGCGCATTGCAAACAGATCTCTTGAGGGATGTAGCCAGTCATCGTAGACGTTTTCGTAGATAAATCGTCGACCAAGCTACTTCCGGTCCAAGATATACAGCCAATGGAAAACCTCGGGAGTATAGGCAGAGGAAGACACGGGCCCTGGAGGCGCTTTCAGAGGGATGCGCGATCGTAGTGACCAATATCTGCCGAAGAATTGGAGATTGTCAAATCGTAAGCTCGAGTATGATAGCACAATCCACGTGGTATCATTCCGGGTCAACGGAACGAGGTGTAAGGCAAGTACTTCCACTGGCGACAGAGCTAGGGAGGAATGCTGAGAAAGAATGTCTTTGACAGTAGGGCATACACGCGACATGTCATCAGTCGCCGTAAATCTTTGATCGTCGAAAGTGGCGATCGCGTCGCTCGTACTTTTGTCAACAATCACGTCAAAAGGTGCAAAGGACGACACGCTGGAAATGTCATCCCATGAGAGCAAGTCGGCATGGTGCCAATGCATGGCGTGGTCGCGAGAAATCTGGTTCTCAGCATCTTGGCCGAGGCGAACAGCTTCCGCGGAAAAATCCACATTCTGTAAATGGCAAACAATTAGTTCGAATAGGCGGCGCAGAACAAAGAGCAGCCTTGATTGTCCATCCAACTTACCACGATGCCACGCCCCTTCCACTGCCGCTGGGCGCAAGCATCTCTCAGCTTTGGGCCCAGCTTCGAAACTCCCGGCCCGAGATGCAAGATACGTGGAGTTTGACCATCGAAGCTTGGCTGGTGTTCTAGGTCCGACAAGACCGCGTCAATCAGAGCTTCGCCAGAATTGAGCCATTCGCCGACATCCTGGCCAGTTGCAAATCTGGCGTCCCAAAAGTGGGGGTCGTCATAGTCCGGGGCGCCATTCACCCGAGTGTGCGTTCGGTGACTTGCCATATTCGGCGCGAGGAGAAAACGTGGGTAATCTCTTGTGCTGCGAGTTTGAACGCGTCGATCGCACGATTTGATGGACATTGACGTCATGTGACAGGGTGACCATCCCCTTCGGCTATACCAACCGAGCGCTAAATCCCATCAATTCCAGGGGTTGTATTTCATTGAATCTCTTCGAGGACAGGTTTCAAATCAAGATTGATCGAATTGGCATGACATCTTGAGGGAGAACGTCGCTATACAGCATTCATGCTCAAGGCAAAAGATACCTAGAATTAGGCATGTTCTAGGCAGATGGGCGGGAAGACCCCCTAGCCGTGAATATATCATCTCCTTGACCGTCACTAAGTGGATTTCCATCGATGTGTCAACCGCTCCCTGGAACTCTACAAAATGCGGGAACACTGCCAGCTGAGTGACTGATTTTGTGAAGAAGAGACACAGGCCACCTAAACTCCGGGCATAACACTGTATTGAGAACAGCACCGGAACGTTTTTAAGGTCCCAGAAGCGTAATCTAATATTCTCAACCTAGGGCTCTTCAACCTTCTCAATCAGGAATACGCCTATTGTAGCTGGAAGAGCCCATGGCATTCACACTTGGCAATGCTCATGGTAAAATATCTCTTGCACAAATGATATAGCAGGGGCTGTGCGAACAACGAAAACGCCGGGTCGAATTGCCCAGCTTATCCGTCGACAAACCACGTGTATGTTTCATGAGGAGTTTTAGCCCCTATGGGCATGGTACATCTCAATTGAGCAATATACATTGATTAATTGGTACGCGTCATCCCAAAGCTCATGTAACTAACCCGTCTCCGCTACGGCTTTCAATAATTCGAAATGGTGATGCGATATTATCATGGCCTCAGAAAGAGTCCTGAGTGTCTTCCATGCTTGTAGTGTAGGGATAAAGAATGTAGTTTAAAGAGTATAAGATTCGTGATAGTTATACCATGGGACAGTCTGTTAGTCAGTATTAAAGATGGTACCTATTGAATTTCTGCGTATTCTTCAGCCTCATCTTTCAGTATAACGACTCCACGCAAGGCAGTAGCGGTCAATCCTCCGACCGGCCGATCCTAGAAAGTGAAACAGGAGAGTTCCGGAAATCGCTCCTTTCTATAGTATAGTCTACCCATACTGTACAAGGATATAGAGGGAATCAGTGATTGGTGGACAATCTTGAGTCAGGTGTTATTGGTCCATCAGATCGAGTTTCAGGGGCCACTTTGGTGGACTCACCTCGGCCCACCGTCAGAGATTAATGGAGCCTCGTCCCACAGTAGTACCGTAGCTGGCCGATCCAGCAGCCTTTCGAGGTCGGCCCGAAGAAGCTACTTAATATTGTCCACTTCTTACGCCCCTGGAATAATGATAGATGAAAATGCCCCGAATACTCCTCTCGGGCCGACTCCGAGGGATACGATTGGCAAAGAGGACAGCCTCGTCTGGATTTCCGGCTGATCCACTCAAAGCTTCGCATAGCTTGTCTTCCTAGACCATGTCCACGACCGGCTAGTCCATACTTCGTGCTCATGGCCGACGGCCCGACCGATATAAAAGATGCTCGAGTCCCTGCCTATCATCGGATATGCTGTTTCTATTCACCCGTTCCTCTCTTTCCACTCTCCCTTTCTGTTGATCAGAATCGGCTCATTCCTTTAGATTGTTTGATTCAATTCTTTCCCTACATCTCCTGTGTCTACTCACTCGGATTACATTCTGTTGATCAGAAACATTCATCGCGTGAATCATGCCATCCTATTTTCAGCAGTTGATCTTGGCCACTCTGGCTGCCGGCCTTGTTTCCGCCGCCCCTGCGCCTTCGCGTGTTTCGGACCTGACGAAGAAGTCCTCCTCTACCTGCACGTTCACCTCAGCAGCCAGTGCCAGTGCAAGCAAATACTCCTGCTCAACCATCGTACTGAGTGGCATTGAGGTGCCTGCGGGCAAGACCCTCGATCTGACTGACTTGAAGGATGGAACCAAGGTATGTTCATCTACGAATAATATCAATGACAGACGGCTCCCGTCAACCACTGGGGTATCTTGCTGATGGGATAAATTTCTGACGCTGGGGCTAGGTCATCTTCGAGGGAACCACCACTTTCGGCTACGAGGAGTGGAGCGGCCCTCTGATCAAGATTTCCGGATCCGACATCACCGTCGAGGCTGCCGACGGCGCCGTCATCAACGCGGACGGTTCCCGCTGGTGGGACGGGGAAGGCACCAATGGTGGCAAGACCAAGCCCAAGTTCTTCTACGCCCACTCTCTGGACGACTCGACGATCTCGGGTCTGTCGATCAAGAACACCCCCGTGCAGGCCTTCAGCATCCAGTCCGATAATCTTGCCATCGATGGAGTTACGATCGACAACTCGGATGGCGATGACAATGGCGGCCACAATACCGATGGTTTTGACATCAGCGAGTCCACTGGTGTCACCATCAAGAACGCAGTCGTCAAAAACCAGGATGACTGCATTGCAATCAACTCCGGCGAGGTATGTCTCTTACTATATAATGCACCTACGACAGAGAATATGATGCTAACGATACGCTACAGAACATCTATTTCACTAGAGGAACCTGCTCTGGTGGGCACGGCCTTTCGATCGGTTCCGTCGGTGGTCGCGATGACAATACCGTGAAGAACGTGACAATCACCGATTCTACCGTGACCGATTCTGCCAATGGAGTCCGCATCAAGACTGTTTACGATGCTACTGGCTCCGTCAGCGAAGTGACTTTCTCCGACATCACGCTCTCTGGTATCACCGACTACGGCATTGTGATTGAACAGGATTACGAAAATGGTTCTCCTACCGGCACTCCCACCGATGGTGTTCCCATCACGGACCTGACCGTTGAGGGTATCACCGGTTCTGTGGAGTCCGACGCAGTGGAAGTGTACATTCTCTGTGGCGACGGTAGCTGCAGCGACTGGACCTGGAGCGGCGTGGACATCACCGGCGGCAAGACCAGCAGCAGCTGCGAGAACGTGCCTTCTGGTACGTCGTGCTAAACCGGCAACAGGGATGCTGGTGAGAAACTCAACGTGTCTTTGCAGGTTTCCCACCTCGTTTGGTGCAAATTGATACTTGACAGGCCCCATAACTTTGGTCAATAATAATTCCTCCGGGTCTGTACTCTGTTTCTTTATCACGATGACCAAGGGAAACTACATTAGGCGAAGGGAGGTAAACCACTTTGAAATAGTGACAGTAAAAACTTGTAGCTCCGAAAGAATCCGATCGACAGACATTAGCTGAGATCGAGTCAACTCCTACGGATGGCCGATCGATCGACGGCAAGTCAAGCTTGTTTTCACGCTAGCGATTTGAGTTTGGAGAACGACGGGGGGTTGATTGCCGGTCCCTGAACTGGTGATTGGCTGATCGTGAGGAATGCCTGGCTGTGACATCACCAGCATGATCGATAATGAACGCATCTCATCAAGATTTAGCCAGGGATGCAGCGCGCTAGTTATAGTTATGTACTCTGAGATGCCCCGTTTGTTATGTTTCTTTTCAGCTGCAGATGTAGTCGAGAACCTCTTATCACTTGCAATACTTCATCCATTGCTTAGCAACACCCTACTACAAGATGCAGGATGGTCGGAGGAAGAACGTTGCCATCATTGGCGCCGGCGCAGCTGGAATGGTACGCTTTTGAGAGAATGAAAAGTAATTCAGCGAATTTGCGACTGATGGTATCTGCATGCAGTCCTGCGCCGCGACTTTGGCGAATCACCCAGACAAGTTCGAGGTGACCATGATTGATATCGAGTCCCACACGGGTGGTCAAGCGACATCAATCTCTCTGGACGAACAGAAATACGGTGCAAGCTGGCTGAATGATGGAGTCCAGGGTGGCTCTGCTATTTTTCGGCATACATTTCGATTCTTTCGCCGCTACGGGTATGAGCCACAGCAAGTCAAGCTTCAGGTTTCCTTCGGCAAAGGACGAAATAATTTCTGGACAAACGTGTTCCCTAGTCCCCTTGTCAATCAACACTCCCGCGAGATTAAAAAGCTTGGCCGTGTTTTGAAGTGCATCAAATACCTCATGCCTATCCTGGGAATCCTACCTGTCAAGTTCATCCTTCGATCATTCCGTTTCAGCGACGACTTCAACAATAAGATGGTCTTGCCACTGCTTGCGCTCTTCCTTGGCACGGGAAACCAAACTCCAAATGTACCAAGTGTGTTATTGGAGCGCTTGTTTGACGATCCACAAATGAAGCTGTGGGAGTATGACCCTGACACACTGTTGCCAAATCTTCCCGAGATGTACACCTTTCCAAATCTGGGAGATTTCTATCGAGACTGGGCAAAGGATCTGCGCGCAAAAGGCGTGGAGATACGCCTTGGTTCCTCAGTCGCAATTGTCGAAAGGAGCAAAAAGGGTGTAGTTTTGCGAATTCAACCACGAAGCAGTGAAGGCGAGCAGCAAGAATCAGTATACTCTCCAGAAACGTTCGATGAGCTTGTTCTGTGCTGTCCGGCGGACGAAGCTAAAAATATGCTCGATCGAAATTCTACCTGGCGAGAGAAATACGTACTTGGTGGCGTGAAATTTTTCAACGATATCACCATCACCCACTCGGACTCGGACTATTTCCAGAAGATCTTCGAGGCTCAATATGACTCCAAGTTGTGCGCGCAAGCCACAACGAAAGATCGAAAGGAGCATCTCGAATTCGCTGAACAGCAGCCCCGATGCGAAAAAGACGGCTGGGCGGGGTTCCGGCCAATGTACTTCACCCACTCATTTGAGTCTGACCCAGACAAGATTGAAATGGGTTTTGATTGCTCCAACTATCAGCATCAATTCCGGGAGCATCTCGGTTTCGGAAGCCAGCCTCTTCCGCTGAATGAGCATGTCTTCCAGACAATCTTCCTGAATGACCAGCAAAAAGACATGTGGACATGGAACGATATTGATCCTTCTAAGATCATCGCCCGAAAGTGGTGGCATCAATTTGGTCACCGATGGCAGCATTACTTGCGTGTCATGCCGGGTATGATGTTCATAAATGGCAAAAACAGAACCCTGTATGCGGGGAGCTGGACCATGGTGGTGGGTACATTCCAGAGACGACCAAATCGAATCTTGAAGCTAATGAAGCGCATAGAACATGCATGAGATTGCCTGTATTTCCGGTATCGCAGCGGCTTATCAGCTAGGCGCCGAATACGAACCGTTTGACGATTTTGCCGAGGACTTCTTTGCAAAATACCTCCTTGTTTGCCATGGCAGCCGGTACAAGAGAGGAAAGAATAAACAGAGTTGAGATAATCATGAGTCTATTGACATTCATATAGCATAATTAATTCACCCCTTATTATTTACAAAACATATCTGAAGCTTTCTATCTCCCGATCTGTCTTGTTGGACAGCTCGTCTTGTAATTCCTCTGCTTCGGTCAACTGCCTCGGAGATCCGTACAGCTGGTCCCGGCGACGATTCTCCCACATGTAATATACGTAGAGGCAGATCAAGAAGAATATTCCAAGAACCAAGCCGGACATGGAGGCCTTGATACCAGTCTGTTGAGTCGTTAGATGAGTGGATCAAGACGGTCAAACAAAACACTGAAACACTCACGGGATAGCCAGGCTTCTCCGACGGGATGAAGAATTGAGGGCCCACAATGTTACCCACACAATACGCCACAAACATCAACGCACTAACAGTACTCTTCTTGGTAAAGCCAGCGACATTTGAACTGATAAGACTCAGTGAAAGAGGAATATTAGCAGCAAAGACTGCACCCAAGCAAAGACCAGTCATTCTGCCTGCGCGATTATGAGGGTCAAGTTTCCAGATGAGAATCATTCCAATCACCGAGACGAGTGCGTTCAAAGTCATCATGAAGATTCGGGTTTGTTTGACAACAGTGGCAAAGCCAGAAGTCAAAAGAAGGAAAACAAGCTGAGCAGCTCCAAGGGGCATTTGAATCAAAAGAGCCTTGAGGTTTGAGAACCCAAACCCAGCAATGATGATAGACGAGAAACTGGTAATTCCACCGTTGCAGAAGTTAACACACAATGTGTAAAGAACGAGAAACCAAGTTTGAGGGTCCTTAATGGCCATGAGGACCTGGCCCCATCTGAATTTCCCCGTATCCATCACGCCAGTTTTGTTCCGGAGAGTTCGCTGTAGAGCAATTGATTTCTCGGTTTTGTTGAAGAACATCACCTTGGCAGGCGAGTCAGGAAGGAAAGCAAAAAGAATCAATCCGTAACCAGAGGTGATAGTGCCTAGAACCAAGAAAAGTAGTTGCCAGCTGTACAGTGTGTTATTATGGATCAATCCAATTCCGTACGCAACCAAGCCACCAATCACTGAGGCGATGGAGTTTCCGATGAACCACGCTGCCTGTCGGGATGGCTGCTCTTCTCTTTTATAGAACATTCCGGTGATAAGGGCAAAGCCAGGGGCAATCGAGGCCTCTCCGACTCCGAGGAAGAATCGAGCTGCCATCAAGCCGCTGAAAGAGGTGCAAGCAGCATGGCACATGAGAATGCCACCCCAAAGGAACACAGCGACACTCAAATATTTTCCAAGGGGGAGTCGAACGATGAGGTAGGAACTGGGCCAACTCCAGGCGAAGTATCCAAAGTAAAAGACTGCGGACGCCCAGTTGTATTCTTTGCCCTTGAGATGCTGCGTGAGGAAGAGAAGACATTAGGACAAGCTGGACAGTGAAAGAAGCATGGCAAAAGGGTGGGAGCTTACCAAGTCCTCTGTCAGGTTAAACAAAGTAGCTTGGCTAAGGGCTAGCTTATCCATGTATTGAAGCATGTAACAGAATCCCATAAGGGGAATCAAACTAGAGTGTGTCCGCGTAAGAAACCATGAAAGCCGAACAAGAGTTCTGGGATCACATACTAGAGATCAAGTTTCCAGAGAACCTTTCTTTCCTGCTCAGGAGTTGCATGTGTCTCCAGGACTTGACCAATGTCCACATCGCGAACATCAATGTCGGATCGGACCTTGACCATGTCGAGGTCAAAAGTGCCCCCTGCAGGGGGCGCATGTACTTTTTCCATGTTGACAGCTTCTCTGACAAGAAGAAGAGACAAAGTGCTTGCGGTAGTCAACGCAACGAAAAGGTTATATCAGTTGCGAGGGTGTGAAGACAACAATTAGAAATAGAACGCTCCATCTGAGCCATCCAGGGGCGTTGTATTTAAACCAAACGAAGGATTATCTTCGTCTGCCCAATGACCCCGGGGAGGAGAGACGGGGGCAAATACAGCACCTCGTCCAGTCCAAGCCACCGTGCGGATCCCCAGGAAGTCAAATCCGCGACCTGCTATCAACTATCGCCCCAGATTCTCGTAAATACTGCAGCAATCGCCAATAATTTCTTTAGTCAAGGGCGGAATCTCGGGCGATACTGCGCGCCTCGAAGGCGATCGGATCACGTATCAGCGGTTGATGATATCGGCAATGGAGCAGTGGCGTTGGATTGGACTAGGATCTAGATGCCGAAATCGCATCCTATACGCCGTGAGGGCAACTGTAAGATCCTTTGCCTGGATGTCAGTATCAACGTTCCTGACACGGGATCCGAGATTCGAACGCAGCATCGGCAGTTGGGCCAATGTAAGCTGCCCGTCGGCAACCAGCCCCACAGTCTCCCCGTCTCCTCCTGTCGGCAAATTCCCCACTTGGACTGACTTCAATGAGATATCAGTCGCCCATTCATAACACTAGATACGCGGGGGATCGCAAAATGATTGACCAAACATGATTAGCAACTGTCTATTCACGGGCTCCTCATATTTTGTTTTTCTTGTCCTTTGTACGGTACCCCTTTTACCCCACAGATTGCGACAATCCTGGGGGAGAAGACCCACCATGTCTGTCTAGGTTGGATTGTACTCTTCGTACTTTGCCGACGGCGCTTGCATATTAATCTGCTCGCCAAACCGGGAAACTCCAGTTCGAATTCCGCTATCTATCGGCAAATGTCCGAGTGACAGTTCCAGGGTCTGTCTTATCCCCCCGCTAAGAGGCGAATGGGATAGGATACCTCGGATGTGACGCAACGAGAGCCCCCCTCTTCCAAGGGTCAATTGCTATTAAATATGGCTAAGCCTCCACTGAGAGATCGCAAACCATTGCTGCATTTTAGTTTTTCATAGTCCCTCTCTAAAAAAAAATTGACATGACTGTCTCCAGTGTCGGAATCGAGGAGGTTCGAGCGGCCGTTGATGTTGCTCTAGATGAGCTACGGGAGTCGCTACGAAAGGTGAATCAAGAAGTAAGTAATGGCAATCTACATAACCCATCTCTCGCCGCCAGAGAGGGGTTTGTTTCAACGAATCACTAACGGAGCTCCTCTATAGATCTGGTCAAACCCCGAGCTTGCGTACGAGGAGCACCATGCCCACGATACGATCTGTACATTTCTTGAGAAGCAGGGATTCACAGTCACTCGCCATGCATACGGTCTTGATACATCCTTTGAGGCAGTGAGTGGATCAGGTGGCCGCCAGATCAATTTCAATGCGGAGTACGATGCCTTGCCAGGTAAGCCACGTCCCCAACAGCCACATTGCTTCTCGTTCACTAATCTTGCCAGATATTGGACATGCCTGTGGACATAACCTTATCGCAACCAGTAGCATTGCTGCCTTCCTAGCTCTGTCATTCGCATTGAAGAAGTTTGGCATCCCAGGACGAGCGCAATTGCTAGGCACTCCGGCCGAGGAAAATGGGGGAGGCAAGGCTGTTCTCATCGATGCAGGAGCTTACAAGAACGTGGACATTTCTCTCATGGCGTATGGTTCTCCGCATTTGCCTTCCGCAAGAAATCGCTTGGCTTCTGATTATGCTAACATGGAGGTTAGTCACTCTGGGCCCAAGAAATTGTTCCCTGACCAAGAGCCATCCGACGGAATCGCGGGTACTCTGATGAATGCGCGCAAAAACATCCGTTGCGAGTTCAGTGGCAAGAGTGCTCACGCCGGGGGTAACCCATGGGAGGGTATCAACGCCCTAGATGCCCTGGTCACGTCTTATAACAATGTTGCAGTATTACGCCAGCAGATTTTGCCCGAGCAGCGTATTCACTGTGCCTTTATGGATACTCCAAAGGTGGCCAATGTCATTCCTTCACATACCAAGGCATTCTGGCAAGTTCGAAGCCCTTCTCTCAAAGGACTTAACAGTCTGGTGGGCAAAGTGCGCAACTGCATCGAAGCGGGCGCGCTAGCGACCGGATGCACCGTGAAAATCAAAGAGTAAGATCATTATTCATCCTCTGCGCTCAAGAACCCGGCTAATTACGGTTAAATCCTATCAGGGAGGAGCTCTATACCGACGTGCGGCTGAATGATGTCCTGTGTGAACGGTACCAAGTTCACATGGGTCAATATGGCCGAAAGGTGCTCAAGCGACACGACAAAGTTCTGACTGCATCTTCCGATATTGGTAAGTCATTCTGGATAGTTTGATGGATCCTTGGATGGGCTCATACTGACATTTTGATTTCCACGCAGGAAACGTCAGTTACGAGACGCCCACCTTGCATACTATGTTTGGAATCCCCACGCCAGACAACACATTCCCCCATCATCCCACATATACTGCCTCAGCGGGAACCGATGAGGCACATGCCGAGGCATTGATTGTAGGCAAGGCACTGGCAATGATTGGGTGGGATATGATCACGAACGAGGCATTGTTCGAGACCGCGCATCGGCAATGGAGAGAGGAGATTGAGCGGGATGATTGATGGAATTCACGATTATACCCTTGCCATGGCAAGATTTGGAGAGTATATTTGTACATTTTCTGGATAGTATGGAATGTATACCGAGCATATACCAATTTCTTAATCTGTGGGCTGTCAAAACGTGATTTGGCCACCGCGGTGAAGATGAGGCAGCCGAGGTTCCAGCTGCTCGAGTAAAGCAGAGTTGAACTTTGACACGGTGTCTTTGAGAGTGCATTCCCATGGTCCCCATATTTCCAGGGAGTCGATCGTACGGAGTACTGTAGATCATCCTGTCGAGTCTGGACCAGACTCTGCCTCAGGCACTCCGCCGGTTTAACTTCGGCAAAGCCGTGGCCCCCCGCGTTATCGGCCTTATCAAACCCACGGCCCACGGTCCGCCTTCTTCGTCTCCTTCGAAACCTCCGATCGATCTGTCAATGATTATTCCAACTACTTGTCAACTCCCCGCCCCCCCCCCCCCTTCTGCTCCCGGTCGCGCGCTCATCGTCCCTCCCTGATGCCTGCACATTGGTCTCTCGAGATCTACTGACACGCGACGGAGGGGTTTGATTCTTCATGTCCGGACGGAACGCGCCGCGCTCGAAGAATGGTGTGTCTTGCCTCCCCGCTCATTCTTTTCCCCCCAATTTTTAAATGCCGTTCCCAACCCACAAGTGCCGAACTGACCGACGATTGCTCTGTTTCTTTCCGTCTCTGCAGGCTGCAGTACCTGCCGCCGTCGCAAGGTAAAATGCGGCGAGGAGCAGCCCATCTGCACGCGCTGTCTGAACTTGAACCTCAGCTGCGAGTGGGGGTGCCAATCAAGCGTGGGCGTAGCACGCAGACTCGACATCTTCAACCAGCACCGACGAGTGCCCCCGATCAATTCACCTGGGCTGGGTCCGAGGCTGGCGACGTGGTGGCTCTCACACCGGATGCACTGCTCAATAGTCTCTCTCCGATCTCCTGGCCAGGCGACTCGCCTCTTGTAGAGACGACTCTATCGACCGCATTCTCGTTTTACGCGCCCGTCACCCCAGCCCCAATGCCGACCCCCTTATACCCACCATTGAGCGTTAACGAGATCGCCTGTGCCAACTCCCTCACCCTCACCGAACATGACCAAAAGTACTTTCAATATTTTCCTTCTTCCTCGATCATCTACTATTACATGAAAGGATGGCAATGGAGCAGCTTCTGCTACTTGTATCAAGGACCCGCTGCCACCAACAAGGTGATCATGCGAATGATCCTTGCCATCGCTGCTAGTGACATGCATCGACAGGGGCTCATAGTGAGATCTCCCGGTCGGCCAACTGCGGAAGACCATGGGCGTTATCACTACAGCCTGGCCGTCAAGGAATTTCGACAGTTACTCGAGACTCCTCGGCGGAGCGTTTCCGTCGCGGAGCTAGAGATCATTTTCGCCACCATGTTTCTCATGGTCACGTATGAATGGCAATTTGGACATTCTGTCCGCCATCTTCAGTTACACATTCACGGGGTGCGATCACTCTTGGAGTCGCACCCGCAGCTCTTTCGTCTGAAAGATGTCAATGATGTGTTCTTGTCTCCCGAAGCCGACAGTCCGCCTGCGGAGGATGCTGTGGCCTCTAGAGTTTCGTTTATCCCCGAGCAATTCTTGCTCTGGACACTGTGAGTAAATTCGATTGAAAGTCGGTGTAATTGGATCTTTGCATCCCGGCTCACTCGTCATGTAGATACATTGATGCAAGTTGCCGACCGATGGGGTTGACCGAATCCTTGTACGACTATGTCGTCCAATCAAAAAATCCGGCACTCCATCCAGATCACCTACATCGTTGTGCACGTCTGTGGGGCCGCTGCTTTTGGGGAGAGCAATACCCAGACCAAGAGGTTCTGGATGACATTGAAAACTACAGAGCCTTGGAGCTGCTGCATGCTGGCTTCTGTTTCCGCCATCGAACCTGGAGGGTCCTCGTAGACGCTGGGGGAGGGTCCGACACTACCGAGTCTCTCTATAAAGAAATAATCTCTACTCGAGATGTATGTTGCCCTTTTCCTCGTTCCGATGACGTTAGGTTACCGTCAAACTGACTTGCATGCTTCTCTTTCTCATAATAGCAATTCTCCGATCTCTTCATCACAGCAAAATTTGCCGCCGGCGTCTCGGCGCGACGCACACTCAACACGATTTACATGGCCGTGTGTACACTTTACGCGCAAATCATCCTACATCGCCGGCTACTCTGTGCTGGTAGCCTCCCTGTATCTCTCCACCGGCAAGCCACGGCCGGCATCGTGGACATTGCCCAGAAGCAGTTTGCAACCGATCCCCGACTCCTACGGCGCTTGCATTGGCCTCTGTTGATGGCTGTCATCGAGACGGATGACGCCAGCCAGCGCGTGTGGCTCCGGCAACGATTGTTTGAGCTGCGTGACTGCCATTCGGAGTACATCTGGGCTAATGAAGTGGCCGATGAGGTCCTAGCTCAGCAGGATGTGAGTCAGGGCTGCTACGCAAATCTTGCCGAGTTGCTTCTCCATCGGCTCCAAGTGCAATGAGTCGTTTGAACAACAAAGAATTGTATATCTAGCTGTAATGTCTATGAAGATCTAATGAGTGCCGCGATGCCCGATATTGATGATGTGATGAGAATAAATATTGTGCAAAACTATCCCCATCTGCCATTCTATATATTGGAGAATTCAACGTAGTGACTCAGTAGATCACAGATTCACTCCAGGACTTGTTCGGGTCATATCGAGGTTGCGAACTTGCTCCTATTCGACCTAAATCAAGCCCCTTGGTACGACTCGACCAGCCATTCAAACCACGTCTATCATGGATCATTTTCCAGGAAATACGCATCATAGGCAACTTCTCCCTTGGCTCTGGTGGCTCGCCCGATGATAACTCGGTCATTCATCCACTTGTACTTCTCGTGGCCTGTCTCAATCTTAACGTGTAGATGAAACCAATATTTACTCGGGTCAACTGACCCACCCTCCATCAGCGCTTTCAACACCTCTGGAGGTCCAGCTCGCGTGCCTTCGGTTCTATTCTGATATCAATGACTGGTCTAGATACTCAATACGGATGAGCCACTGACCTGATATAAAGTAGCGCGCCATCATCACTTTTGATAACGTAGTTGGTATTAACATGTGTCGTCTGGTTATCTTCCACTAGCCTGGATCAATTATGTTAGACGTAAGATCGACGAGATTGAGGCCATTGAATGTACATAAAGTCTGCTCCTCCAGGGACAACCTCTCCGTTAAAGTAAGGGCCTCGTACCGATCCCGACATGATCGGTACGCAGCGCCGCCGACCGTAGGGGCCATTTCCAATCTCCATTGGCGGGTCCACCACGCAACGCAGAGTAAATAGATGGGTCAGCTTTGGTGGAGGTGCAAGGGTTTCCATTTCCGATATACGTGTGAAGTTCAATTGCACAGATATCTGCAAACATGCGAGAGAAAAAGGACGACGAGGGGTAGCGAGATGGACGACAGCAGGCGCTGAAAGTCTCCACACACGCGGGGGGATATTCCGGTGGGAGAACTCGGAGTTGCCGTGTTTTCCGCTGTCGAGATGAGCCTCATTCATGTCGTACTCACTAGGCTTGGTGAAATATCAGAACTGATATTGCTATGCTTCAGAACATGGAAGGGTCCCCGTATGTAGGCTACATCCCTAGGGGCTAGCAATTGGGATCATCATCTAAATCGACCACCGATACCCTGCCCGCATATATTGCACAATTCGAGCAGAGATTAATCAAGTCATCTTGAGTTTATTCTGTTAATCGGATGGTTCTCTAAGCTCGATCCCGATGAACCTGCCCGAGAACGAATGCTTGACATCATCCAATCCCCAGAAACAAATTCCAACAAAACTCCACTGTATCGCCGCTTGCGGTCATCTACCCATCAGCAGTGACCCCGTATCTTTCATACACATGATTATGTCGAAGCTCCGGGAATCTTATCTTAGATATATGTATAATCCATTGCAGGTGGATAAGTGGAAAGCACCGTCCAACATATGAACAGCCACATAAGGAGGCACCCGTGACTGAGTGAGCCACTCTATCATCAACAGGGAACTGTGTATAATAAAGCCATGCCCAATTGTCTCATGGTCATGGCTCTAGATAAAGGTCGATTTATTTCTTTTTTCTCTGACTGTTTTTGTCGTGATCGTCTATATACTTTTTTGTATAAAAAAACAAACTGTCCACGCTGTACAAGTCGCGGGATCCGACCGCCAATACCAGATCAGATCAATAAACCGTTTAGTTGAACACAACGGTCTTGTGTCCATTGAGTAGCACACGGCGCTCAGTGACATACTTGACAGCAGTGGCGAGCACATTGCTCTCAACGTTGCTGCCGGCATGCGTGAGCTCCTTCGGGCTCATGCCGTGGTTCACACGCACGACGTTCTGCTCGATGATGGGACCCTCATCAAGGTCGCTGGTGACAAAGTGGGCGGTAGCACCGATAATCTTCACACCACGGTCATAAGCCTGGTGGTAGGGCTTGGCACCCTTGAAGGAAGGCAAGAAGCTGTGGTGGATGTTGATGATGCGTCCAGACATGGCCTCGCACAGTTTCGGTGACAGGACCTGCATATATCGCGCCAGCACAATCAAGTCAATCTTGTATTCCTTCACGAGCTCCAAGATCCGAGTCTCCTGCTCCGCCTTGGTGTCGGCGGTGACGGGGAGGTGCATGAAGGGGATGTTATAGGTAGCAGCCAGAGCGGCAAAGTCGGGGTGGTTGGAGATGATCAGCGGGACCTCGATGTTAAGCTGGCCGGTAGACTGGCGGAAGAGCAGGTCGTTCAAGCAGTGACCAATCTTGGAAACCATGATCATCACCCGGGGCTTCTGGGTAGTGGGGTGGATCTCATAGTCCATAGAGAAGGACTGTGCGGTAGGCTCAAAGGCGGTGCTCAGCTTCTCGAGCTCGGGGACCTCGTCAGTCTCGGAGGCAGGCACAAATTGCACGCGCATGAAGAAGCGCTTAGAGGTAAGGTCGCCAAACTGAGAGGAATCGACAATGTTCAGGTTGTGCTGGACGAGGAATGCCGTGACGGCATGGACGATGCCCGGGCGATCGGGGCCCGAGAGGGTGAGGATGAAGCTTGGGGCCATGATGATGTTGAAATAGTCTAGGTAGCAACGGTGTTGAATCCGCGAGGCAAGCCACGAAGCAGGAGCAGTCAAGGTTCGTTGTGTTCAAATGGAACCGAAACCACGAAAATTGTCAAAATCCCACATTCATCCCACCGCCGATCACGGCGCTGACTCATCCGCGGTCGGCCCCACCACCTCAGAAAGGTTAAACCACCTTAAACTAACGCTAAACCCTTTTTGTCGATGTTGACACAGAGTCTGGAGAAGTACAGAACTGGGCACACTTGGGTTATACCTCAATCTCAAATAATTACTCCGTAGTGACAGTAGTATCCATATCATTTGTTCAAAATTAGTGGCGATTACTGCATATTCTATGCTGAGACCACGTTGAGGTATTGTGAGTAGAGTTATAAGTACTCATCCATCCTCTGTATACTTCCCGCCATTTACTTGAAAGTCATAAAGGCACCCACACACCACTTAATCGAACAATCTTCGTACATAACCGCTCTGTCATCGGCTTTAACCCACTGCCCCTCATAAGCCCAGTTTCATTCCCTCATCCCTCATAGTCCCTGAAATTCCCCCGCCTCGGTATTAGACTAAATCTCCGACCGCGCTAGTGTGCTTGCACCCCTGCAAAGCCCAGCGAATATCCGGGGTTGAATTGCCGACTTTAGCCTGCAGAACACGAATGCGACCAAAGCACCAGCTCGTCACGGACTATCTTTCCCTCGCTTAGTCCGGCCATAGTAGAATTATAGTTTTCCATCATGTATCATGACCCTGCAGGTGTATCACGTTCGAAACGGATCATTCAGCCGCCTACTCCCCCCTCACCAAAAAAGGATAGTCTGGTATACCCAACAGGCACCACAATATCTAGGGTAACACTTGTCCCAGCATGGAAGACAGACTTCTTCACGGGGCGCCTCCCGAGACACGGGGGAGATGAGGTCCCCCCCCTCCTGCAGGAGGTGACCTCATGTCGTCTACGGCATTGGCCGCAAAATCTGGGGAGCTTGCTCCGTGTCCGCGGAGTGTTTCTCTGCTCTGTTCCCTTTTCGTACGGCTATCAATCTGGTAAGCCATACTGTAGACGGTGGTACGGACCGTCACGCCGTGGAGGTCAGTCCGAAGTGTAAGTTGAATGGCTTCAGGATCCACATCTGGAGGATGTATAAGAAGCCCTATGCTCGACGAGATTCCTTCCTCCCTCACTCCTCTCAACCACCACAAAAAAAAACACAAGTGATCTCAGATCTAACTCCTCTGACAAAATGAAGGGATCAATCTCCTATCAAATCTACAAGGGTGCTCTCCTCCTCTCGGCCCTCTTGAACTCTGTTCAGGCCCAGCAGGTCGGCACTCTGACGACCGAGACCCATCCCTCCTTGACCTGGTCCAAGTGTTCCGCCGGTGGTAGCTGCACTTCCGTGACTGGCAGTGTGGTCATTGATTCCAACTGGCGTTGGGTTCACTCAACCAGTGGCTCGACCAATTGCTATACCGGCAACACCTGGGACGCTACCCTCTGCCCCGACGATGTGACCTGCGCGGCCAACTGTGCTCTGGACGGTGCTAGCTACTCGAGCACCTACGGTGTTACCACCAGTGGCAACTCCCTGCGTCTGAACTTTGTCACTACTGCTTCGCAGAAGAACATCGGTTCCCGTCTATACCTGCTGGAGAATGATACCACCTACCAGAAGTTCGACCTGCTGAACCAGGAGTTCACCTTCGATGTCGATGTGTCGAACCTTCCCTGCGGCCTCAACGGTGCCCTCTACTTCGTAGACATGGACGCTGATGGTGGCATGGCCAAATACTCCACCAACAAGGCTGGTGCCAAATACGGAACTGGATACTGCGACAGTCAATGCCCACGGGATCTCAAGTTTATCGACGGTGAGGCCAACGTGGATGGCTGGGCTCCCTCTTCCAGTGATGTCAACTCCGGCATTGGCAACCACGGCTCTTGCTGCGCTGAGATGGATGTCTGGGAGGCCAACTCGATCTCCAATGCCCTCACTCCTCACCCCTGCGACACTCCCTCGCAAACCATGTGCACTGAAAATGACTGCGGTGGCACCTACAGCACGAATCGCTATGCTGGTACTTGCGATCCCGATGGCTGTGATTTCAACCCATACCGTATGGGTGAGAAGTCTTTCTACGGTCCCGGCTTGACCGTTGACACCAAGTCTCCCTTCACCGTGGTGACCCAATTCATCACTAACGACGGCACCTCTTCGGGTACCCTGTCCGAGATCAAGCGCTTCTACGTGCAGAACGGCAAGGTCATCGGCCAGCCTCAGTCCACTATTGCCGGTGTCACCGGTAACTCGATCACCGACAGCTTCTGCAATGCCCAGAAGACCGCCTTCGGCGACACCAATGACTTCAGCAAGCACGGTGGTTTGGCCGGCATGGGGGCTGGTCTCGCCGACGGCATGGTTCTGGTCATGAGTCTCTGGGATGACCACGCGGTCGATATGCTCTGGCTCGACAGCACCTACCCCACCAACGCTTCGTCTACCACCCCTGGTGCTGCACGAGGCACTTGCGATATCTCTTCCGGTGACCCAGCCACCATTGAGTCCGCCAACGCCAACGCCTACGTCATCTACTCGAATATCAAGGTTGGCCCATTCAACTCCACCTTCACTGGCACTGGCTCGGGTGGATCCAGCTCTTCTACCACCATTACTTCGACGACCACTAGCAAGACCACCTCTACTAGCTCCACCACTACTACCTCTAGTGGCTCCAGCGGCACTGGTGCCGCCCACTATGCCCAGTGTGGTGGCATTGGCTGGACTGGCGCCACCACCTGTGTCAGCCCGTACACCTGCAACAAGCAGAACGACTATTACTCCCAGTGCCTGTAAAGGATCTCAAGCGATCCCGAGATATGGGAGAAAAGTGTTGAGGAATGGGTATCAAATACAATTACGATGAAAGGATGATACTGCAGAGGATATTGATCAAATTGTTCGCTCGTTGTACTTTCTTGATCTTCTCGTTTTGTTTTCTTAGTGTCAACTTTCCTTTGTGCTAGAGTATATGAGAATACAACCGACTTCTGCTATACTTGATCGAGTCAAACCTTGTATTGTGAAATTTCCCCCGCTCTTCGCTTAGACGCCAGGAGGCGAGGGCGTTAATTTCGGCTGCTTGGCAGATTTGCCATCTTCCAAGCGTGTAGCTTGTTTATTCAATCAAACTCAACGCCTTTCCGGAAGATCGAACATAAGAATAAAGAATTCGAAAACAAGAAAATATAAAACTAGAGAAATAGAACTGTTCCTGCAATACTCGTACGATCTGCAAGTTTCTTGATCCCTCTTCAGGCACACTGCAGTTCTTCTTCAAGTTGTTCACTAAGACCAGCCAATCGCAATGCCAGCTCCAACAGCCACGGTCAGCACTAAAAACCCACAACCGGAACGAGGCAACCAACTTCACATGAGCCTGTAAGAGGATTTTCCCCGGATTGCGCGGGGCTCGGAGGATCCCTGTGGCGTTGACCTGCGAGATCTCCGACTCGTGCAAAATCATGGGGGACGCCACGATGCGGAGGGACCTCCGCCAGCGCCTGCCATTTCGCTGTTTCAAATCTTGTTCGCGAGAGAATGAATGCCCCCTTGTGACTTTCTCTACATTTCCTTGAAACTTTGGTGGAATTGCATTGCTGAGCCAATTATCCACAGGGCAGGACTGCACCACTCAGCACTGACCCCTGCGGAGGTTGAAGAATAACTTTGTAGTCAAACGCAAGATCGAATAACATTGATGGCCATCTCATCCCTCTGAAAAATAAAGTGGTCACGATCTTGTTATCATCTCAAGGGTCATCCCAATAAGAAAAGACTAAGCATCAAGTGATAAACGTATTTGAAACACGAACTTGTTGATCATCACCATACTCGTGTTGGGCTCGAAGTCGTCCATTTTAACCGGGATTATCCCCATGAACAGCACATGAACCAACCTACTAGGCTACTAATGTATGTGAGAGCGAGGCACTCCAATAATAATGAAACGTAGGTACCCCTGTCCAGATCTCGTATTTATCAAAGTTGACACTCTTCCCAAGACGGAAATATTTCGGGAATATCCGTACTGTAGGTTAGCAGGAGAACGTGAGAAGAGGCAAACTTCTCTTTCGCGGGGATTTATCCAGATGTCGATCGACCACCTTTGGCCTTGGTGTGCATAGTACTCCGTACATAGTTTCACTATTGAACTATGTTTCATCGACTCACAAGTCTTCTTGTACGCCAAACCTGGAAAATTGGCCCCCTGTGCAGAGTCCTAATTTCCTCCTCTCGTCGCCTCGACTCCTAAGATCTTGTATCTGTGCCCGATTTGGCTGAGAGTTAAATAACCACTGTCTCGTGTGAAAGGAACTCATTTCCTTATGGCAGGACAAATTCGTTTATCATTTATTGTATAAGGGGAGAAATATATATCTTCTGGGGGCCACGCTGGTTAGGTGGGCTAACAAGCCTAATTTCTAAGGTCAGCCACCATTACAACAGTTACCCTTAGGGAGATTACTAGCGGTAACCTCATCCCCTCTCATTAGATAACTAGTTAGTTAGTTATAACTAACTTAGTTATTCAACTTTCATGACTAAGAATTTCTATGAAAAATGGATATCGAAAGCCTCACTAACTATAAGAGCATTGTGGGGATGATGTCGTCTCCTCCTCCTCTCCTCTCCACGTTGAGTCCAGGCCAGGCTCTCTGAGGAGTATAAAGGGTGGCTTGGCTCCCTCCCAAGCACGGATCAACTGAGATATGGTTATTCCATGGACACTTCTCCATGGTCAACCCTCTCAAGAATGGCCAGCACTGATGCCCCCCCATGAGATGCCACTCAGTCGGTGATCATTAGAAGTCAGGCAACAGTATGTGTGGCAGGTGTGAACAAGCTCATCTCACAAAAGCGAAACCCTTGGAATAGGAAATATCCAAAGATCCCGAGCACAGCTCACCCCCCAAGCTCCTCGTCGTCTCGGTCGCATGAACGAATTCTCCGCCCGGCATCGTCCCAAATCGCCACAACCGACCGGATAGTGGTGGCAGCCGATCTTGCCGATAGGGCGGCAAGGACTTTATCCCCCCGAGTGGGGGAGTTTCTGACTCGGCCAGGGACAAGTCCTGTCACTGCCGTGCCACGAAGGCGAGGAGAGACATGATGGTCACCTGCATGGATGGAATGTGCTTGTCCTTTTGAGGAGTTTCGGTGAAGATGGTATCCGGAATATGATCTTGACTATGCTGGTAGGTGTTGATCAGGCCTGAACTTCTACCAGCTCACGCGACCAATAAAATCTTAGTCATCAGCGAATAAAATCAACAGTTCGAGTCAATCAACCTTGTCCATTGAGCTCATAATGGTCCATTTTGAAAGTAGATTAGATAGAAAATATATTTCATCTGGAGATACTCAAATTCAAAGGTCCAGCACCAGCTCTGATGCAGGTCCCTCGACGGAGTCTTCCGGATCTACCAACTTCAAAGTTGATGCGGAGAATCTGGAGAACTCGCTGCCCTACGGACGAGGAGGCACGCGACAGCAACAACGACAACAAACCCGGAAAAAGCAATTACTGTGAAGGTGAGGAAGTATAGCAAGATATAATGTAAACAAACAGCGCAAAATAAGCATATTTTCCAGACTTGTGATTGGATGAACTCTAAAAAATTGATGTGCAGGGTGCTGCACTGCAGCTGCAGGCGGGTTCCCCAACAGCTCAAACATGGCTACAGCCCCTGGACTACGACAGACTTGGCTTAATCCAGATGGGGCGGTGCTGGATGATGATCAGATCACTACGAACTAGATCTTAGATTAAGCTTCATCAAGTCGATGGTGATTGTGAAGGTACTGTTGCAGAACAGGTAGGTAGTCGAAAGAAAAATGTTTCTTCGTATATACATCAATTTCATCTCATCCTGGATCTTTCGCTGTGCACAGTATATGAGAATCAATGAACCCCAAGAACACACAAGGGAGGTGGAAAATTTCCACAGAAACAAAAAGCCAAAAACCAAAAATAGAATCGCTAAGTCCACAAATGCAATGCTAGATCAGATCGTTCTCAGGGACAGGATGTGGGGGGTGGAGGGCCAAAAAGAGGCTCCACCATCAGCCCTATCACATATTGACCGTTTTAACCACTTTACAGCTTGTTGCCCATGGAACGCTCAAAGGAAGACTTGGGAGGAGCCGAGTTGGGGTTGGGGTGGTGCTTCTTCTGGGCCATGGTGACGTTGTACTCCAGGTCGAGCTCGGCCTTGGGGTCATCGGTCTTGGGCTTGAAGTCGACAACCAGGTCATCCTTGACGGCGAAGACGGAGTCGATCTTCAGGTGGGGGTCAGTGCTGGGGTAGATCTGGTTGATGACGGTGGCGTAGTCGGGGTGGGTGATCATCAGGTGGATGTGAGCGGGGCGCATGGGGGAGCGGTCCATGACGTTCAGCAGGACACCGGCGGGGCCATCGGTGGGCAGCGAGTAGGCAGTCGGGTGGTAGCAGTACCAGTAGAACTCGCCGTTGGCGTTGGAGCGGAACTTGCCACGGAGGTTGTTCTCGCTCTGGTTGGGGTCCTGGAAGTCGTACTGGGCGTTGGCCGAGGCCTGCCAGATGTCCAGGACGGCGCCCTCGATGGGCTTGCCGGACTCCATGTCGGTCAGACGGCCGTGCATGTAGGTGACGCGGCCGTTGGAAAGAGGGTCCTGGATGATGCTGTCACCCAGAGCACGGAAGGGCGCATTGGGCGACCAGAAGGGGCCGAGAATGACGTTGGAGGTCGGGGAGAGACCCTGCTCGGTGACGATCCGGTTGGCGATCTCGTCGACGAGGGACTCGAGACCAATCACATCACAGCAGCGGTGACCCTCGTTGCGGATGGGGGTGCTGATGGCACCGATGGAGTTGATGAACTCGACACCGGTCATCCACTCGGCGGGGGTCAGCTCGACCTCACGGGCAAAGTCGTGGATGTGACGGATGAGAGAACCGAGGATGACACGGGCACGCTCGGGGGTCTTGGGACCCATGGCGTTGACGACCTGGTCGGTGAAGGTAGGATCGAAACGGGAGTTGGTGGAGGAAGACATGGTGGTGGTATATAGAGAGAGGATAGAAGTCTAGAGGGAGAGTGGAGAGGTGTAGAGAATAGATCGAGTGGATCTGGGAGCAAGTCGATCACAGAGAGGATGGGTTGTGGATGAAGATAGAAAAAAAAAAAAAGGCCAGCACCAGACGCGCAGGAGGCTTTTATAAGAACCTCGCGATCTTCTTTTCCCCCAATTCCATCCGCCAATCCATGATTTCTCGTCTACCCCAGTTTTTCTTTTCCGGAGTTGACGGGCGGCAAGTCTGGTCTCTCCGCGAGTCGGCCAACTCGGCAGGCGCCCACCGCCCAACAGCCGATGGACCCGGGACTGGGAGGTGCCCAGTGCCGATTAGTGGACCTGCTCCTCGCGGGCGGTACACTTTGCGGGCTCGCCACCCCCCCCAAGGGTTGCACCACTCAGAGCTCACGCTGCGGCGCGGCAGAGTTGAATCATGATGGGCGCTGAGTCGCTGACCAGATCGTTTTTCCCTTTTCCCTGCCCCCCAGAAATGGTCCGTCGCATCGGGCGGTTCTCCGCGTAGCCGCCCTTCGCTGCCGGACCCTCCTCAGCCTCCCCGCAATGCCCGTCAGCGCATGAAGAACTCCCGGATCAACGCTGGGGAACGGATATATTCTGTATCCTCGCCACGGGATTGACGCCATCGTATGATCCGTCCAGTGTGCTCGTGGGCTTCCGCCTTTCTCAATTCATCCACCCCCAGCTCAATCCGCTCAATCGCTCTCCGTTCGCGATCCTT